ATCGTTTATATATAGAGCTGCTACTTCCCCAACAGAAACGCCAGCCGCAGCAGCAGCAGCTCGTTCGACTGCCCATCGGCCAACTGTTACAATACACCCGCACTCGGAATCGTATATATTTATATCAAGGCACAGAACCGTCGCAACTCGATTGGCCATTAACCGATTCCCAAACGATCATTTTCGACCGAGTCTCGATGCGTGCGTATAATTTTTATTTCGCGCTTGCATATACATACTCAGAGTTAAACGTATGCAAGTGTCCTTTTTAGAATTTAGCACGTCTCTCTTCGTAGCCTAGCCGAACGTAATATAACAATTTCATACATCGTATGCGCGTATATACACCGGAGGACAAAATAGAGTCTCGGTGAAATAATTCCAACAATTTCTCGTAGCTTAACACGCGTTCTAGAAAACCACAACAAGCCTCCTCTCGCAGAGAGAGAGAAGAGCGAGAGCCCATGGTCCCCTGCAACCATAGCCACGCACCCACACCCACAATGCGCTCACATATATATATACTTGCCGACACTTTGCTACGCGTACTTATACGTGCTATACACCGACCTTACACGCGCATACATACAATAATACATTTTGTACGCGGGAGTAGCAGTAGTAGTCTCAAGTCGCATAATAGCCATAAATTCGCGCGCTCCAAGTAGTAGCAGTAGCAGCAGTAGTAGTAGTAGTAGTGGCCCCGCACGAACAAACTGGATTAGAAAGCGGAAAGCGGAGGTGGTTGGTGGTGGTTCTTGCGTATGTGTATGCGCTCGCGCGCTGGGCTTTTAAGGGTGCTATATGCTCGGCCGCACGCCCGCACGAGTCTATGGTGTATACGCAGTATAAGGCGGGTGGGATTTATAGAGCTCGCCGTTGTATGACGTTGACGTATCACCTTGCGAGCTGTATACTGCTGCTGCGGCACAGCAGTGTGTGTACGAACCTATGCTATTACAGCTCGGCTACTACGACTAGCGACTATACTACTCGGACTGTAAGCAGCAGCACCGCGGCGATGGTCATAAAGCAGCGTGTAGCGCTTTAAAGCCGCCACCCCCGCCTCCGTCCCTCGGCTGTCCCGTATACGCTATATACTACTATTCCTTTACGCGCGAACCTTGTAGCTAGCTCCTACTCGTGGCAGCGGAGCAGAGCTTGGAGCTGGAGCGCATCAAGCTTGCGAGGCGTATCGAATTCCAAGTACAGCGGTACTGTGTACGTCAGTAACTTGGGGATTTCTCTCTCTTAAGTTACGCGAAACTCCGTATAGTCCTGTGTGTGTGTATGCCTCTGACACCAAAGCTTCTGCTGCTGCTGCTGCTGTTGTTGCGCCCGTTATATTCCATGTCTCCGAGCCGCTGTGTAATTCCTTCATGGAGATTCGTGTATTAGCAAGTTTCTCTCCGCTATAGCTACACCGCTAAACTACTATACTACCAGCACCACTACTGCTATACGCTTGACATTCCTCGCCTGCTGCTCTATACACACGTGTATTACGTACACTTTGAGCGTGCAAATATTGCAACGCGACGAGAGCGAAGAAAATTTTGCACTCGTGCGCTACCTTTTTTTTCCTCCTTATCCTCTTCTTCTTATACTTTCATCGGGAATTCATATATACGACGGCGATAAATTAAGCAGCCGACTTAGCGCAGCTCCTCGTCCGCGAGATAGCTCGTGTGTACGTATGCATGTATGTATGCGCGCTAGTATGTATAAGCTCCGAGCTGGCTGCTGTTGCTGCTGTTGCAGTGTGCGCGTGGACTAGTGCGCTGCAGCCAAGCTCGTGACACATGATACCAATAAATACTTTCTTGGCGCTGCTGCTGTTGCTGCTGCTGCTGCTGCAGGCGTGGAATTTGCACGACTGATGGTTACAGCATACATGTACATCGCGCGCACACCTTTGCTCTGTAGTACGGCAGCGCATATATAGGTAGCAAAGGTCAAATACGTTTCTTTTGTCGCGCGCTCGCAGCTCGCAGCGCATAATATGTAAGCTATATATCTCCACGCGAGCGAGCGAAGCTATATACGTGAAATTCCAACAAACGAAATGCCATGACAACGTGGCGAACACCGGTTGTGCAGCTGCGAGCAGCACCAGCCACTACTACTACTACTACTACTACCGCTGTTGTTAACTTTTTTTTTATATTCTTTCTTCTTCTTTTCTCTGAGCGCGCATATCGACGAGGAGAACCCGAGAAACGAATCGTACCTGCTATCGTATACCTGCCAGTAACACGCGAGCTTTGGATAGTTTCAACTGCAGCAGCAGCGGTTATATAGCAGCTCGCGACCGATGACTGCGCGAAGCTGCACATGTGCCGAGCGAGCGAGCTGCAATGAAATTTTATTAAAGCTATGCGCAGCAGCAGAATACTTTTGAATACTTATACGTGCACTAGCACATATACCGTGTTACATTCGTGTTGGCAATGTTGTTTCGGAATTTTACCGGTGATCAATTTCCAACTTGTGCGAAGGGCGAATAGCTCGAGGAATAGTTTATAATCCTTTTCGTTTCAGGAGCCGTGCTCCTGTGTTGCATTTCACGAATGCACAAAAATTAGCACGATGCGTCGAGAGCTAATCATGCCCACTACTCGGTCTCTTTTTTTCGCATATAGTACTTCGATGAAAATGCTATGGGTGGAGCAGAAAGAAAGATGATCAATTATAACGTCGGGGATCGGTATAATATCAATAAGTTTTGCAGGACGTTAGATACGCCTTCCAACTTATTGACGTTTTCCGTCGCGTTAATGGCTAGTGTAGCCGCCAACGTACAAAACAGTATAGCAGCGAGCGAGAGATAGATAAAAAAAAGAGAGAGCGAGAGAGAGAAATAAGAAAAGAAGGGTGATGACGACTGCCGATTTAAAAGGGCGCGCGCGTGTGTGTGTACTGCGCTGTGCGCGCGCGCGCGGACGATGCAGGATTCAATTTATGCTCGTTTCCGCGGCGAAGTGCTGTCCTTCCGCTTTTGCGGGCCGATTTTTGCCCGAGCTTTATGAATTATCGCCTCGCTGTGTATAACGTACGCATAGCCTACGTACGTATGTATTTATATGTGTGTACAGCACTCGCAACACACACAAACACCCACGCGTACGGTAGAAGTAAAAGAAAGACCGGTCGAAAAAAGCTTTCATAAATCTCGCCTCCCCCCGTATATACCGCTGCAGAAAAAGAGAGAAAGACGAAGAAAAAGAGCGAGAAGAATCAGCAGCAGCAGCAGTGGCAAAAAAGGGATGAGAGCTGCGTGGTGGATAGCGCAGGACGCGCACCATGCACACTCGCGACCGGACATGAGCTAGCATGTGGTGCTCGTGCCCACAATATGCGAGTTAAAAGTTCGCAGTGTAAGTGAACTACGACGACGATCGTTTACATTGCGGGAGCAGAGGGTGAGTGAGATATATGCTATTATATGTATTTCGCAAACAGACAACGATATAAATATGTAATTCATTTTTTTTCGAGGCGCGCATTTGGACTCGGATTCCCGACTTTGAGGGACATTGCCGCGTGCGACAATCAAAGCTCGTGATGTAGCAGCAGCACCAGTGAAAATTATCGATTTGCCAAGTACACACAAGCCCCAACGATTGTTATATTTACTTCGTATATCGAAGACGAGGGTGTCGTTGTGTACAACAACATCAACTACGAGACACAGACAGAGCGCGCGAGAGGGGCATAAGTCCATACCAGAGCAATATGAAGCCAAGTCGACTGGAAAATGCCCTGGATCAGTGTGCGCCGCCAGCCGATGTATATTAGCCCGGGAGAGCCGGTTTATCTCGCAGCGCAATCCGGCGTACACGTAGCACAACACGCGCTTATATCCATATACGCCTGGCCATAGATATATAACTGATGAGTTTATGAGAAAGCTAATGCGAATTAAAGCGTGAGCCAGCTTTTTTTCTTCTTTTTTTTTAGGGATGTTACGAGAAATAAATCCGATTCGTTACAGTTTGCGGATAAAAAAATTTGTTTTTTTCACAGAAAGATACTAGGCGTTTTGTAATTTATAATCAATGGCAGATATCAAGAAGTATAATAGCGTCTAGCCGGCATGTTAACAACGAGAACATTTAACTATTGAAAAACTTCTAAATGAAAACAGATAATTATCCTGATTGTTTATAATTTGTGCCTTTTTTACTACTGTATTAATTAATATACCGCAAAAATATTTGTTCGTTTTTGCCTTAAACTCCAAGAAAATTAAACTATTTCGACAAGCAACCCTCAAAGCTCCAACATTTTGTTCAAAGACCTAAAGTGACGCCTAGTACAGTTTCGCTGAACTAAATTTCCTGCCGACGTATCTACATACTGTTATTTCAAAATCACACGGCACCATGTCCATAAAGGGCTGATCATATGTGAACTACGTACTTGTAAATGAAGGTGATTATAAAACCAACAGTCGGTAATAAAGAGCGCGTAGTTATCCGAAAAACTTTTACTTATGATCGGTCGATATAAAGTGCGTTATTTATTTATCGATTGCTGCTAGAGCAACTTGAAGAAAATTCACATGGTTCTTCAGAAACTCTTGCTGGAAAAAACTAAGTAGAGTAATAATGAGTTGCCGAAATAAAATTTTGAATTGCCTTTGACTGGAAGTTTATCAATGTTATACGAAAAAAATTTTGACGTTCAGAAATATGTAGGAATCTTTCTTTCATAATGTACGATTGAAGATAAATAAATCTATGAAACTTCACCAGAAATTGTTATAGTAAAAATAATTCAATTGATATCACTTTATTGCGATCATTTGAACCCTATAACAAGCGTACAACCTTTGGTCAGCTTCGATTTATAAAGAAAAGTTAAAATAATTTCGTATACCAGAATCTGCTAAAGCAACCAACTGCACTACCTATCGACCCCACGTCTCGCTCAGTGATGCGCGACTTTATCAATGCGGCACGTAGTAGCGTCAGTTGTGTTGTGTTGTGTCGGCGGCATAAATATTCAGCGCACCGAGAGGCAGAACGTTAAAAAATAAAGTAGAAGCGAACAAACAATGGTGCGATAACAAAACGTACGAAGAAATGATTGTGAGTCGTTCGCGGCGCGAGCTCGTCGATTAAAAAATGTGTCAGTGGATACTTAGGGAACGAGTCGGTCGGTCTCTTCGCAGTGCGCGTCGCTCACACTGAAGCTGTGCAAATGCAATAAGAAATCGCGTGCAAGATCAGCTGATTCGGCTTGAGCCTGCTACTGCTGCTGCTGCTGCTGCTGCTGTGTATACGCCGTATACACTGTTTACAAAGTGTATAATCAAGAATGTGTGCATGAGCCTGGATCGCGTACACACGTACTCGCGTAGCTTCACACGTGGTTATTCAAAAAATTCGATATATTCGCACTACACGCTGCGAGGTCTTTACATATAGTGAATTCATTTTCACCGCAGCTGTTGAATTATTAGTTCATTCCTGCGATAAGGTATTTATATTTTTTTACTGTGATTTTTTTTCATTCAATTATTGTACGCGTTGCTTTTTCAAATCACATTTACAAATATTTATTTTTAAATAAGATGCTTATAAAAATTTAGTAAATATTTAATAAACAGAGATAGTTTCCCAACGTCTCAGCTATGTAGGAAATTCGGTTAATCTCTTGATACGTTTCACAAGGACTTCAATCGTTTTCCCATTGAGTAAATGTTTTATGCTTGCGTATCATCACCTTGCGGTTATTTTTTTTTTTTTTTTTATATATAACCGATCGTTAAACCTCATTAAATGCGATCTTACAAAATGGAGTCTTTGTGTATGTTTTCACTTTGTTGGTCAAATAATACGACTTGGAATCGCGTTACAGTGAAAATAAATAAACTGATAATTACAAGCTATTAGTAATCTCTGAATGTTACTCAATTCTCAAGTAAGACGATAATTTTGAATTTAAATTTGAAGTGTATGCATGGCCAAAAAAAGGCAAGGTAATAAACATCGAGATATTTTTACAATATTTTAATTTTTTAAATAGTTTATCGCTTGAGGTTTACATTTTATTAGCGTAAAAGCAATCCATTTTCGAAATGTTTACTAACTTCGTCGGACAAGTTTTATGTACAGTAGATTTTTTTATTTATGGAAAGTTCGAACGTTTTTTAAGTAATATAAAATGCCAATGAAGTATTTTTTCTACCTTTTTAGATGTAAAAATAAAACTTTGATTAATCAATATCATGATTCGCCCGGGCTAATATTTGCCCTATGAATAAAACATTTTTCTTAATAATGAATATGATGAGAGATCGATTCCAGAAGAAGAGAATCTAATTCTGGAAATAGGATAGGAGAGGTACAATACCTTTCCAATTGATCAAATCGACTTGATAATAACAGCTCGACGAAACTCTATACTATTGATTCAATTTTTTTCAGTAAACGAAAGAAAGTTCTTAAGAACTTCATTACTTATACTCAGTAATTTAAATATCCTCCTTTGTGCACGATATGCTTTTTGCCGAGGTTGATAAGAATATAGAAATAAATATTGTAAAGAAAAAAGTTTGATTAGCCAGCTGCGAACACTACGTCTAAAACTTTCATGTCGTTTACTAAAGTTATTTAAAATTGGTAACTTCCTCGTGAAAATTCTTATTTTTATATCTTGAGTCAATATTATGATCCCAACTAAATGAACAATCTTATTCGTGCATAAGTAATGCATCATTTCGGTAACACTTCCGAGTAACCTTTTGAACTTTACGAGGGCTAATCAGTGAGTTTAATAAAATACGAATGTCAAAAAGGGGAATTTTAATTATATAGGATAAGTTTGATTAAAGGACAGATTCAAGATATTTTTGCAGAAATGAGATCTGCGATATTTATTCATTCTGTAATACGCAGAGTTATATCGCTACGAAATGCGTAAAGAGAAATAAAACAATTCTGTGATGATTAAAATACAAATACAACGAAGTAGGTCAATCTAATAAATGTTGATTTTGAAGCACGTGCAAAATAAATAAAAAAAACGCAACTCATCTGCTGTCATTTATATGACATTATTTCATACAAATGAAATTCCTTATCAATTAATAAAATCATACATGGTTTTCAGTCATGTCAGAAGATCAAGATATAGTAAAAATAAACGATGAAATTTCAATTCAAAAGGCCGATGAAAAAATAAAAACAAAATTAGGCACTTTGGCTGCGTATTTCAAATCACGCTTTCATCGAACCCCTGCATTTTTCGTACAAGTGCCTGGAAGGTAAGCATTATAAATATCTGAATATAATAGTCAGCTTATTAATATTTGATTGGGAGTCAATCGATCAAAAATTAATCCAGTCACGTTACTTGCAATCATATTAGTAAAATTAAATTACATAGATGATTGACGTTATCCTTATAAAATTTGTTTGACGATCTGCCCAGAGTCAATTTAATAGGTGAGCATGTGGACTACTGCGGATATTCGGTATGTCCAATGGCCATCGAGCAGCACATGTTGGTCGCTGTTTGCAAAACTGATGAAGATGTAATTCAATTAACCAATGTAGATGATAAATATGAAGATTACTGCCACGATGGTTTTAGACGGATAAGGTAAATTTACGCAAAAAAAACTTCTTGTTTCCATTATCAAAACTATTGAGGCATTGAAAAACTAATAAATTGAAAAAGCTGTTATTACTCTTTACCCGTAAGAATTCACTTCAACCGATAACTAGCTCTTACATTTAAGGGGATATATAGAAGCCAGCCAAAATAACAAAATTTCAATCCAGTTTTCTGAAACTTTTACTGAATATTTTGCCAAAAAGCTCTATGGCGGGTTTCAGAAAAATGGAGTGAAATTTTGATATTTTTGCTGGCTTCTACATCTCCTTGAATTTTTTTCTTAAAAAAAAACGTTAACAAGTTATACTTTGTAATCAAAATACAAATGAGCAAGATTAATAGCTTGTCTAATCCATTAGAGATTCCCGGCTGGATGAGCATAGCTTGGGTCCAACATGGTACAAGTATTTCCTTTGCGGTGTCAAGGGTGCACTCGAAGTTGTGCCAGAACCAAAAGCACCTAAGGGCATTCTCGCCGCGGTATGGGGAAACGTACCGCCCAACGCCGGTCTATCGAGCTCCAGTGCCCTAGTGTCTGCCGCCCTGCTAGCTACAGTTCACGCAAGCCAGGTGAATTATTGTAATTTTTTCCCCTTTTTTTGCTCTGAATTGAACGAAACAGATCGGCATTTTACGACTATAAATGGAATGAAATAATTTTACTATACGTTTGAATTAATTATTAAAATTATTTTCAATGAGTTTTGATAAATAGTGTACAAAGCAGAGTGTTTTTTTAATCCGATTTCGTTACGCGTGTAACAAAGATGTTAAGCTTCAGTTTAATTAATTAGCTCAAAGTAGCTGGGCATGGTATGCTTGTCATAAAAAGATATTTCTTCTCGCGCTTTTTTAATTTACCTTTCAATCAAAGCATAAAATGTCTAAAGAAGACATGGCAACGCTCAGCGCAAAGGCTGAAAGATACATAGGCACTCAAGGTGGAGGCATGGACCAAGCCATAGCTTTTCTCGGAAAAGCAGGTCAGTTTTTGCGCTTCCCGTGTTTGTTTTTGCATAATTTTTAATCAACAATATTAACGATGCAGGATCCGCAAAACATATCGAATTTAATCCTTTGAGGAGTCATGACGTCATGCTACCGAAAGACGCCGTCTTCGTAATAGCCAACAGCTTAGCAGATCACAACAAAGCATCCACCTCAGATTACAATCAGCGCGTTTTAGAGTGTCGATTAGCTGCAAAGGTGCGCGTTTTATTTCTCATTTCCCAAACGATCGGATTGAATGATTATATTCCAATACCTCTGTTATTTATGTCCATAGGTATTAGCAAAAAAACGAAACGCCGATTGGCAATCTGTAAACAAATTGATCGATGTTCAAAAATTGTTGAATAAGAGTCTAAAGGAAATGGCTGACATAGTCATGACGGATCTTCACAACGAGCCGTACTCTATGACAGAGGTTTAAATTTTGTTTTTTCATATAAACCAGGATTCTTGATGAATTTTTCAATTTCCACCAGATCGAACAAATACTTGGAACAGAATCAGAATTGCTGATAAAGGCCTCTAATTCCGCGTACAATTACCAAAAATTGAAACTGAAGCAACGAGCGCTGCACGTTTTCCAGGGTAAGTTTCCCCACGTCAAACGAAATCAAAAGCGAGCATACGACGCGCTGCTCACGTACGCTAATAATTTCGTCGCGTTTGTTGCTATTTTTTTCCTTACATGATTTCCACAGAGGCTGACCGGGTAACGGCCTTCCGTCAGACGTGCGAGCGCACAGATCTCGAAGGGCCCGAGAGATTGGTCCAGCTGGGAAAGCTGATGTCGGCCAGCCACGTCAGTCTGCGGAGTTTGTACGAGTGCAGCCATCCAAGGATTGACGCGCTCGTGCAGGACGCCATGAGCTGCGGCGCGCTGGGTGCCAGGCTCACCGGGGCTGGGTGAGTACGTAATATAAGAGTGACGACGAGAGACGAGACGGTACAACGTGAAAAATAATTCCTCGTTTAAATTAACGATTTTTCGATCGAGTATACCACCCACTGTCGAAAATTTAATCTAATTTAAGTACGTGCAAGCCCTCGCGTAGGCAGTACTTTTGGACGAAGTCAAAGGGAGTTGCCGAGAGTTTTTCTCGTCCAACGCATTGATTAAATTATCTGGACGGTAAATAAAAGCTCGCGGCCAGAGCCAGGAAAACTCAAAAGTTAAACAAGCATAAATAGCCCGTTATACGTAAGCAGTTATATACACAAACCCACACACACTATACATATGCACTTCACAGGCTAGCTTCACTTTGTGCACACGCAACCGAAAAACTTTGGCTTCCAATCGCGAGCTTACGCAACTTGCGAGAAATGTTACGATCAGGTCATAATATTCATTCAGCCACAAAGCAAAATTTGCCATTATTCAGTCTATTTCCAAACTGCCAATTAATTACATGCCGCATCGAAATCATCGATAGATATCAATGCAAAAAGGTGTCTGTCCTCGGTTCACTCGATTAAGTCCTACTTCCGCTCAACCGTGACTTCATTTTTTATAGACTGAAGATTAAAACTTAATATATCGGTATTTAAAAAATATATTTTTGTTAAAGAACCTCGATTCTTTCATCAAAATTAAAAAAATTCAGGTAGAAATAAGATGATCGAATAACTAAAAATAAAAAGACACTTGTCAACGCCGATTACTTCAGATTCTTCGTACCTAAAATACTCTCTGAGTTATTTCAAAATTTAATCTGGTTGTCTTTTAGTCTGACCGGTTGTTATTTCCCAATTTGTTCCGATCTTCGTCCCAGACAATAATTCTGGTTCCTAGGGTGTGAAAACTTAGAAAAATACGTATATGAGTCCAAAAGGTAATAGTTTACACAAGCCGTAACTGAAAAAACGGAAATCGATTTTCAAAAAAGTTCTCGAAAAATTCTGAAAATATTTTTTTTATGTTTTTTTACTAATTGTAAGACGTGTTTGTTCTTTGCCATTTTTCGTTTAAATTCTTCTATCTCGATATAGAAAATCGCAAATTTTAAAAACGTGTTTTTCTTATGCTCGCATTTCATGAAAAACAAAAATTTCACATCACGTTTTAAAACTTTGCGATTTTCTACACCGAGATAGAAGCATTGAAATGAAAAACGGCAAAAGAACAAAAAAATCCTAAAATTAGTCTAAAAGTTTTTTCGGGTACTCGCTTAGTCCTAGTTATGGTACATATTAAATAACAAGCGGTCTTATGTACACGAAAGTTCATCGACTCTTACCATCATTATTCGTATATTTTGTTTTTTGCTTTCGTACTCTTTCGACACCACAACTATTTTTTGAGAAAAAAAAAACTTAAGAAATAAAATTTAGTATGGTAAATGTATCAAAAATGGCTCTATCTTTATATATTTTTTAAACAATTTTATGAGAACCAGAAGAATTGTATGATCCTTACCGCTGGTCATAAGCTAACATCAAAGATTTGTTGAAAAAGATCGCTTCCTTCAAAAAATACTTTGCACAAGAAATATGAGCAAACTCCATTTTCATCGCAAAATTCCATTTTTTTTAAATATTCTAGTGAAAGTTACGAGATAAATTAAGCCGTAACAAATTTTCATACTTTTAATTACTTGAAAGGCGGTTTTCATAGCCTTGGAAAACAAATATTTTCAAGAATATTTTTTTGATTATCTCATACTTTTCTACTTAGCTTTTTACAAATAAAATCCGAGGACGTTTCAAAGAATCGTTGAAAAAAAGTTTTATTATGACCTGACTCTGATACCATCTCAGCAATAAATATAATTAGTAAATATTGTACGAATAACCAGCAGCCCTACTGGCAATGATTGTACACAATATATTACAGTATATTTCTCAACGGGTGCACATATGGTTTTTTAGCAAAACGAGGGATTATAGTATAAGCCGAAGGCAAGTACTGTAATAAGTTTTGTTAAAAAACCATATCTGCACCAGTTGATAATACTATTTTTTCCTACGAGAGCCTAAAATCAGCGGCAAAATTGCGTATTTTAGGTTAGAGTGTGAAAAAAACCATCATTTCAAGAAATTAGGTGTAAACGCATTATATATTAATATCAGAAAAGGCACCTGAAAATTTTAATTTTAAACCCAGTTTCGGTTCTTCATAGATTGAGAAATGAATATTAAAAATTAAATCATTATTTTAATGCAATAAAGTAAAGAAAAATTACATACACATTTGCAAAATTTAAGAATATTAAAATAATTACGAACAATACGATTAAAATATTCATCCTTGTTGTCATTCGCTTCAACGTAAATGAACAGTATTTTCTGATACGTAAGATTATTTAGAAAAACTATCTGAGGCCTTGCACATTTGCAAGTATCGATTATTCAAATCTAATTTTCCACTTTGCAACATTTTACAAGTTTTTTAATACAAAAATTTAACATTAACATTGACGTCATGAATAATTTGTCAATAATAGCCAGTAACAGATATACTGTATAGTTTATCATGCTGGTTCATAGTGATATTAATAATGATTTACCAAAATTATCTTGCAGAGATAAATTTTACGTTAATAATAATGTGGAATAATTGTCGATTAAATACTATGCAAAACGAACATGCACAGCTTTCGAGTATTTTTTTTAAACAATTTATGTGGTACACCTAAGGAGCTGTATAATACATATACTTTATATTTTGCATTCAGACTAAATTAGTTGTATTATTTCATTTGTTTTTTGTTCGTAAATAACTACCAATCCTATTAACTTACTGAGCTAACAACATCGATACAGTACATCCATAATAATCATTTTTGTGCAGATGGGGAGGATGCATCGTTGCAATAACAACGGCCGACCGAGTCGAAGAATTCCTCGTGCTGTTAAAAAAGAAATTCTACGAGAACAACGAAGAGGCAAAAATGCTTGACTTGTCGACTTTGTTGTTTAAAACTGAACCAAAACAAGGAGCTGTTATTTACTACAGTGAATTGCCAGTTTAAAAAAATAAATCATGGAATGCTGCACGAAGTTTATTTGGATCATATGAATCACTTGTAGTAAACTAATAATAGACGATATTGTGTGCAATAATTCTTTATTTTTGTTAAGTACTTATTTTTCCATAAATAAATGTTAACATTCTTTTAACAAGCAATTTTGTATTTATTATTTTACCAAGAGCTAACTTTAATAAATGAAATTTAAAATATTCGTTATAGACATGCAGTCACTTTTTCTCAGACTTATACTCTCAAGATAACTCAACTATATCACTTGCATCTATCATACTACCCGTAGTTTAGCTTCTAGTGATTAAATAACGGTGTAATTTATGTAAAATTATCATTCCTGCCGTTAAAATTGCTTCCTTTTAATTTTTTAGAATATAGAATATTTTGGCAGCTATCATGAAAGAAAAGTAGTTATGTTGTAAATTCGATCTAGTTTATGAATATACAGTCGAAATATATACGGGACACAAAAATTGACAAAAGTCTATTTGAGATCCATCACAAAGCTTCCTCTGAGAGAAAGAAAAATGTACTGAAAATTATGAGAATTCAAAAAAAATATCAATTATCAATTGAATTTATATTGCTGAAAGAAATAAACTTTACTGCAACCAAGTCTAACCCAAGAAAATACCGAAAAAAATGACGCAAATTAACGAGGAAAGATTGAAAATCGTTGGTACGCTGTGCCGAAAATTTCAACTAAACGAAATGTTGTACATGCACTGTGAAATGTTTATGAATTTTTTACCGTGTGCAGAGCGTAATTATGCACAGTTTTTAGTCATGAAATGCACATACATTCATTAAATTATTAATTTATTAATCAAAGGCTCCAGACAAGCTTGATTTAGTTCTTTGCGGATAGTGTAAGAGCAAGCGATCTATAAAACGGGTTTCACTTTATTATTATCATAAATCTAATTCTTTTGGTAATCAAGGTAATGATCGAAAATGAATATATCCGGAATCATGTCAATATTTCTTATAAAAAAATCATATTTTTTGAATAGGAAGCTCTTTTCCAATGAATTCGCAGCAGTTTCCATTCAATAATCGATAATCTGAACTTATATGACCGATCAAAGTATACAGATATAGACTGGCAAGAGTATGCTCAATGTTCCTCAAACGATACTTTGCTAGCTTTGTGTTAATAAAATTGGATTTTTTCAAAAACTCGAGTGGTAATTTTTGAAACTAAAATTTCTCTTAGAATAAAGTATTCAAGTTATGTAAATAAAATCGAGCCATACCGCAATTGAGATAACATTGATGGACAATTATTATTTCTTCTCGTACTAAAGCTTCTCCGGGACTCTCGAGGATCTAAGGAACACCTCCGAGTACTTGTATAAATCGAATGTCATTTGATTTAATGAGATTTTTTCCATCATTATGTAAATTGAAGGTCGCGGGCTACTATGAAATGGATGCAATGAAGCTAAATAGCGTTAACAATAAGAAATGACGTATATTGATATTATAGTCACAGGCAATCTTTTTTTAATGATTTGCTTATTTACTTTCGATTATGTCGTTCAAGGTTGCTTGAAAATATTCCAATTTTCAATTTATTGATAAAATAATTTTAATGAGTCTTCGTGATAAAATTTCCATTTTTCATATTTTTTTTATTTTTCCAGAAATGACATTCAGAGATTATTATATGTAAGGTCGAAAAAATCATATTTACGTCAATACTTTTCATAAATAAATACAAATTTATACTGAGCATACTCAAAAAATAATTTTTAAATATTTTACTAAAGTTTCATCATATATTAAAATAAGTTCTAAATTAAAAAATTGGAGTACAAAGCTTTAGATTCATTTACAATATACTTCATTTATTATACGCATATTGAAATTAATATACACTTTTCTTTGCAAAATGCTGCAAGATTGGTTTTTGTTTCCATGACTGTAATGACTCAATTAACATTAAATCTTGTTTACTAAGTACGCCTGATAAGTACGCCTTATTTTAGGAATATGCCCTATATTCTTTTGCGACTCGAGAATTCGACCACGGCTTGTTTTTGGCGTACGGCATATTTTCGGTAGAACACGGTAGCACTACATGATTTAATACTGCTCTTAGGTTGAAGTTACTTTATTTTTGATTTTTTAAGGCAATTGTTACTGCACAATAAAATCTCGAGGATAAGTTATTTTATATTTCATTTTATTTACGGATAATTGATAATAGCGTTTGATTTAGACAATCTCAATTGTAATCGATAGTCGAAGTCGCTAACCAAACACCCAATTATCCTCCAGTTTGAACGTGACTCGAATTTCCATGAAACTGTACAAAAAGCAATCTAACTCGACAAAATTTTAATTAGACAGAATGCCTTTTCGTACTCTTTTACGAAAGTTTTAGTTTTCATACCGAGCATTGATTGTGTTGTGAGTTGAATTCAAATCAATAATAGCACCTACTGTAAAGTACAACTATGGCATTGAAAAAGTATTTTTTTTCGAGAAAAAAATCTGAAATAGATTTTAATGAAGCACGTATTTACCCGCGGCAATTTAATTATGTTAAAAACGTAAGTAGTGATTAACAAGCTCAACGAGCGCTGAATTACGAGAATAAATTGATGGCCGCGTCGCGCGGAACGAATCTGCGAAATTGCACCTGTAAACTCGACACTCATTCGCTCGGCATCAATGGAAAAACAATCGAGATAACTTACGCGTTTCAGCTATGTATATAGTCCCAATCAAAGTTTGCTCTACGTTTGCGCGTCACCAATTAACGAACGAGAGCTAATTTAGTTTTCTTCGCGCTTCTTTCGGGGTCCGAAGAATACGAAGAAGGAAAAAAGAGAGAACACAGATTGTGGAGAAAATTATTTTTTTTTCCTTCTTATTTTTAACTTGGCCTTTTATCTGTTGCCTTCGTTCGCTTCGCTCGGTGGAAAAGAAACAAAGTTCAAAGGTGCAAAGTTTTAACTCTCACAGGTGCAGCAAACGCGATAATTTTATCGTCTCGCGTGTTTGCATCAAGATCGAAGATTGCTCGCCATTATTCTTATAGTCGTGGAACAGTTGAAGTTTCTTGAGGCTGATTCTGAGTATTTTAACTTCACTTCATCTTAAGAGAGTTGACTAAAGTACAATTGCAAATTTGGTTTTGCATACTCACGCGGTATCTTAATTTCGATCTATCGCGAGATTATTGCCTTCATTTATACTTCATAAAAGTATTTGAACGCTCATAGTGAAATAGTAAATGCGTGATCAGACCGAAGACTGATTTTGTTGTCAAAAGTTATTTTTCGAAATTTTTTTCATAACATCAATTAATTATGGAATACCAAGGGCTTTGAAGAAAGAAACGAGTTGACAAAGTGGGCGAATAAGTATTACTTTTGAATTGTGTACTGCAGCTCCGAGAGGGCTCAAAGTTTTGCATAGCAATGGCTAATTCGGCAGTTGAAAAGAAGCCGCTTATTTTGGACAAAAACAATAAAACTTCGCCGTCGTTATTATGTTTTGTTGTCCCACTGCATCTGCAATCATCTTTGCGTTGAATTGTTCTGAAATTTTTGTTATCGTTACCGACGTCACAAAAGATTTTTCATCATCAATTTATCGAATAAATATAAATATAAACATAAACATATTCCATTTAGATAAAATGTGCGAATGAATACGAGTAATATCAGCGATTTATGGGTAAATCTGCACACGTCATCGTTACAGCTTTTTAAAAGCATAAACCATCATTAGGGGTAACATCAATATGTATTTCTAGATCAAAAGAGTCAATTTGATCTCTACACGTAAAAGCAATACGGCTAATCCAAAGAATTTTATTTTACACAAAGCGCAACTGCAAACGACCATGCATATGTGCCCTTTTGCGTAAATGTGTATTGGCGAAATCACTGCAACTGGTATGTTCAATAAAATAAATTGCATACTATCAAAGTATTTATATCGAAATATTTTCAAAATGATATTCTGCTTTCATGGGGTGACTATGAAATAATAATTGAATAATAATTTTTCACGTAAAAAACAAAGAAGAAAGATACAAATGACATGCCAAATTCATCCTTAAAACATGAAAAATCCATGAAAATGAAAGAACAACCATATTTCTTCATTTATCCGTTGTGTCTTAAAAGCGTACTACGCCAAGTTATACTCGGACACGAGTTTTTTCATATGATGATTATTAAAAATTCGTGGAAGTAATAAAATAACATATCCATGCGTCGAAAGGCCCATAAAACTCTACTATGAAAATAGCTTCACCCCTACCTGGCGAAAATTGTTAAAGACCTGCATATAAAGCATAGGAGGTAAGAGTTCATAGGCACCAAAAGAAACTCGGGTTCATTGCTGAAAACATTAATAAGTATGCAGCATAATAGGAGGAATAGTTTTGAAATATCTGTATCGCAAAGACTTGACAAATTATTACAGTCTATTGGCTATGACAGCCTAAGTAAAAATGTTTTATTACGACGAAGCTCAACGGATCATTCGATGAACCTGCGTGCCGAAGCTCCTCTCTACTTAAACAATTTCAGCCATAGTTTATTTATGTGTGAGGAGCTTCCGGCAAACTCGCCGACCAGCGGTTAGTTCACAAACTACTACTCGCGTATATCGAATGTTGTTGTCTCGGCAAGGCCGATATCATAACAATATTTTGACAATATGCAATTTAATTATTATCTATACCAAGTGACGCAATTTAGCCCTTATATATATATGCGTAACTGCTGTTACTGCAAGCCGTAGCAACATCCCGCGTTCGTTGAACACCCTACGTCGTTGTCGCGAAATTCCGATTGCGCAGGCGTTCGTAATCTCGTGCTGCGCTAGAGGATGAAGTGCCGTGGCGCGTATAGAAAACGTGTGCGCTACGCTTTCAGTCGGTCGCCGCGGCTCGCTCGAGCGAGACACTATCGTCAACTTCCTCTCGCTAGCTAAGCCGCTGAGAGGGAATAGTATTGTCGTTGTCGGACTTTGAAAATAACACTTGCTCTCCGTAAACGATTAAAAAAATCTTTGACACTGACGCGGGAGTAAAAAGTTCGATCGAACGGAAATTCATCGACAACCGATTAAAAAGAAAAAAGGAAAAACCATGAAAAAAAGTATTAAAGATGCTGGTTAAAAATAACAATCGATGAATCGTAATCGCGTCTAAACCGCGTCGCCGGCCGATCGCGATGTACGATCGTCGCGCAACAATACACGCCGTAGGACTTTATAGCGGCACGAATACGAGCAGCGAGCTCTGCTTATACTACCGGGGCTTGAGCTGGTGCGACAACAAGTAAACGCGCACACGTACACGCACTTACAAAAGATCGTTCACCCATTGCCGCTGCCACTGCTGCTGCTGCTGCTGCTGCTGCCGGGTGGAAATACGTGGTTGAGAGCTGTTATTATGGCCATAATGCAGTCCTGCTGCTGCTGGCGTTCGGTGCGCCGTGGCAGCTTTGCTTGTGCAGTTTACACGGTGGTGAGTGGCTTTGAGGATTATTCCGTGGCCGAGGATCTGCGCACCTGGTATTGTTATTATATTATTGCAAATCGATCGACGAGATGTTATTATTGGGTGCTCGAATCCGAGGCTTCTGTTTTGGTGGCTTTAAATGATAAAATCTTGGTCAGTTTTACTGTGTTGCATCTCTAACGGCTCAAAGGGGGATTAAGATTAATAAAATTGAAAAAATGAATTTGCTTACTCTTGTTGAAAAGAATTTTGCTTACTCTTCCAATTGCATTTTTGAAAACCTGAGTTTTTTCGTATCGTTAACGTGCAAAAGTTTTTCTTCTTTTGAACTTTTTCAATTGTTCTTTTGTAGAATATTAAAAACATGGAGCGCCAGAAAAAACAAAAACAAAATTAATTTGACACGCTAAGCATGAGAGGCGCACAGAAATGGCTGCAACTCATTGAAAAATAAAATTTATAGCACTGCAAAGCATAAGTTCACATCTATGGCACGCTTTTCGGTGGCATAAGTCGCACATTCTGGCACCGCTGCGTTCGCATCACACTCGCATACGCTCGTGCGCTAACCTCACTTCGCGCTACCAGAAAGTGCGACTTATGCATCGGAAAAGGGGGCATAAATGTGAACTTTGCACAGTACTATAAAACGTTGTTCGATACTCGGGCCATAGGGGACACTTTTCGGCCCAGCTATTAGGACCCTCGCTGCGCTCGGGCCCTAAACTACGCCGTGCCAAAAAGTGTTACTTATGGCACTTGTATCGAAAATTACTATTTTGGCATTTTTTAAAAATGCTCTGAATAAGCTTTTAATTATACTGTTCAAAAATTGAATACAATTTTTTTTTAAATTTCAAGCCCCCTCTGAGTCCTTAATAGTGTTGTTTTACCTATATTTAGAGCCCTTATCGAGGAATGAATTAATCTTGAAATTGAAAAAATTCAATTAAACTCTCTGTAAAATCCGATTATAGAACGTAATTTCAGCAAACCTTTGCAAAAATGTTGTAGAAATAATGGTGTAGATATACAAAAAATCCGGATCTCTGTATAACACACATGTTTTCGTTAAAATTTGTTGCCATCTAATGTAAAGGGTTTTTTCGAAAACACCTGTGACGAACAGTTCGGATTATTTACTTTGTTTTGCTCAGTTGTGTAATTTCAAAGATAATCAAACCTCACCGTAAATTCAGGGTTTAATTAACATAGTGTAGTGTTTTTTAATTAACATAGTGTACTGTTTCTGTAGCAAAATTTAATAATCATCATAAAAGATGACTGCACGAACGTAAAAAATATAAAGCTGAAAATACCTCATTGTCTGTACAATGGGTTGCAGCGAAGCAAAAAAATTAATAATATCCTTCGCGTAAATACTCGCTTAATTTGAACTTTTTTACTTCATTCTAAATAAATATGAACTTTTATTCAACGAAGTGATACTGTTTATGGGATTATACGAATCGCGCTTAGCTACAGTTGACTCATTAAAATGCAATGAAAAAAACGAATTCTCGCATTTAATTCGGTAGAATGAAATTTGAATTTGAAAATTCAGTTAATAAGAAATTTACCGGTCGATTCATTTTCAATCATGAAATCGGTGTACTTGACAATCAAAATCTCAAAAAAAAGTTAACATCATTAGTTTATCGTCGATTATGCAACGAGCGTCCAGTCTCTCGTCAAAGGCTCTCTGGACGCACTGCAGCTAATAAAAGCTAATTGCCGTTCCTTCGAGAGCCTGTGCATAAACGCGAGTTTCGACTGTCGCTCACTAAACCTGCAATTATCACATTAGTCAACACCGACTTGCCAAACTCGTCGAAATATCCATTTAATATCATACGTTAAAACTTGGACGAAAGAAAAAAAAAGAAAATCCATAGAATAATCGAAACGAGCCTGTGTTTTCACTCGACGCACACACAAAGTGCACGTGATATATGCTGCAGCATCGATCGCTCGCGCTCGCCTTCTTTCGAAACAAACGCTGAATCTTACTCAAAAGCAACAGCTGCTCGTACAGCTTTTTTCTCTCTTCCTCTCTCTCTCGCTACGTTGCTTACACGCTGCGTGCAACAGAAAGAGAGAGACTCTGATACGCGTGCATCACTCGTCTGTATGTGTGCAATACACCGGCATCACGAGTCGACGCATTTACACTAGCACGTCAAAGCCCATGAACTGGAAACAACATCGCTTTGACTATTTCTCACGACCAGCTCCCATATATTGTACGTGTGTATGTGTGTGTGTGTGTGCGCGCGCGGGGGCAGCAAAAGGAAAAAGTCGCAGCCGCTGCTGCCGTGTGTATGTGTGCGTGTGTACGTCTTGCAACTTTATTGGATTTGAGTCATGACTCATACCCCCATCGGTCATGGGATATATATACGATACAGTTGATAGCTTTGAAAAGAAGAAAAAAAGGCGAGGGAAAAACATAGCTGTGAAATCAAAAAATTGACCGAGCTTTATAAATAATTGCGCTCATGATCAATATCGAGCTTGCGTGAAAGATGAAAACAGATATGTAATAGCTTTCATTCGTTTGACGTTTGCCAGTTATTTCACGATGAAATCTTCAATATGTTACGCGCGTCTCTCTCTCTCTGTCTCTCTCTTTCTCTCTATATATCTCTGCATTCATATACACATGAATCGACGCCGCTAATTTCAAATTTCCTTTATTGGAACACCTCATTGATCAGTGCGGGGATTTCAGATTGCTTTCCGTAGCCTTTGAGTCGAGGCGCGCGTTCATTTCGAGGTGCCTTTGAATTAGCAAAAAGTCGTATGTTTTTAAATGAGGTTTTACTCTAATGCAAACCTTTTCGCGCGCTCGATTATAAAACTTGGTATATAATATTTTAATGAGGGGGGTAATCATTTTTTCTTCTTTTTTTGCTTCACTGTGAGAAAAGTAGCACCGTAACGAAGTAAACTTTTATATATGTAATATTCGCGCGTTCATCTCGGAAATCACATTTGTATTTGAATGTCTTGCACGCTGCTGCTGTACGCTTTGGCAAAACGCATTAGCCTGAGAGAGAGAGAGAGAGAAAAAAAATAAAAAAATAAAAAATACATCTCTACTTCCAGGATGTCTCGGGGATGTTGAGTAAGAGGTATTTTACACATCATTTCACTGTCGTATTACGAGGCATAATATACGTTTCGCTCGCGTGCGGCTGGCTGCACTTCTTTATATTTTTGCAATGTTCGTGCGGTAGCTTCTTCGAAAATGTAAGTTTTATTACAATTTCTCGAGCTCTGGGATTGAAATAGCATATTACTTCTCTCTGAGTTGCCAAAAATAGAAAAGTCCCAGGGCGCGTGTAATTAGAGGCCGAGATAACAAAAAATTGTATGAAAGTTCTAAGAAAATTCTCGGACGATTTAATCTGTAACGAAAAAAAATGAGTTTATAGCGCTTGCCATATTGTACGACATTTATATAGCGATTATATTTATAGCGAACGATCGTAATAGATCTACACTCGAAACTGTTAACGCGCGTCGATGCAATTTGCTCACGCGCGGCAGCATTTCAATACGAAAACGTACTTATTTCCAGGGATAATCTTTGCGCGAAAAAGAAAATGAAAAATAATAACTGGTCACCAGATGTAAGCCGGACAAAAAAGTATTATGTATACATAGGTATAACTGAAGTGAACCCAAGAGTTGTATACATTGGCACCCGATTCTCGAGCATTATTCTTTCTCACGAGTGTGTGTGCGCGCTGTGTACGTGGAGATCCCTCATATTTCTTTTTCGCGGGTATTTTTCTTCTCACTCTACGTGCGATTCTTCACGTAACGTGCCAGACCATTATTTCAAGTACACACACACACATACACACTCGTCGCTCTTTTTTATCCTTTACTTTTCTCTTACGCGCTACACGGATCCCTTATTTTTCTTATTTCCTTTTTTGGTCCGTTGCGTTCAATATGATGCCTCTTCCTCGTCGTGACATTGAGTTCTTGGAAAATTCGGTCGCGAATATCTAGATACACATGTTTTCCGCACGTGTCTTTATACGCGCCCATAATCAGATCTAATCGTCTTAACGCGCTAATCGTTTGGATCAGCGCGATTATACACGCAGCAGCGGCGTTCAAGCGGTCTTTTCGGTAGAGAGATATGAAAGGCCGGAATCCGACGACGGGCGCGTCCGACTAAACTCTGGCTTTATCTACTCGTTATGGCTGACTTTTGTACGTACGTACCAGTAATACTATGGTCCGCAGAGTAATCGGCCCCTCTCGCTCGCTCATCGCTGCGGCTTTCTCCGAGAGCCACTACGAGTCTTTGACCAGCTATTATTTTGTGCTTTACCGCTGTGCCGCGCGCTCGTGGATGAATTATTCGGATCCGATACGACGAAAGTAATTACCGCAACAGTGGGATGAATTTTATCGATGACGCAACGTGTGGGCAAAGTTACATCGCACACATGCAAATATTAATCACCTCACTTTGCAAAGCTAATAATGGACATGGCGCGCGAAATTCATGTAAATCGCAAATTCATCGGAGCGCGTAATCAGGCCTATATTACATTATGGCTCATGCATAATGCGCGGCTCGTCACTTTGTGACTCGGCGCGCGATGCGAGCTACTCCATTATAACGCGCGCCTGGGTGCATCATTGTTTTAATTGCAGAACAGATGAAAGAGATTTTTACGGTCGCAGCAAAGAGCATCGCGGAAAAAATTTACAGTTGTAATTATACTGCAAGCATACGAATTAATAATTTAATGCAGATTTAATCGGACATTAAAATTTAAGCAACTTATACCAAATTTTATTTAAGATACTTTTGTATAATTCTACTATGAGAATTAAGGTATTGGTGCTATCACATGAACTGTAGAAAAATGTATAAAAATGAAGTCACATACTTTATTTTAATGTAAAAATGAACAAAAACGATTTAATTCTATATTCCAAATTGAATATATTAATTAAAGCTAGCTTTCACCGCTAGGTGGCGAGTACCTTTATCTGTCAATCTACAAGTGGCAAAGTAAAAGTGTAGAAATAAAAGCACGGTTTGAAGAAATTGTTAATCGAAAATTACACTGGCAGAAAATTTGATCAAATAACCAAGAAGTTGGTCGGGTTACGGAAAGAATCGAATGATCTTTACCTTAACTCCCAAGTGTTTTTACTTTAAATGACACTTCGTGACATTTGAAAACGTCGGTATTGTTTTCGAATAAATGAAGAGTGACACAATGAATGCTATAAGCAACGTCGATACTATCAAGCGTCCCCCAGACACATTATCCGAAATAAAAACATGTAGGGAGTTTGGTAGAATAATTTGATTCTTGACGCATATTCAAACGAGTTCATGGTAATATAATAAAACTTGCTATGAGTGTATTTTATCAATCAGTTCTAATTTCCGAAAAAAAAAAAAAGAATAAATTTTAACAACGTATATATTTGAGGAGATGGTAATTTCGTAGTCACGACAGGGCAAATAATTGTTGCGCGCATGCCATGGGGCCGAGGAACGATTTCAATAACCGCTGTCATTTGTTGGAATCTTGAGTAGAACTCCAGGGATCGATCGATATATAACACACAGGCCGCATGTTGAGACTCTCTTGCTGTTGCACCGCTCTTTTCTCGCGTCTTTCTTTTTTCTTTTCCTTCTTCTTCTTCTTCTTCTTCTCCTCGAACCACCCGCGTGTGAGTTAACCCAATTTTTTTCTTCGACTTCTTTTGCTTCTTCTTCGTCTTCGATGTGATAACAACTAATGGTATATATTTTGCAGAGTATATTTCCGGTGACTCCCGACAGAAATAGTTATAAATGTTACAAAGAAATTTCTTGATGTGTATTGATTACAATTTTTCAATTAAATTTTTTTCATAGAATACTCGACTCATTATCTATAGCTTACACTCTGTGTCGTCTCTTTGCCCGTGCGCGGATAATTCCACCACAAAGAGTTCGAATGAATAAGAAAATTGAAAGTTTTTTTTTCAACTGAGATGAAAAAATATTCACCTTGTAATTAAGGCAATGACATAATCTCTCATTCGAAAAATATCGAATCGGGTAGTAAAACACTACGCAAGTGCAAAAATATAATCACTTCTATTTTTCAACACGTTTTTTTTGTTAAAACGTTTTGATTTTTCTATAATCAACTATTATTGTTTTCAAATATCCAGTCCCTCGAGTAAAAACAATGTCGTGAATTGTAAATGTCACCGTGAAAGTGGATTGAATTACTTACACTAATGAAAAAAATAATTCAATATAGTGCATGCGCGCTCTTCTGAATCGTAGTCGTGATTCTGAAGCAGGACTCGCAGATAAAAAGGGATATCGTACACACCACGCGTACACGCGCTAAAAGTACTGCACGTGGATTGTATTTTGATATTATTTATAGGACAGTTCATAATAATCTTTCATCTCTCGAGTATACGGGCGCTGCGTTTCGATACACGCAGCTACCGTGTAATTACACTTCTGCCAATATTTTCCGCGGCGGCCCCGCGTCAGCTGGACGTTATGGCTCATTAATCGTATAGCTAGTTCATAAGCTTTCGTAGTTTGAGGCATGTTTTTGACATCAAGGGCAGCATATCTACCGGATGCACAAACAGAAAAAATTAGCTTCATAATTGCATATACCTCAACACGTTCATAATCGACAGAAGCTAATTGCAAATAACTTTCTCAAAGAGTAAAATTGTTCAAATGATTTTCATTCCACTGTAACGCCTTTCGATCGAATGTCATGTTTTATTTTTTTTTCTACTTCGCTCTGAACCAGTTGAAAGCTCGGTATACAATATCATTTTGTCTTGATATCGTTCTGTCGCAGATGTATTATTCACTGCTCGCCGTGACTCTGGCGACCGTACTGCAAGAGGAAAGCCAGCACGCGGAGGGGAATGATCGCACCCGCTCCGCGTCCAACAGTATACTCGAGCCCGAGGCATCGCCTGGTAAGTGAACAAAGAAAAAAAACAGAGAAAAAAACAAACCGCAGCTGACGACGACGATAAAAATAATTCAATCGGTCGAGCTAATTCGCTTACCCAGTACTGCTACGAGTAATTATAACATGTATGCTCTGCTTCTCCTCAGCAACCATGAGCTTCAACATGGCCCTTTTAGCCTGCTCTTCCTGCGGCGTGATCTGCTGTCTTCTGCTGCTCTATGGACTTTTCAAGGTATTTATTTAAATGATTAAGAAATTACACTTGCGACATCCAAAACTGCATCAAATTTCTGTAAAATTGAATTCAAGCGATGCACTGTAATAAAACCGAGCGTATATAACCATTGAGCCGCGCGCCGCAATCGAGATAGCGCTGATGGACGATTATTATTTTTTCCTCGAGCTAAAGATTCTCTAGTCTGGACTCTCGAGGACCTAAGGAACACCTCCGAGTACTCGTATAAATCGAATGTCATTTGATTTAATGAGATTTTTTTCCATCATTATGTAAATTGAAGGTCGTGGGCTATTATCAAATGGATACTGCCAAGTTCGATAGCGTTAACAAGAAAAATTGACGTTTATCGATATTATAGCAGCAGGAAAGCTTTATTAATAATTTGCTTATTTACTTTCGATTACATCGTTCAGGGTTGCTGAAAATTAATAATTTTAAATAACCATCACAGATTCTCAACATTTCACTTTTTGATGGAGTAATTTTAATGAATCTCCGGTAAGCTCTATATTTTTCACTTTTTTCTTTTGCATTTTATCAGAAATGACGCAAAGACATTTTTGTCGAAGGTCGCAAAAAGCATATTTACGTGAATAGTTTTTATAACAAAAATACAAATATACTCAGCATGTTTAGAAAAAAAGAGGGCTTTAACAATACAGGAAAACGTAAACGATACTCTCCCATTTTCGAACTGATAAAAACATAAAGGTATTTTGTTATTTCGCTTACAAATGTGTGTCGTCGCGAGAAAATCTTCCGCCCACTGTGTTGCAGAATTGTAGTTATTTCGGTATCGCGCCAAAGTCGAATCCGCTTAAAATGCTCTACACCCTTCCTTTGATTGTTTCCGCAATGCCGCAGTATCATTAAGCAAAGTTACAGGACTTTATATATTTATGCACGCGCAGGAGTTTGAGAAACTCGTTCCCAAGCATCTTCGTAATGTCCTTGTTTTTTCAGTTTTGTATACCTCAGCAGAATAGCAACACAAATCTTTTATAACATGCAAAAAAATTTACAAAAAAAACAATCTCATGTGAAAATCGAAGTCTGTAATGCTTTGATAATCCATTCCAGCTGTTAGAAAAATGGAATCAACAAAGCTTATCACAAAGCAAATGCATGAATAAAATAAATTATAATTGATTTCAATAAATTCATTATCGAGGATTTCAAAATTGTACAAAGGAAATATATAATAAGGGTGTAATATGCAGCTTATCCGATGCTGCGAGCAATACGACGAAAGCATTTTCCAAAATACACACGCAAATTCTCGCAAACGAAATACATTGATACGATCAGCGATCCCGGCCTGGGGGGGCTTTCACCGATGCAGGTCACGTCGAGCACATATTTTTCAAAATTTGAGCGCGCGGGTTTGGGTTCAATCCCCCCCCCCCCCCCCCCCCCACANNNNCCCCCCCCCCCCACGCGCATAACGAAAAGAATAAGCAACGGATGGAGATTTTGGTTTATAATACATCGACGATCGATATACATAAACGCTCGCGTGGGCACGTTTCCGATCAGAAATTTAAAAGTCGCCGATAATATAAAGTTTTTGGCTATTTTATCGAATCTACGTGATTTGCTCTTTTGACATATGCGTCGGCGGCGCGTACCCGAAACAGTTTCCAAGCGTAAAGCGATCAAACGGTGTATACGAAACGACACGAAAATCTGAGCGTAAGATAGAAGTTAGAAGGTTACTTTTATCATGTCACATTTATTACCAAAACAATAATGATTTCTCACAACCTGCCTCGAAACTCGAAATTATCTTAATATCTATAAGTAAATTAGAAGGTAGGCCTTATCACCACCTATTTTCGCAGGGAATTTAGGGTGACAAGAAATCAAAACCGTTCTTTGACTTATTACTTATATTATTTTTCGTCACTTTATCACTTGCAGTTTTACAAGTTAAGGTACTCACCATCTAGCGGTAAAAGCTGGCTTCAATTTGATAAATCGCTATGAAAACGTTTATTTTTAATAAAAATGTTCAAATTTGAGTATAGAATTGGGTAATTTTCATTAATTTTTTCTTGAAAATAATTTATATGATAAAAAATAATCAGCACTGATTTATTAATTTTCAACGAATATTTCGCGTAAGAGTACCCTAAATAATATTCTCTACCAATTTCTTTATTTTTAATCTCTAATTTTACACATTGCATTAAATTTCAGATTCTTTCAAGAGTATTTTTTTTCTACTTTACGCCTAGAGTCAATGAATTGTGGTAGAAAATTACGAAGCAGAAACTAATAATATTTAGTAATCTCTGAGACAAGCTGCGGAGCTTGTTATAACGCGTCAGTTGAAACTCTCAACTTTCCTATAGAAACCTGAAATTCCCCTGCATATACGCGCACACACGTACACACACATATTGAGAACAAACTTTCGATTACCTCATTTCCCTCGTCCTGCGCCTTGCACCGCGTGCACTTTGAAAATTCTTGAGATCGTATCTCTTTCTCTCTCATTCATATAAATAACGCGTCAAGCCTCTATTACGGCAGGAAAAGCTCGACGCTCGTTTGGCTTAACCCGCCTCCTATTGCAGCTCTTGCACAGTAGCGGAAATTCATTTTCTTAGCTGCACTTTCACCCAGGGGTGACACCGGATTTTTCTCTCCCCTCTTCTTTTTTTGCTATTTACCAAAATGAAACCAGACGGTCGATTTTACTTCGACGACTTTGCTGTAGTATACTTCCACATGCGTTTGCGTCTCGAGTTGTTCGTGCCTTGTTCGAGGCATGAATTCATGTCTGTTATAAGGCGATGGATTCACGCGTCGATGACAAAGGGCGCCTTTACCCTCGACGAAGGAGTTACTTCCTCTTTGTCTAGTTCGTTGTACATCTATTACGAGTCAATCAATTTACGAGACGCTTGACAAATTCACGATACGATGTTGATATATTCGTTACGAATATGCCGGAAAATACTATAAAATTGAATAATACTTCAACCCTCACATAGTAAAAGTGCTGCTGTGAAACATATAGGTTATCGGTTATCATTAATTGCGTTGGTCGTTGCGCTCGTTCTACGTCGCGATCTCGTTATAACAGCGTCAGGATTGATGTGTCACATATATAAGACTGAAGGGGCGATATATTGCTTATACTCGAGGAACTCAAGACTTTTATTATAGTGTTTTTTTAATAAAGTACGAGAATTTAAATCTTAACCAAAACTTGATCGTAAATATAACTAAGCTTTTGGATTCTTTTCAAATGATGTATTGTATATTACACAATTTCAGAATAGGAAAAAGTCTTTTTGGTCGAATTAATTTTTTGTCCGCGTGAAGAAAAGTTCTCACGATCGGTTTGCGTTTAACAACCTCGTACATAACGAAATTATAAAAGCACGTACACACGCTATAATGTAAAAATCATCTCTCTCCGCAGGACGAGAAGCTGTTCCTGGTGCCGTGGATTTGCATAGTGATAGCCTGCAGCCTGGTCGACGTCGCGCACTTATTCTATCTCTTCTTCGTCGTCTCCGTAAGTATATATATATATATAACGTTTGATCTATACAGTCGATTTCATAAAAGGGGGAGAAAAAAAGAAGGAGAAGAAGCGCACCCACGAGACGCTCGTCACTTCTACATAACATGTATTATAAACGCGAGACGACTCGAGCGCAGTACGTATACGAGTATCGATTTTTTTGCCTCCTTTCTGTTTTTCGTCGACGCGCTCCATTAGGCTGGAGGTCGAGTGGCCCGTGTGCATATGTGTATACAACACGTGGAAAGCTCGTATAATCTATACTAGCTTTTGCATACACGCACACGCGACACAAGAGACAATTAGAAAAATTAGTCGCACGTGGGTAGAAATGGATTTTAACGCGCTCGCGTATATATTTATGATACGCAAGATAAAAGCTCAGCTCAGCGAGGGAGTCGCGCGCCCGTTAATAAATAAACGTAACTCGAGATCGTGAATATAAACATGCTGTATAATACATAGCGCACGACACAGCGCCAATCAGCCAAGCCCGTGCGCGAATCGCTCGTCGTGCAGCGGCTGCTTGTCACTCGGTGTACGGCTCACCTTTATATTATCACACGATAACATTTCGATGCGAAATCGATTTTCGAATGAAAACGGCGCGCGTGCGAGAGCAGCGTCCAATCGTTGTTATTACCAATACTTATGCCTGCGCCTATGTAAAGCGATACGCGAACGGCGAATTCGATTCGATCGTTCGTGAGTATTCAGATATTATTATTCATTGTCCTCGCGGCGCGTATTATTATAATTTCAATTTCTGATCGCATAAAAATAAAGCTCGTTGTATTCGTTCGAATCGACCACACGTTTAAGGGCTCAACACTACCTTTAATTCTTACTTATAATATTTTGGATATAGTATTTTGACATTATTGGCTTTTTTTGTATCTAATTGAAAGCACTATATAAATACAAATAATTAGTAGTTCTTTGTAATAAATTATACGTATAAGCAGTAAAAGTGTACATTTTCTTTATTTTATCTCGTGTATGCGACTGGGATCAATGTTCCATCTAATAAAAAGAAACCTCTTGAAACTCAATTGAGCCAATTTTGAAAACCGAATCAATAATTCTCAAAGCACTGGGGAGCTATGGTATTTTAATTAATAAATTTTGAGTACCGTAGTGGCCAAAGCATTTTCAAGTAGAGTACTACAAAAGTCAAGAACGTCAGTTTTTGAGAAAAAAATTTTATTTTCGTATTCTTGTAGCTAACATTTAATGAAAACATCACATATAAGAATATGGTACCTAATTTGATACCCTTTTCAAGCGTATCAATCAGATTCGTGTATATAGTACGGCCAAGTTGCGATGAAATTCTCAAACATCTCATAATTACGGATACGTACACACACGCGTGCAAGCTCTATCCGCAGCGATCGCTCAGTCAGTGCATGCTCGGAGGAAATTGAAATTGCGCATTCAATTCGGGTTTCGAGTCAAAGGGCTTATACTCAAGTTTCAATTGCGCATCACGAGTACCATTCGCTCGTATGATCTATAAAAAAAAAAATAAAAAATATGTGCTATGAGCGTTAATTTTTTTTCTTCTTCAAACTGTTGGTAAGTTATCCTCGAGCTCTCCTCGTCGTGCCGTTGGCATCAAGTTCGTATCACTATAACATAAAACTTTACCCTCCGTATCGCGCCGTGCTCGGAGTCTCGGAGCTGCGCACCTCTTAGACCTGTGCATTTTACGCGTTTTATATACATGCTTCAAGAAAAAACGTGTACGGAGTAAAAGCTGCGAGCATCATTTTTTTAAGTAAACTCCGATGTGTATAATTTTGAAAGTTTATGCGGGCGCCACCAACTCGAGGTTTTAATCATCTCGCGCGCAAGCTCGCGGAAATTCACCCAACTCGCGCACTGAGTTATACAATATGATACACGTATAACTATTATTCATCGTTACAAGTTAGCTATATGGCATAGTTGGAACAGTTTAAACTAGCAGTATATAGTATTTGCAAAGGATCAAGGCGGCGTCGTGTGCCGCACTCGCGTGCATGGATATATATAGGTGCACGGCTTCAACGCGTCGCTTTGACACGTACAATTTTGCGCGTACATATACGTACAACGCTATATAATGTATATAACAACGCGGCGACGAACGCCACGCCAGACCACGAGAGATGGATTAAAACGAAATTATTATACACGAAATCTTATGCAATCCAATTATAAAGACGTCCTATTGTTTATAATACTGCTAACGCTGCCGGGCGCATCGTCGAAATTAATTAGAAGCTCGCTGACAATTGCCTGCCTCTCTCTCTCTCTCTCTCTCACTCTCTTGCTCTCTGACGAGTAAATCGAAGATTATATATATAGATTCGACTTGACTCTTTCGACTAATTTTGAATGGGGAAAGTAGCGTTTCGTGGCGCCAATTTGCGCGTTTTACTGCGCGCAGCTATTGCATAGTTATGTATTTATATAAACTCGAAGTCTTATACATTATTTGCAGACGTCGTCTCCAGGGCATGTCTTTTTGCGCGCAGCTATACCATCTCGCGTGCACTTTGACTTTTACAATTTCACAAAGGTTGCGAGCGTCTCGCGCCTCAACGACCGACTGAGATATTTTCCATCAATTGTATATAAATAGCGCTCTCTTTTCATTTTGCAGCTCGCCATCACCCCGACAACTGCAATGGTACTAACCATCGACTTTTTCTTGCTCTGCCTCAATGTGAGTACACGAACTATCAATGGGTTATTAACAATAATAAAAAAAAATGTCATACGAGAATTTATTGTAATATAAAAAAGTATATAACGTGGAAAATGTTAATCTTTCCTATTTCTTTTTGCGCATTCTTTCATCTTCTCGTTTTTCAATGCGCCGCGCCGCTGCTGTGTACAGGTGTACTCGGTACTGTGCGTTATCTCGCAATACCAGGAATACGCTGCCGGCCGTGGTATGGCATCCGACGACTGCGAGCACGGAGTCAGTATATAAAATCCTATATATATACATCTATAATAATAATAATAATAATAAAGAATAATAAAAATATACACATCTTCATGTACATTTTTACATTTAATAGCGACGTCGCGCGGTTTTGCTCTCATTCGCTCGCTCTCTCCTGCTATGGGCCCGCAGGCGCAGATATGCCGGGAACGCGATACTCTCCTCGATCGTATACCTTACTATACGCACGTATGTCCGATTCTCTGTGGAATCGAATGGTACGAAATTTTGTTACCGTTTTGATGAAAAACTTTTTTTTTTCATGATCTCTCTAGATCCTATTTTTAGAGGTCTGAAGTGAGCGTTTTTCCTAAATTCATGGCCCGTTTGCAGAGATGCTCAACATTTTGAGCATTTCAAATTGAGCATAAATGAGATAGTTAATAGAACAACATTAGTATACAATTTTTTTCTAACATTTTATGCAATTATTTTCACTTTAGCACTTGCAGATTTATAGAATAAAGGTACACGCCATCTAGTGGTCGATGTTGAATGACGTCATAATTTACGAATAGCAAGTTGCCTTGGACATTTTAATAACAATTTGAAATGCTTACATTTTATGCGATTGAGCTTTGTGTGAAAAAGATTTGTGGTGACGCAGTTATGCGATCAAGCCTCTATATAAGCAAATGGGTTTCTCGAAAAGAGTCGAAAAGACAATCTTCGGTGACTGGCGATATTTGTGTTTACGTAGAATTTTACCTAATTGACATTACATGCAGCGGTGCTCAGTAACGTCTTATCAGCGGCTGCTTCTAGACGCGTAACTCGAGTAGAGAGCTAATGTCTTTCGGCATCTTGTAAACCTCTTCTTATTAAGAATCTGAAATGGAAAATAGATTCGAAATTGTAAAATTGAAATTTTGGAACATGACGAATAGTAGAAAAACAAGAGTTGAATTATAAAAGCTTAAAAAACTCTCTACAGAGGTTTATGACATTTAAAAAGTACAAAATATATGGCAAATATTTTTTTGGCCATTAAATTTCACAGATAATCGCACTTTTACATTATATACGTCGCATTTTATCATGCAATGAAAGTTAGAAAAATCGAAGATGCATTCGACGCGTTCGCGGAACGGTAAACTGACTGTATTTATAGACCAGGTCGGTACACAGCAACTTCAAAACTCAATCAGTTCGCGGAGAAGGATCGATCCCATCGTCGCGAAAAAAAAACTCGTCGGCAATGCGTGTGTACATTCGACTGCCCTGTCTTTCTACCTTTGATGAACGCACGCGGAGTTCGAATAAAGTATATACACCCTAGTTTCACTTTTTTCCAGAGCTGTTTACCGGTAAACGGGAAAATTGTCCGCCGATGAATTATCAGTTCACGACGTGGTATCATGTAGATACGTGCCGCGATCACCCGTCGATCAACTCGCGAGCTCAAAAGTCGGCTCTGTGTACCGATGAGAATTGATTATCGAGAAAAGTTGATATGTGCCCGCCCCAAGCGTAACTACGTATACTCGATACCATGTGCGCTTACGTTTAAATGAATTTCGCAATCGAGTTTCATCGTAGATTTACGAGGCTTTGATCCGTGTGTTATACTGCCAATGGTTGCATAGTGTGCTCATGATTATTCGTAGTCCGCGAATTCAATTCAATTTCATTTGTCACGACGGCGCAGTATGAGCGCGACAACAGTACGAAATTATATTATCGAAATAATCGTTCATCGAAAACGTAGTATGATTATTTGTAAACGTAATGTCCGTCTCACTCATGAGCGTCGATTCATTTTAAGGGGATAGCTCTGAATGTGCATTTTTTGTAGGGTAAGATGCCGGTCAGACGCAGCCACGCTTAACCCGCAGTCCTCTTTTCCAAGTCAACGTAGGCGGATATCTCAGCCTGATAGTAAAGGGGACTCGACACGGTAGATTTTTAAATTTATTCACCGATAAAGCCATAAGTAGAATATCCTCTCAGTAACAGTAGTTCACAGGTAGTTGATCAATTTGTAGTTTCATCGATGTAGATATAGACACTCCCTCAGCTCCTGTACGCACGCATCGTAACAAAAATTTACCAAGTAACAGCATCTTATCCTATTTAGCTCTGACACATTCTTGAAAAAGTTACGAAATACCCGATCAACGTAATAATTGCGGAGGCGATCCGTCACGAGCACGAAGGGATTTTTAAAATTATCTAGATCGTTAACCGAGCCTCAGATTTTTTTTCCTTTCTTTTTTTCTTGCCTTCCTCGCGTTCTATACGCCCCGTACTCTCTCTCTCCTATGCCTGTAAAAGTAGCGATCCTGAACTTTCATTCTTTAACGTAAGCTCCCTCAGATTATTTTTCTCTCTCTCTCTCTCTCTCTCTCTCTCTCTCTCTCTCTCTCTCTCTTTTCTTTCTTCGAGTACACGTAGACAAGATCGCCAGAGGATGAACGCCGAAGCGATAAAAAAACTACAAAAAAAATAAAGAAAAGGAGTCCCGCATGACTGAAAAGAAAAGTTATAGATTTAAGACCGTTCGACACGCTAAATAAAATCTCGCACGAGTGCTCTTTCTTTCTACGTCTCCATATGGAGTTGATATTCAAAAATGTGCAATTATTTTTTTCTATCCCTCTCTCTTTCTCTCTTTTGTTTAAGTAAAAAATTTCGATGAAAATTAGACGCGGCAACTGCACAGCAGCTTCTTAATTCTCATTAGAAGCCCAACGGGATGTGCTTTGCCTGCTTTTATGCAAGTACGTGCCTGCCTTTTGTACATCGTATATATATAGCACATGTACAGCATGCCCGAGCCATATAAATGCATAGCTTCACGCGCGCACTCGAATTCGCACCGGCGACGGCATATGCTCGGAAAAACCCGGTGTACATAACACGTACCACCGAGTCCACGTATCCGGGCGAATATTGCGAGCTCTTATATGCACTCGTCGTCTCTGTATATATTATAATAATAAAATAAAACCGAGCGCTTGCTTTCGAGCTTTTCCTGCTGATTTACGACGATCGCTGATTTACGAGAATCGACCATATAAAATATGAAAGGTGAATGGAAAAAATGTTTAAACCATGTTTTTTTAATCGATCGTTAGATGCTCGCAGTTAACCATTGGAAAAGAGAGAGAGAGAGAGAGAGAGAGAGAGAGAGATAAATCGAGAAAGGGAAGCTTAACCATAGAGAAAATTCGAATTAACATACTGCACATAGGATCGTGTATACGTACCATACAATAAGCTAATGCCCGAGCGCAAACATAAAACGGGAGAGACGCTTCCTTTTCCTTTACGTATAAACTCCGCTCGTAATTTCGAAATGAAAATTAGTTCCTCGCCTCGCCTACCTTTTTTAAATAAAAAGCTCGAGTATAATTGTACAAGCCCCCACACATCAAGAGCGCACTCGTATAATCTCTAAACGTCGGCTGTTCAGAGAGCATTAAAAAGGGTTTTAATACGCTTATGTACAACTATAAAATGCAGTTGTATGCATACGGTGCGGTACGTTATACAGGATCGTGGAACACATCGCAGCTCAACCGTTAAAGTACGAGCGACGTTTGATATTTCTGCTCAGATGAGCAAAAGCTCTCTTATCACTTTGGCGGCCATAGGCGACTTATTTTTTCACTTCGCATCGTTCTATAGACTTACGTCAAAAAGTAGACATGCATTAAGCTATAGTGCTATGCCCCTTTTTCACGCACATATACGCACACACACCCACACACACACTGCACCCAACTCACGAGCGCACGCGCACGCGGGGATAATTTTAAAATCGTGAAAAAGCTCCACAGGCCCCGACGATGCACTACGGCGCTCAAGGGGGAACCGCCACGGCCACCTACTGTCTGAGCGGCTCGCGCAACAAAGCCGTCACGAATTTCAGCAGCAACGAGACCCGCGGCACGGCCTCGACGCCGACGACCCAGAGCCCCACGACTCTGCCGACCGTCGTGGCCTCGTCGCCGGACTCCTGCTACGGACCGCAGAAGATGCTCGGCTGTGGCATTAGCATCGACGCGTCGCAGCATGTGTCGCAGCACCAGAGCACCAAGCACGTGAAATTCCAGCAGGCCCAATCGGCTGAGAAGATAGGTTCGTATATTATACATGGGTGTCAGCATATAAACTTTTAGTAAATTTATTTGGCGCAGCACAATAATCGAATATATGATAGGAGCTTTTTCGTTAATCGCAAACGTAGGGCTTTATGATCTTGAAGATAAGCGCCACCAGCCAGTTGCTGGTCAGTAGCGTCATGAAGTAGTAATCGAGAAATTGGCCGCACAAGTCTCGTAGCGCGTGACCGACGCTGCGGCAGAATTTTCCGCTGTGCACGTCCTCGTCCGTCAATTCGTGCGTGCCGAAAGCCGAGTTAATTGCGCTGACGCACTTGGAGGTGATTGTGTTGGCGATCTGTCGTAACGACGTAGAAAATATATAATATTCGTTTAAACGTGTGGATGAATTTAACACGAGTTAAAGAGATGACTTTATAGTTACCGATGACGTCTCCAAAGCTGTCGATTCCGAGACCTGTTGAATTATTTGAGAAATTATGATTTGCGTTTTTAAATGAAAATTTTCAAATTCCACTTTTCTGATGTTTAACAGCTTTTACTCTTAACGACGCGTCGACTTTTCACGTGAAAACCTACCTCGACCGAACCTCGTGCGGGTCTCAATCTCGAGCAAGCGTAATTTCCCCAATTTTCCTGCATCGTTTAAATTTACATTTTAAAAGATTATTATACAAGAACAAAATAAAAACGATATATGTCGATGTAACCTTGCACTGGTCTTGCCCGTAAAACGAGTAATAGCATCCATAATCAACGACGTAGTCGCACCAGAGCGAGGCCTGATGTATCATCAACGCGCTCATTGTCCGGCAGTATTGATCGATCGACGAGACATTTCTCACTTGTTTCTCGCACATGTGCCGAGCGGATTCGCCCACCTACGATAATTGTATTTGGTACGTGAGCACGAATGAAAAAAAACGTATATTTGAGTAAAAATATTTGAAATTTTTTCGAGGGGGCTTCAAATGCAACGTGAGCTACTCTCTTACCCAAGGCTGCGGATGTGCATCGATACTGGCCACAAAAAGCGCGCACGAGGCAAAAATCACGAAAATCAACCGGCCATTCATTTCTGCAACTTCCATCCGCGTAGCGGTCACTGCTAAATAAGAAGTACAACCCACACAGCTAATGAAGCGCGATTGTAACCCGGGAAATGCAAATTTTTTTTCGCCCGCTGCAAGCTAAGACTATTCTATGCTCGCCGTGCAAAATGGAAAAAGAATGGGAAAAATCGTGACTCCGAGCATCGCGCGCTCACGCTTTTACTGCGTTTCGCGTAAAAATGTTCAATGACATTCTATGCACACGTTCGATACTGCGAGCGACAAATATTCTCGACATTCACAGAGCGTCGAAATATTTTCACTTTTACATAGTTTTTTTAAAATGGTATACAAATTATCTCGTATGACTTTTTTGAGAATTCGACGATATTTTTCAATCACGTACGAGCACTCGAATATCCAATCGAGCGTACGTCCATCATAGAAACGCGATCGAATTACTACATCGCAGATATCGAAATTATTGACGCTTCGGTATAATGTAGCCGCCCGAGGCCTATAATCTGCACACATACGCATGATCAATACCTGTCAATGCAAATCCACGTAGTATCCGTAATGAAAACGTATCCGCGTGTTTCCACAGATGAGGCGGCAGCCAAAGCCCTTGGACGAGCAGCAGGGCACCAGCAGCAGACGTCGTCGAGCGATCGACGGCGCGCCAGCGCGCCTACGATGCGCATCGAGATCACCAACCCAGTGGTCGGATGTGGGGTAATTGCAAGATGCAGAAAGAGCCAGTAGAAAAGGGACTGTTACATCGGTGCACGGTGGCAAGATCGAAGAGGCTCCCATTTATAAACACACGATCGGACGAATACGAAGTTAATGCCGCTGCAGCGCGAATCTCGTGTAGTCCGAATCATCTCACGGTTTATGTATGTGCAAAGAGCGAGAGAGAGAGAACATGTGACAAAGACGAATCGACTTTTCGCGACTATATAAATGCGAGAGCTGTGATCGATTGTCGAGAAAAGTTAAATTCAGTGTCCATTAGTGAAATATACATTAAGGTGGTCCAAAATAAGAAAAAAAGTTCTTTTCCTTTTCCAAACGTTTTCATTACTTTCATAAAGTAAAAAAAAGAAACTTCTGAAATTTTCAGGTCTTGATACTATTTTTTAAAAGTCACAGAGTATCAACGCTACAACTATTTTGAGTAAAAAAATATAGATTTTTCACATCAAAAAGGACATCAACAAGTGCATTACCAAATTTTAATTTCGAAGTTTTTATCGTTAAAAATTACAATTGTCCTCCAACAATTCTCACATTGTAGAACGTTTTCTAAATGATTATTCATGTTTCAGCTGCATACATTCGTAGACTACTTGAAGCAATCGTTGAGCCTCTGGTAACGTATACCAAAGAGTTCTACTACTATAGAAATACATATATAGATTCAATTTTCAAGGTTTTGGAAATGACAAAAGCAACTCACTTCTTATTTCAATTGATTTTTCCGCATTTTTGATCGTATTCAATTTAGTTACCTTTAAGAATTTATATTAATATTTTAAATTTTCAGAAGTTTACTAATTTTACTTTATGAAAGTAATGAAACTGTATCCGTGTTGTATCCTCGTGTTATCAGTGTGACGTCCACGTATTTCTGTAAGCTCTCCTCTCAATCGATTGGCAACAAGAAAACATATCCTCGAATGGGATATCAATATTCGAATTTTAAATCAACGTTGATAATGAATGTATACGACAAAAAAGATGCTACTATTATTAAATGTTACTGTAAATAAATAAAAAAAGTACGCAGCGTAAGATCACGTATTTTCTAATGTACACGCTAAACCCAAAAGAGTAATTTTCGAACCACAAAAGAGTAATCTGCGCGAATTACTCTTTTAAAAAGAGTAATCTAACGCAGATTACTCCTTTCACTTTCACGCTAGAACTAAAAAGAGTAATCTACGCACGTTACTCTTTTTTGAAAAATGCCGAGTGGGCACTTACTCTTTTTGGTAAAGATTACTTCGCGCATAAGAATATTGCGCGCAGATTACGGTCTTTGAATATTAAAGAATATTTTTTATTGTATATTGATTCTCGTAGCCAGTGAATGAAAGGTTTCAAAAAAGTTTGCTTAAATTTAGCTTTAATCAATTCGTTTTTAACATATTAAAGGCTATTATTCAGATCGATTATAATAGTAAATGTCTTTCTTTATCGAATAGAAGTTTTGCAGAATGTTTTACTTTCGACTTTCTTTAATAAAATAAGGGAAGAAAAATACACGATGCACCAGTCAATGAAGCTTTTTTACCTTTTTTTAGTAATCTGCGTTAGATTACTCTTTTTAAAAGAGTGATTCGCGCAGATTACTCTTTTTAGTTCTAGCGTGAAAGTGAAAGGAGTAATCTGCGTTAGATTACTCTTTTTAAAAGAGTAATTCGCGCAGATTACTCTTTTTAGTTCTACGGTGAAAGTGAAAGGAGTAATCTGCGTTAGATTACTCTTTTTAAAAGAGTAATTCGCGCAGATTACTCTTTTGAGGTTCGAAAATTACTCTTTTGGGTTTAGCGTGTAAGAACCTTATAATTATACTCTCTATGCATAAGAAAAATAAAGGTAAGTTAACTGCGTTATGCTCTGACGGCGGGGCTGCTGCAACTTTGTATTATACATTACAACTTGTCTGCAGGGCGAGCAGCAGCAGCAGCATCAAGAAAGATGAAAAAGAAGGAAAATACGTAGTCGAGAATTAGATTGAGTCTTTTTTTTCTTCCTTCCTTGAGCAACAACGCGACGAATTTATATAAATATATGTAGTACTTTTTCCGCTGTCAAGGCGTATTACACAAGCGCCTTATTTCACTGTACATACCGTGTAATGTAACATCGTCAAGATATGGCGATTTATATGAAAATTGTAATAAAAGAGGCGCGCGTAAGTGATACCCGAATTGATGTTAGGAATGAAGAGGACAATAAAAACTGCTCTCTCGTTCATCTATGCGCATATATTTACTAAACATTCAAAAGAAACTGCTGCTGCAGGCTGTTGTTGCGTGAAAGATTTTGAAATTGCAAGCTTTGCACTTTATTTATTTTCTCGCGTGGACGGACGTAGCACAACTTCAAGTAATGGTTTATGCGAATCACGCTATGGCTGCACATACAAAATGATAATATCCGTAGGCGCCGAATTACCGACTCATACGCTTATATCGCGGCTGTGAACCGATCCAAAGCATTATGAATTTCACATCAACATAAGGTGTTCAATATTTTGTTACTTTAAAATAAAAATGGACTTCATTTTTTTTGAAAAATTTATTAATTTTTTTCAAGTTAAACATTGTCTCCTTAACAAGTAAAGTCAATTTTATACGCGCATTACATTGTAATGCGTGAATGATGCTTGGAATGAATATGGATTTTAAGGTTTTTCTTTCGTATAAATTTTCTTCCACATATATCGCATGCATATGTGACACTATTGTGCAGCATACCGATGTGGATTTTGAGCTGACCTTTTTGAGTGTATTTCTTTCCACAAAAGTAGCATGGATATTTAGTACCATTATGCACTGAGTCTATGTGGGTTTTGAGAACTTGCGTATATCGAAATTTTTTTTGGCATATATCACAAGCGTAGGTTTTCCTGTTATGTTCCACATCGATGTGAATTTTGAGATTACTTTTTTGGGTGAATGTCTTTCCACGTGTATCACATGCGTGAGTAATTTTCTTGTGCTCAGAATCAATGTGGATTTGAAAATAACTCTTTTGAGAAAATGTCTTGCCGCATTTATCACATGTAGGTTTGTCAGCTTTGTGTACCGAATCAACGTGGATTTTGAGATAACCTTTTTGGGTAAATGATTTTCCGCATATATTACATGCATGCGTGGTCTTATTATGTTCCGTATCGATATGTATTTTGACATAACCTTTTTGAGCAAAAGACTTTCCGCATATATCGCACGCATGTTTGGTACCATTGTGCACCGAATCAACGTGGATTTTGAGATAACTTTTTTGGGGAAATGATTTTCCGCATATATTACACGCATGCGTGATCTTATTATGTACCGTATCGATGTGCTTTTGAATACACCCTTTTTGAGCAAAAGACTTTTCGCAAATATCACATTTATGTGTAACACGATTGTGCACCGAATTGATGTGTATTTTGAGATAATTTTTTTGAGTAAAAGATTTTTCGCAAATATCACATTTATGTGTAACTCGATTATGCACCGCGTCAATGTGGATTTTGAGACCCCTCCGAGCTGTGAAGGTTTTGTTGCAATTATGACATGTATATGTGATAGAATTGCGTACCGTGTTGATGTGGCGTCGTTTTAGATTTTTTGTTCGTGGAAATGTATTTCTACTGTTATTACAATTTTGGGTGTTATCACTGCTCACTAATTCTGTTGTATCACTCTTTTTTCGATTTTGCTCACCGAGTTGACAGTTTAAATGCAATTCTTCTGCAACTTCACCGAAAAATTCCTGCTTCATTTCATCCTCAGTTTTTATTTTAATTGTGTCTCTAGTTTCAAAACCATTAATAGCTTTTATATTCTGCAAGTGATATTGGAAATCATCGTCAATTTTGTTGACTGCTAACAACAAATCCACACTCGGCTTTACATTTTCACATTCAAAAATTATTTTCACTTTGTCACCCAGTTTATTTTCATGATTTACATCACAATTTCGAAGCGCATGAGTCTGCCAGAAAATTAAAACTATATGAGTATTTTTATAAAATTAACTAAAATAAAAGTTCCTTAAAATTATTAAATCTTACTAGATTTTCTCGTGGGCATGGTAATAATTGGTTCTCGTCAATTATATCACAATTATTTTCACTGAGCATTACATCTCTAGGCTCCTCTTTAACTCTGAAATAGGTCAAATAAGGTTAAGTTGTCAGCTATAATATCTTTAAAATTTCATTTTCGAAAAATGAAAATTACCTGATAGAGCAATCAAGTGTATCATTGGATTCCATCTTCTTCGATTGAATTTCACTAACAATTAACCTGTGGTAATCGAACAATCTACACCAGCGTTGTTATAACGAATTCCTACACGCAGAGACTGACGAAGAACATAAAAATTTACTCGTTCTGTTGTTTACGTTGTGCGTACTTTAATAAGCAAGTGTGGACCTCTCCATGTGCTGCCCGGCTCGCTCCTCACTGTGTTTTGCTCGCATGCCTACATATATATGGTATCGGCTATATTTATTATATAACGTTAAACGAAGGGCTGTAACGAAACTGGTTGAGGATAAACTAACGTCCTTCGCGTTACACAGTTTTTCAAAGCTCAGCAGTCTTTGCACGTTTTACGGTGTAGCTTAAATTTAATTCAATATCATTCACACACCATCTTGTGAAATTTCGAAATTATCAATGTTAACCAATCACGCATAACTAAGTCATTATAATTATACATAAATGGGAAATTGACATTATGCATCTGATGTGTGAAAACACTTTTCTATATCCACGACTTATTTTTACATGAGTAATGAGTGAACGAAAACAATTGATGGTAAAAAGTGATTCTACAGTACGCGAAACGCACTGAGAAAGAGGCAGCTCACAGGAAACCGTGTATTGATAATTCAATTCGCTGAAAGTCTCGGTGACAATTCTACAAAAATCAACGCTCGAATCCAACGCGGCACGTAGCCTGCGAAATTTTCTCGTGCCAAATGCAGTCCTATATACTCTCGCTTTCGTGCATGCTTGCAAAACAACAATATTGAACTCGTGTATTATATATAAACCCAAAAGTGCCGGAATATCGCGCGTTGGGTTGAAAGGGGTGAAAAATATTTTATTATTATCTAGCACTCGAGTTTTCGATTGAAGATGCACGAAAATAAAAACAAATGAAAAAAAAACGAGCGCTATCTAGAGATGGAATTCCATAAAAATGTGGAAAACAAAATACGATTGCGAGGGAAAAGAGCAGTTGATTTTATCTAAATTATATTTAAAAAACGGCGTTATTTACATCATCACATTACAATAAACGAAATTTTATCGAGCTCGAGTCTCCGATCGTGTTTCCGAGCTTCGTACATCTTAATTCATCTCACGAATCTCGCGATGCTTCGAATTACTCGAATATCCGCGCGCGCCTACGAGGCTTCTTATCGCAGGAAATTGTATACGATACGCTAGCACTACACGCGATATTTAAAATTGCATTCAATATCATAATGTGGCAAAAGAATGCAAAACTTTTGTTTTACGATAACAGAGTTTAGTTGCAGGCTCGGAGATAATATACATTTCTTCTTTTGTTTTCCAATGTATAGAACGTCCAAGTTTATGGAGATCCTTCGGTCGATACTTGTCCGACGATTTGGCGAACTTTGATACATTCGAAGAGTTTCGTATTACATTACGAAATTCGTATTATATTACGACTGCGGTTCGTGTCAAAACTCATTGACAATATTCGATCGTTTCACACGATTATATTAGTTGGACATAAGTTTGTTTGATAATTTGACATAAGATAGTTTGACACGAAATTAAATGAATGCATTTCAAGTGTCTGGGTAAATTAATAGTTCTTGCACAGAACAGTGGGGTTATAATTGTCTCGATCGCGACGATCGAACTACTTTTACGGTATTATTTCTGACCACAAAAAAAAAGGTTTTACACGCATTATAAATGAATACGTCGGCTTTTCGGTAAGTTTATTTTGTCTATTCGATTACAATAAGTTCGAGTCGACTTTACCGCTCTGATATAAATATTACATGCGATCAGTTTATATCAAACCTATATCCATAAAGGCCATTATTTCAATTCAATAATCAACGTTTAAAATAATAAAAGTGAATAATCGATGCAGGTACAATATACATTATAGACGATACGCGTTCGTTATCGCCACTTTCAAACGGCTTAAAACGCTTCGATTTCGAAAGTAAAATTTTCAACGAGATAACGTAAGTTTGTAATAACCAAAGACCGAAGTTTCATGCTCGTGACGTTTATTATATGATATACACAATATGTAACTTCACATACTTCGTGCTCGCGAATCGTTGCCAATGCTGCTGCTGCTACTGAAGTCTCTCGGGCACATTTTACGTTTCGCACTTCTTCCCCACCGCTTCGCTCCATTGTGCGGCGAGTATGCGATAATAAAATTCGCATATAGTACACAACGCGCTGCACACAGCGAAGATTTTGACGTGTCCCAAGTAAAGCGCTTCGTTTATGCCGCTCTCTGCACATACTCGCACATTGTTCCTCGATTTAAGTGCATCGTTTAATGAAGTACGTTTACACCGTAATTTCTTTGGCTATTTTACCGACGACACTTCGCGTTGAAACCAAGCGACTGTCTACCGAGTACCGACGACTAACCTTTTTATATGCTGTGTTGTCTATAAACATAAGACGATCGAGCGCGAAGAACGATGGAGTTGAGCGCCACAGGAAAGCAATTGACGTCGAGGGAACTCCTCATACCGGCAACGTTTCCCAACCGAGAAACAGTAACCCAAGTGTTGGAGGAAATCGCTCGAGATTTGACCGGTCGTGACATTATATCAATAATGTTTTTAATGAGTGACGGTGAGACGCCGTTTTATGTCGAGAGAATTGTAAGCACACCCACAGAGGCTTTTTTACAAGTGAGAAAAATAAAAAACTGGGAGATAAAATTAATCGAGAGCCTATTTTTGACCGACAACATAAAAGTGTTGAGGAAATTAGGATTTCAAGACGTAAAAATCTCTACGAAAAATTACGATGGAAAAAATTACTTTATGCCACATTTAGATCGCGACGTTCAACGACTATACTTTTATTGTGAATCTTTAGAATTCCATGAAACTAAATATTTAATTCAGGAATTAAAAAATTCAACGGATTGTTCTTTTGAATGTGGAAGAGAACAGCAATTGGAGTTGTGTTTTCTCAATTTTCTTGAAGATCAGAAGAAAAATGACACAGGTAGCACATAAAAAAATGTTGAATTCTCTTAATAGTTCATTAGTTCATGTAATTTATCTGGAACTTTTTGCAGGTAGCCATGACATGTATGTATTGATGAGGATTTTAAACAAGATTGGATATAAAACCAGTTGTTTCAATTCATTGATTGAAAATATAAATGAAACCGATAATGCAACTTCAGTCACAACAAAACTTGTATCATCAAATGATATAAATTTCAAAGCTCCTGATCAAAATAATATATTACATAAAAAAAAAGCACCATGGTCCAATAATGATAAAAGGATATGCATTATTGTTAATATTGAAGAATTTGATAAACATAAAGTGACTTTTCCATGCTTCTGGTTTTATAAAAGTTATACTTTATCATCACAATTCATTGACACATTATTTTTAGGAGAAAATCAAACCAAGACATGGATCAGATATAGATGTTGAAAATTTGGAGGAATCCTTTAAAGGTTGTGGATTCGAAATAGAAAAACATTCAAATTTAAACCATTGGGCAATGTTGGAGCTTTTACAAGATATGCCCCATAGATATAAAAATTATGGTGCAATATTCTTGTGCATCATGAGTCATGGGACAAAAGGTAACATCTTTTATTAAAAATATTAATTTTCAGACATTCAACCCCTTACATATAATATTCTAGGTCATGTGTCATTTACAAATCAAGATTTACCCCTCGAAAAAATTGAAAAAGAGTTTTGCCAAAATGAATTAAGAAACGTTTTTAAATTCATAATTCTTCAGGCTTGTCAAGGGACTTATAAAGGTAAAATCTTATATCTCTTAAAATTACATTAGCAGATTTTTAACTATATAATTTAAATATACTATTTAGGTCTGATTAGTAAAGAACTGATTGAAACTGATGGTATAGACAACGGAATGAGTGCTTACAATCCAAAATTAAAGCTTAATTATTCAATTTTGCAAGCGACCATAGAAGGATTTCAAGCTTTTAGAAGCAAAACTGAAGGTTCTATTTTAATTCAAGCTGTTTGTAAAGAGCTCGAAGAGTCTACACCGATAAAAGTTTCAGAGTGGGCTAAGTTAGTCAAACAGAATGTTTCTACATGGGATGCGCCTTCGGAACATGAATCTTACAACTATTGTCAGGTACCGACTTACAAAGACAATACATGCTATGATTATATAATTCCAAAGTACCAAAAAGCAAAAAGAACCGGTACATAAAATATAATTTTATTTAAGTGTACTTCAAAGACGAACCGACGAGTTTAATTTAGAGTATGAACATTTCATAATAAAGATGAAGTAAAAATGTGATATTTCTACAAATACTTATGAAAATGTTAACTTTTCTCGAATACAAATACAAATACAATTACAATTATAATGTAATGATGAAAAAAGAAATTTTTATATTTTTATACAGAATTGTTGCGTTAGTGTGATATGGCCATTTAACTGTAAAAGTAAACATTTTACAATAAACGTTATAATTCATAAAAGTTAAAAAAGTGTTTGAAAAAATTGTCCTCGCAAGTTTTGCCAACCACACGTCTATCTTATACACTTGAGTTTGTGCAACTGTAGCGCGCAAAAATGAACAGCTGGTTTCCCACGCGGGCATGCGTTCAGCGTTCTATACAGACGACACAGTGACACACTCGTCGATGCGATTTCAAAAGTATGTATATATACAGATATAATTAGAAACGCTGAGAATCACGAGATCTGAGTCGTCATTTACTCTCCCATGGAAAGATAAATTTTGCGATGGATAATAATCAAATAAAAGTGAACTCCAGCGAAGGGAAGGATTCGACTGTGCAAAACATCGACAAAGAAGTCAAGAAAATGGATATGAAGCCACCCTCGACGATTGGTCTCCTTGTAAAAAATTCAGCTTTGCTTCCCGCTGGTATAGTACAAATCAATAAATCGCCGAATTCATTACAACCTGGAAACAATGATAATCTTCCGAAGTCGAGTTCCTCGAGTGGATCAGCCACTGGCAATCCTCGTAATAAAACAGCCTTAGCACCTGGGCACAGCCTCATGGATTGGATTCGTTTGGGAAATTCAGGAATTGATTTAACTGGTGTGGGTGGCAGATTACAAACAGTGACTCCCACAGAATTGGCCAAACACAACAAAATCGATGATGCTTGGATTGCAATAAGAGGCACAGTTTATAACATCACTCGTTACATGAATTTTCATCCAGGAGGAGTTCCAGAGCTGATGAAAGGTGTTGGCATAGATGCTACTAAACTCTTTGACGATGTTCATGCATGGGTAAATTATCAGAGTATACTTCAAAAATGTGTAGTTGGACGGTTAGAACGTACCATTACAGCTGATATGTATTTTACAAGTGATATAGTTCAGCCTCAGAAGAATGACAAAGTTACCGCAGTTGTTCCCAAATCATCTCCAATACAAATGGATTGGAGGCAAACGACCAATAATATAACTTTTTTTTATCGTGTAAATCGAGATGAATTCATAGGTGAATATCAGTTTCAAAAATTAAATAGTTCTGCATTTTGTATAAAATTGAATCTTGAGAAAGCCAATAAAGTTGTACTTAATGATTTTAAACTAAGTGATGAAGTTGAATGGCCACCGAATTGGAAAAATACAAATGAAATGACAGAGGTTGAAATTATACTGAAAAAAAAAATTCCAAAAATCTGGAAGACTTATGGAACTTTATCAGAATCTCAAGAAAAGTTAGATTTACAAAAACATACTTATAACAGTTATAGTATTATAGTGAATTCCACATTATGTGAGGATGTCCATCTTTTGATTTTGCAAGCAGAAAACTTAATTCAAGTTTTTCCTCCTGGAAGACATTTGGCTATTAAAATGGATATTATGGGTACAGAAGTTTTAAGAATGTATACACCTGTTCCAAATTTCATTGATCCTCAGAATAAGTTGTCCACTATAGCAAAAGATGACTGTCTCTGTTTAATTATAAAAAATTACAAAGAAGGTACTTTAACACCAAAGTTGACCAAACTAGAAGTAGGAGAAAATCTGGAGCTTAGCAATGCTTTAGGAAATTTTCAAGCACCAATTTTTGATAAATATAGTAGTATGCACATGCTAGCAGCGGGTACTGGCCTTACCCCAATGTTAAGTATCATAAAAAGATCCTTAACTTTGAGAAATCCTCCTAGTATTAATCTTATTAATTTTAATAAGAAAGAAAGTAGTATATTTTGTAATGAACAATTACAAGGAATTGCTAGTCAAAGATCACTATCTGTGACACATATTTTATCCCAAGCTGAAAGTTCTTGGAGTGGTTTGGAAGGAGTTGTAACTGAACAATTATTAAATGATAAAATTGGTGACCAGTCTTCTAAGGCTTGTATTTTTATTTGCGGTCCATCAGGTTTCATGAAAATAACAAGAGACTATTTGACAAATCTTAAATGGCAATCAGACCAAATATTTGAATTTGAAGGTTGATCAATTCAATTTTCATAATCAGAGTGTATGTGCCTTTTTTATTTATTTAAATTATGTAATGAACTGTAAGTTAACAAAAATTCAACAATGAATATTATCAAATGGAAGTTGTACAAAAAATCAATCGTTATGCTTAATAGTTATTACAAGTTAAAGTTCTTAAGTGTTTTTTTTACATTAAGTTGGGATAAATTTTTTAAAGTGTATTGTACATATATTTTAAGAATTATTGAAAGTATAAGTACCTAAAAATTTAGTCAAGGTATAGTTTATTTATATACAAGTGTCATCTTCACCATATTATATTATATGTAGATATATATTCTATAAATATATTTTTTTTTAAAAAAAATAATTTGTTTTAGTTTATTGCAACTAATTAAATACATATTCTTGTTTAAGTGACTTCTATTTAACTTTGTTTAAATAATGGCTCAACAATTTTTGCTAAATTTTTTTCAAAACAAACTGTTGAAAAGCGATCAACAGATATCCTAGCGTTTGTTCTTATTAAATCTCTTTCTCTAATAGGCATATTTACAATTGAGATTATTTTTTCAACATATTCATCTATGTCATTAGCTAAATAACCATTCCTGGTCAAAGTATCTGTATTAACAATATCTGCAAGTGGTCCACCAGAAGAATGAGCAATCATAATAAGACCAGCAGCTAAGCCATCTACAACACTTATACCAAAATGTTCATTCCACATAGCATGAATACCAATAGTCCCTTTTTGTAATTCTTGGATCAAGTCATTGTATGGAATATTTACTTTAAATTCTATATTGTCATTTACATCAACTTTTTTTGCTAAGTTTTTCAATTTGTTAACATTAACTTCATCAACTTGATTTCTACAAGAGCCTACCAATATCAATCGAATTTTACTCCAAGTTTCATCATCAACTATAGATTTTAATTTTTCCATTACTTGAATCATAAGATTGTGATTTTTTTCTGGTCTAAACTGACTGACAGAAACTATTCGGATTTCCTGGTTTTTTATATCATCAGATACTAAAGGTAGCTCAATAAGTTTTGCAACGTCACATGGTGGATACAATAGATGTGTCCGTTTTGGACAATTCCATATAGAATTAATATGTGCCTGAGTCCAAGAAGAATTTACCATTACAATATCTGCACTACAGCCTGCTAAACTGTATAAGAATGCTATGCCTTTGTAGTAACCCAATTTTAAAGTAGATAGAAATGGATTTTTAGCTATTAACTCACAATTAGTAACAGAGACTGAACCATTAGATACCTGATTGCACATATCTGATGAAATTATTGGATAATGGGTATAAGAAGCAACTTTGCAGCCTCCAAAATATTTGAACAATGGGTAAGTAAATGCATAACCCATTGTATCAATATAAATGTCTGGTTTAAAAAGCGTTAAAGCCTCCCATCCCAACCAAATGGATCCTAAACTTTGTCCTAACAAAGTACAAAATGGATATCTCTTGGCTTCCACCCAATTCCTTCGATGCAAATAAACAATATTTATATTATTGTGCAGCTTCAAATCAAACACTTTTTCAACATTTGCTAAAATAGTCTCTCGATCATAGTCTAAATCTCCAGTGTATATGAAAACGTGTACATTTTTGTAGTAAGATTGCAAAGCTCTGACAGTAGACCACAAGACTCTTTCTCCTCCAGACCTTGCATTACAATAAGGATGAAATATGCCCACGGTGATTTCATCATTGTCTTTGCTGTGTGCTTGCAGGGACTTGGTAAAGAAAGCTTTGAATAAAATCCAAATAAATAGTGGATAAAGGCACATGAAAAAAAGCCAACATGTCAAAATAAAGGCAACCGATTGACAGATGAACTTGATCAGTCTTATGTGTAAATAAAAAAACATTGTTGTACGATGTTTTTGTTATTGCTCTGTGTGTGTCAACAACCTCGAGCTGTCTCTTTGAAATTGATTGTTGTTGATCCTATAAGACAATTAACTATCAGCGGTATACTATATATACATTGTTTTTCTTGATGCAGCCAAACAATCTGCATACTATGTAACCTCACTGTTTATATTCTGATCATCTTGATTGACTCATATATTCTATCGCTGATTGCCGAATGAAATTTTCCTGCAAAAGGACAGAATTTTGCGTAACTATTGCGAAATTCACTCAACTCCGTATAAAGGAAACTTACTTGATATCTTCCGGTCGTATATGTGCGTATGTACCACAAGCTCGCAATGTTTCTGCTTCTTCTTCTTCTCCTTTTTTTCTTCTTCTTTTATACTGGCTTTGGAATCACTTATATATTGTATACATTAACAATCTCCGGTCTGCCACATTTCATGCGTGTAATGTTTCTGCTCACATATATGTACCGCTTTCGGAATCAAACAATTCGCTGCTGCGTCCGAAAAACGACGATCGGCGATGAAGCTTGCCGTCTCGCGGACGATGTCTAGGGGAGATAATGAAATTTCAAACGTTGCTAAACGATACGACTTTCGGCGCATGTTTCAATTTTATTCTCCGTTGATATGCCGCGACGCGAGCCTCTAAGTACGACGAACCGAATGGAAACATTGCGAGCAGTGTCTATGTGCGCTGTCAGTGTCAGTGTATCTCGTGCGCGCACATGCAGAATGACGGCTAGTACTTATACATAACGTGTTGATGGGTGATACGAGGGGTGGTAGTCGTTACAAAAAAAAACGTGATAAAATCGTGAATCGTTAAAAAAAACTCAGATGAGTTCGTCGAGGATCTAATTTAAAGCGCATTTACTTAGTCATCGCGGGGAGTTCCGTAAAAATAACCCATGCAATAGATATTTGAAACGAACCTTCATTCGAGCGTATAAAAAAAGCTGCGCTTTCGAAAATAGACAGAAAAATTAATTTCAGCCCGGATTTCGCGGTAGCAGCCACGAAATATATAGCTACCTATATTTATCGACCCGCATACACGAGGGGATTGAAAATTAATGAGTTCCAAACTCGCGCCAAGTCTCCATAATACAATTATCATTACGCAGTAACGTAAATATCGAGCGCGCCTGGGTACGCAGTTTATCCATCGGTGGCACGTTTCAAACTACGTCGATTTCGATAGGCAAGGAATCTTCCTCTCCACGGATATGCGATGCAAGTATCGTTGTGGGGTCAATTTTCATTGTAAATATTGCAATGTGTTCAAGAGTGCAGCAGTGCAGAGCAGCAGCAGCAGCAGTCGGTTCCGGCGCGCGCGCCCTCGGTGTCACGAAGGCTAAGGAATATTATACGATACAAAGTTCGCCGCGCGCGATGGGAATCGCGCGCCGAGTCGTGACCTGCAGTCGCTATATATTCTCAACTTATACTATACTTACACGACGATGATGCACCACAGCACAGCGACCAGCTGCAGCTTTTTTCCAACTCGCGCGTATCGAATGCAAGACTAAAAAAAATTGACTAGGGACGGGGGCGATACACGAGGCCGTGCGCGCAGAAGGAGCATACAACATAATGCACTACTCGCTCGTGGGATAAGCTGTAGGAGCGAGCAGTAAGCACACACGCGCGATTACATTATGGCACATTGGAAATGCGCACATATGGTCAGTCTTTCGGAACAAAGCGTCGTCGTCGTCGTCGTCGTAGTCGCGCGCGCAGAAAGCGCTTGTATATGACGACTATACGGAATATATATGCTGCTGCTGGAGTAGGAAAGGGGCATGAGGCACTGCGAGGGGTGGGGATCGTACTATACGATATCATCATTCGCTACTTATACATACATACATACCGTACGTATATGTATACGATACACACATAGACACTTTCGGAGTCGAAGACTATCGCGTTGGGAGCAAGCACCCAGTCACTCGCGCCAAGTCGAGTTAAAGACACATCCGCGTATACGTTGTATCGCGTGGATTCATATACACACTGTAACTCCACGTATAACCCCGTACATATTATACTTTCTTTATGTTTGTATATACGTACGTATAGATAATTGAGAACGTAAGACAGAGACGGACAGACTGAAAAGCTCAGTGAACTCGATACGCGAGAGCTTTTTAATTATTGCGTTAATAATTTTGTAATAATAATAAAAAGCAGCTGCCGTGTGCATACTGCGTGCACCTGCTTCTGTGTCTGTGTGCGTGCGTGCGTGTTTATCGAGAGAATATCGACAGTGTCAACTTCAAATTCGCACGATGACGCGGTCTACGTCGTCTGCGACTTGGACGACGACGACGACGATTTCCAGCGAGACCACTACCCACTAACGACACAGCGATTCGCTGTTGCTGTTACTCCACTACTGCTGCTGCGGCTGCACATTCGATAACGATGCCGTTTAGATTATAATAACTGCGCTGGGGCAGCTCGTGTTTCAAGGCAACAACAACGACGACGACAAAAAAGAAAAGAAAAGAACGCCTCGCTATATAATACAAGAAGCTCCTTCGCTTCGAGTCAATTAAGTTTTTTTCTTGCGTTCTGCCCTTTGTGTTTTACTTTTCTTCTTTTCCTGTGCATGGCGCGGTGCATCGAGATAGTAGTAATACCCAACTACCACTGCACCTAATATTCCACTCTGTGCTGCTGCTCAGTGACTGTGTGTGTGTGAATACCTATCCGTGTGTGTATGTGTGTGCGCGCGCTCAGCGGCTCTCGTATGTATACACAGCTCTATGCAGCTGCAGCAGCAGCAGCAGCAGAGCAGCAGTAGCTAGTCGGTGTGCTGTGCGATACGGTTTTGCGCGTGTGTACATTATTATATATATACGTGCCTTTTGCCTATTATAATATACATGTATGACTGCTGCAGGCCAACGAGTCGCGCGAGTAGTAGTAGCAGTAGCAGCAGCGATGTATAACGCGATCGTTTGAATGCGCGTGTACGTGTGTATTGTGATACAATATTAATAAATGCATCGGTGTCCGTGCGCGTCCACTGTGCGTGTGTGCACTGCATAATATATCTCATTCGCATATATATATTATATTTATTATAGGTTAGTGCGCGAATGTGCGCGTAGTGAGTGTACGAGTGACACATTAGTCACGATAATCATATACGTATATAGTGGCGCATCGGACTGTGGGCCCTGCGACGTTGCGAATACAAGGGGTCTATCTCTCTGTCTGTCTCTCGTTCTCAGCTGCACGACGAAGACAGCAGAAAGGAGAGAAACATTGAAGTACAAAAGAAGAAGAAGAAGAAGAAGAAAAAAATCATAATATAATAGGCGGCCCGCAGGCAGGCTGAGCAGAGAGCAGAGAGACGACGAAGATAGTGTCACACAGAAATGGAAGCCGATTATCATCAGCCAGCGCTCAGTCCCGCGAGAGTACTCACAGGTGAGAGAGCACTGACACACACAAACACACACAGACACACATTACATATACACTTACACACACGCAAGCAAGAGACTATTCCCCCGCAGAATCAAACACGGCTCTTTCTCTCTTCTCTCTCTTTATAACTCGCCTGCTAAACGTCGTAAAACCGAGTGTTATACCGTTATTGTAGCTCAAAACTGTGTGCTGCAACAAATACTGCAGCTGCAGCTCTGGCTTTTCTCTTAACGAATACCGCGTGTAGTGTCCGCTTGCAGGCACGCAGCAGAGATGATGCTGTTTAATCCGCGTGCTCGATGCTGCTCTCGCTGCGTAGGCGACTGCAATCGACGAACGTTCGTTATTTTGCACGAGCCACCACGCTTTTGTTTGTTTATGGAAATACGAAAATACGAGTGTAAAGATGTCCGGATGTTACATGCTCTCTCGTGTTATACAAGCCCGGCGCAAGCGTCTGTGTGTGCGGATAGAAAGCTCTATAAGGACAAGTAAATAAACTTGTCAGAAAATCATTCATTCCGATTGTACCGAAAAATGTCAAGTTGCAGAGATATTTGCTTGTCACTTTGTCATCGAAACGAGCGCTCCTTATTAAGCCTACCATTATGTGATCTCATTCAAGTCCGCTTGATATACATATATAATTTTGAATCAAACATCAATCAGAGATGAAGTCACAAATAATGATGTAATCACTTGCAGGAGATGGAAAGTGATTAATATTGATTCTAGAGGATGTTGCACAATATATTTAGCATACCGTATACATAAAGCAGCGCTGCAAACCTTATAAGTAAACTGCTCGAGTCCTCTTATGAAATGTAAAAAGCCTTTATTATCTTCGTGCAAATCTATACAAACATTCATGTAAAAAAACTTGAGCTTTCAAAGGGAATTGAAATCAGTAGATTATATTATGAATTATAATTATTATGAGCGCATACTAAATACTTCATTCAAATGCACACGTCGCAATGAGAACAAGCTCTTTTTTAGTAACAGTCGAGCTTACTGATAAGATAAAGCACAACCTAAATACGTGAGAGTACTTAAAGTTTAAAAAATTCAACTAATTTTAATGATAGAGCGTTGACAACTTTCTTAAAGTTAAAAAAATATCAATCACTCGCAAGTCCTTCTGCTCTCAGACTTTTTCTTGACACCGCTACCTTAGTTACGACCGAGACATAACATAGACTCTTAATCAACATAATGATAAAAATAGGTATGTGCCCAAAAAGAAATAAATCTTGATTAATACATGTGTTGTTGGAGTGTGTACATTCGAGCTTTACACACTGTCTGGTTTTCAAAGTATTTTATGGATGGGTTCTTTGGCTTTTGCTCTTTCTCTCTCTCTCTCTCTCTCTCTGTTCACTGGCAGTTTTGGCACGCTTTTTTATTGCGGAATCTCGACGCACAATGTACGAAAAAAAAAACGAATTCGAATGCCCCTCTTTGCGCAACGCGCGAACGAACGTGAAATACATTTTAATGACCGCATCAACGACGATGAAAGAAAGAAAAAAAAATCGCTGACTCGAGTACGTAAGATTTCGGTTGCACTTTAAACCCTTTGCGCGCTCCCCCGAAATGAGAGCTTGATGAAGAATGATATATACAACTTCTCGCGCGCGCATTAACGAACGAGAGAGAGCTAGCGCCCGAAGTACAGAGAGAGAGAGAGAGCTTTTTATCGATTAAATAAAATGCACTTTTTATCTCCGTCGTCGTTCACGCTGCTTCTGTACTACTCTACATATATTACATGCAACGCGACGCCTTTATCTCGAATCGATTTCAATCTCGAGGCATTATGCTGTGTGTATATGTATAGAGAAAAAACTTGGGCGATCGAGGAGAAGCGATAAGCTCGGCGCGTTCAATCGTTCGCGATCGATCGTTGTTTACACTGTATTACGTGCACACCACGCGAGAGGAAGCGCGTAGTAAAGCTCCGAAGATCAGCAGCGTGTCGCCCCGATGTCTTAATCCTGCGTCATTTTTCGGATCTTATGCGTGTAATCTCTCTCGAGTAAAGCATATTAAAAAGCTTCGTTGCAGCTCGCCGAAAAAAAGCTTCGTGTTCATCGAGAGGCGGCCGCGCAGCAATGGCACTGCTATGTATATACGACTGTATACTGGCCGCGTTCGCAACGCGGGTATTCGCATATACGGAAGCATGTGTGTTTGTGCGAGAGCCGCGAGTATCGACCCACACAGCTCTAACACGCGCGTACTAGCACTTGTATAAATACAAAACTATAATATCAGGGTGTGTGTGTGTGTGCTGCATGTGGGATATACGATCCGATGTTTTTATAAGAGTCCCGTGAGTTCGGTAGGCCATTATTTATATAGAATTTCTCGATTCTGAACGTGCCGAGTTTTCTCCTCTCTCTCTCTCTCTCTCTCTAACGCCGCGCGGCTTGAAAACTCGATATATCACTTACGCGCTTGAATTAGAGATTAATACTGGATTCGTGCAACTGCGCGGGGCTGCTATAACGTTTGCGTGCGCGTGTAAACGCGATAAACGTGTAATGTAAACGAGCGAATCCAAGACCTTTTACGCATTTCAAATAATCTCGAATTTCTCAAACGTCGTGCCTATATATGGGCTATTCCACAACAGGTGTTGCAGGCCCAAAAAATGAAGTTGAAAGTAACCATTTACTCTTCAAGAACACAATGAAAAATGAAAATCCTGAAGGGCACAGCCCCCTAGGTCCAACCCTTATGGATCTACAGGGGCTCAAAGTTGGATTTTCATGGTATGAGGATATTCTGCTTCTTACTCTGCTTTTCTGGGTGGACATAAGAAAAAATTTTTAAACCATGTTTTTTCATGTAAAATTTGATGTAGAATTCAAATCTGTACTCAGATGAGACATTAATAACCTCAAAACCCCTTGAAATAGAAAGTATGGTGTAATAGGACATAAATGTCAAAAAAAAAATATGTTCGTATACCTCAAATCAGCCCATATTGTAATATGTTCATCGATACACCAAAATACAACTTCTGATAAAGTTTGGTAACTGAGTCTCCATTACAGATCATTATGTAGCTTTTGAAAGCCCAAAAAACATGGTTTTTTCCTCATTTTCCATGTTTTTTGCCTCTTCGCTAGCTACCAAATTGTCTGTAATGGAGACTCAGTTACCAAACTTTATCAGAAGTTGTATTTTGGTGTATCGATGAACATATTACAATATGGGCTGATTTGAGGTATACGAACATATTTTTTTTTTGACATTTATGTCCTATTACACCATACTTTCTATTTCAAGGGGTTTTGAGGTTATTAATGTCTCATCTGAGTACAGATTTGAATTCTACATCAAATTTTACATGAAAAAACATGGTTTAAAAATTTTTTCTTATGTCCCCCCAGAAAAGCAGAGTAAGAAGCAGAATATCCTCATACCATGAAAATCCAACTTTGAGCCCCTGTAGATCCATAAGGGTTGGACCTAGGGGGCTGTGCCCTTCAGGATTTTCATTTTTCATTGTGTTCTTGAAGAGTAAATGGTTACTTTCAACTTCATTTTTTGGGCCTGCAACACCTGTTGTGGAATAGCCCATATATATATATGCTGAATTCAAACGAGGGCGGCTCTGTACTAGTATAGCTGTAGTAGTAGTAGAATACGTCGACGCGCAAAACTCGAACGTAAACATTATCGCGCACGCCGTCTCTGGTACAGCAGCAGCAGCTACACATGAAATGAAAATCCAGGTCACACGCGCGCACACCGATCGCACGCGGGGATGACGAGTAACTATATATACACGGCGTAGGAGGTAATAGTACCCTGTACCTATATATACGGGTGCTCGCGCGTCAAAGAGTTTTCGTCCGTGTGTTGAAGCGCGCAGAGAGCACCGCCGCCGCCACCGACCGGAAGCCGTCTTACTGCTACTTGCCTCGTCGACGATGCAAATCACGCAATTTTCCTTCTCCTTGCTTCTCTCTGTGTACGTCACGCAGGTACTATAAAGCCTCGATAGACGCGCAGCGTGGAGTTGAGAGTAGCACCACCACCACCACCTCAGCCTCACGCGATATGTACGTAGTACGTTTTTCCATGTTGGCCTTATATGTGCCGAGCCGACGCTGCGCTGCATGGAAAAAAGGAATGAGAGAGAGAGAGAGAGAGAATAGGCGAGCTAAAAGCATTATATACCTACAGGTGTGCGCGCGGCGGCAGTAGTGCAGGTCCCGCGCCAAGTCGTAACGTAGCCGCGACGCGTGCGAGGGTGTGGCGCTGCTTCTCGATAATTTACATCCATTGTAACGATCGCGTGTGTTTTTAAACGCGCACACATATCTGACTAAGCGTATCTTCTCGAGCCCTGTGTCCGTATCTTTCGAACTCCTCAAAGTACTCGTAAATTTTGGGGGGGTAGCCTACTGGGCTGCTGCAGTTATAAATCGCGTGTCCGCGTGCGGCTCGCGATTAGGATTGTTGCTGTTTGATGTACGTCCTCGTCGCGAACAGCTGCTGCGCACAAATTGCACTTATGTAAACGCCGCATCGATTTCTGCCGGTTACAACGCGGTGTACATTTTTTCTTCCTTACACACGCCTCGCTCTCGAGATCCGTAATGGTGTTTACCTTACATTACTCGTATGCGATATATAAATGCGCGCAACGAGATATCTACGAGTGCCTGAGACGATTAGAAAATCGACTCTGCAGCGCGGTGGGATCGCGCGAGCAGGCATGAATTATGTTTACGACCGGTTTTTTCTTCTTCTTTTTCTCCGATATACGACGCAACTGCTTGCGAGAGCGCAGCGCGAAGAAAACAGAAAAATACATATACGATTGCATTTAGATATAGCGAAACTAATTAAGAGTTAAAGGCGGAAAAGGATGCATAGATGTGTACGCGCGTGCGTTGACGAAGAAAAATCGATAGTGTGTTATTATATTAAGCTGTCCGACATTATATATATACACATTTATAAGTGCGGATCGAGTGAAATTGAGAAAAGCGTTCGCGGCATCTTATTAAGTATTGATACGTAAATGACCTGTCTGCGAAATTCAAACGAGCCAACCCGAATGCCACTATTATATACAAAGCGGATACTCGCCTTTTTAATATTATACGTGCGAGAATAAAATCCGAGAGCTCCGCGACGTCGATGGCAATTATAAACAAAGAAAATTGGGGAAGCGAACTGTCGTGCGTCCCGGAGAGCTGGCTGCGACGTGATCGCGGCGCGACATTCCTATATACGGGGATAGGCTATATACAGATCGGTCGCTCGACTTTCGAGAAGATTAAAGAAAGTTGGATTATTCATGCCTCGCGAACTTAAATAAATATCTCTCGACTCATTGCGTCCGCGTATGTGCAAAATCAGGTTCAACGATTCGATGCTATAAGCTTGCGAGTTTAAAACGAAAAATACACATACGCTCATTTTATCGCAATTAAGATTGTTCCAATATATATGGAGGTGAACTTGACCGTTTCTCGTTTTGTATTTATTGCAGTGAATAATGAATCGGACGACCCGTATCCAAGCCTATCGGACTTTCATGACTACGAGCCAAATTTGGAATTCGACGATACAGAACTACAAGCTCCGGCGACTACTTGTAAGTCTCTCTCTCTCTGTTCATTTTATATCATACACTTATATGCAGACGAATGTCAACGAGCTGCGAGTGAATTTCGTCATAAAAATGTCAATGTTAATCGTCTTTGCCTTCTCTGCAGCTGTAGATACATTGGAAGAAAATCTCGAGCTGAACGTGGGCGTGGGCGGTATCGGAGGCGTCGTCGGGATCGCCGATTACTTGGAGAGCCCCGTGAGCGATGGCACGATCGAGGAGAACTTCGAGGAGGCGCTCGTCGACGCGCCCGTCGTAGAGGCCGGTAAGTCTGTCTGAGTGCGCGTGAGGAGGAGAACGAGGCCGCCGCTCCGAAACTTTCCGCTTTCCCGAAAATAGTGCCGAATTATTTCGATGATCGGTCGATACGTATTTCATGACGCGTTCGCGATATTTGTGGCAATTCGAGCATCGCTGTATAGGCGACTTTCCTCGTGGAAACTGCCGCGCAGTAATAAAAATTACGATAGTGCGGTAAAAAAATAGAAAAAAAAAACAAGTATCTACGAATCCATATCTCAGCGAAACCATAACGATCGTTATACTCTTTATACCTGCACGCGCGGCGTTAATAATCGAGCGTTGAAAAGCCCTACCTCTTTTTTTACGTATGCGCGTCGCTTATAATCTGGCCGCGCGCGAGCTCGAGACCGAGAGACCCATTGTACTTTACTGTTTTATTGTTTTCGCGAGCGCAGCTGAGAGAATACTTAAACGAGCTCGCGCCGAGCGCGCCTCATTGTCTGGCCCGATATAATGTACGTGCGTATATACGAAGATCGATACCGCGATACACTTTGTGCAATCGTAATTGCTTCAGAAACCGTGCGCCGCGCTCGAGTTTTTGTCTAGATCTTATTCATCGTTCCTAAATGCAAGAGAGTAACCGAGAATTTGTCCTCTCGTATCACGCGGTGCGATGCATAGCCGACTACTTGGAAGCCCTGGACACGGAGCTGGCCGACGAGGAGGACTACAGCGACATCGCGGCGCTGGGCATCGTCGAGGTCGTGGGCGACGACAGCGCCGGTCGCAAGGTCATCGTCGTGTCGGCCTGCAAGCTGCCGCCCGTCGTGGGCCGCAGCGGCAACGACGCCGCCACGAATGCCAACGCGGCGACGACGACGCCGGCGAGCTTCAATCACGCCAAGCTGCTGCGCTACCTCACCCACACGCTCGACACGTTCGTCGAGCAGGACTACAGCCTCGTGTACTTCCATCACGGCCTGACCTCGAAGAACAAGCCACCGGTGACGTGGCTCTGGCACGCGTTTCGCGCCTTCGACCGCAAGTACAAGAAGAACCTCAAGGCCCTGTATCTCGTGCACCCGACCAGCTTCATCAGGATAATCTGGGGATTATTCAAACCGGCCATCAGGTGGGCACACATTGTGCGCTTTTTCATGTGATATTGCAGTCGCGCGATAACGATCGTCGTCGTCGTCGTCTTATCGCTTTTATTTTATGCGCTGTGCTTGCGCGCGCGCGTGTGTTTCTGCATGGCGTAAAAAGTATAAAAACTACTTTGTCGCAACGACGATTTATTATTGTATCGGCGCACGATGCCTGTATAATCGTGGCCCTGGTGCATCGTAAGCGCAACGCAGCTAATGATTCAATACGTATTTCCGGTGTACGTTCGTCGAGGCTGATCATGTTATTATACGTGTCCGTATATGGATCCAAAACTGTTTGATGGCTTTTTTTTTAAGTTCACCAAAGATAGCTTATCGCTGAATTGAATATATACTCCGAGTTCACGAAAATCGTACGTTACTTTTTGAAGAAAAAAAAATACATCCATCCCTTCTCTTTCTCGCTCTCTCTCTCTCTCTATTCATCCGGACCGTAGTAGCTACTTTCGCGTACGAAAATAATTAACGTTAATTTTTGCACCGCGCGCGTACGAATGCCTAGGCTTTCTTCGGTAAAGCTCGTGAGCAGCATCTCTGTACCAAACTGTGTTACGAGAGGCAGAAAAAAAACATAAGTACGTATTCACGTATGTCGACGATGGTGTCGAAAGAAGGCAAAAAAAAGCACTACTACGCACTCGCGATCGTCGTATCTCTAAATTGACCGGATTTTTTGTTATCTTATACTTTTTTTGCGCGCCAAGTACGCCGAGAGCGGACTGACGAGTTCATTTTTTCACAACAGCGAGGCGTGTGTTTTGAATATGTCCTTATTCGCGCGACGTAACGTTGCGACGACTGCGACTTCGAAGCCGCCGCGACTCGAAGTTTGCAAAAAAAAATTGACCGATGTGTTCTTGGTGGTTTTCAGCGCTAAATTCGGGAGGAAAATGATGTACGTCAATTATCTACACGAGTTGGCTCAGCACATCAACCTGGACCAATTAATCATTCCGCAACAAGTGATCGAGTAAGTACACAATAATAATATACGATACAGAGAGGCACACAGTGTGCGGCGCGTATACAGTGTGTTCGTAAGAAAATGGCCATGCTGCTGTTGCGTTGCTGCTGGTGCGCGGTTATATGCTGGAACGAGCAAGCGCACGAGGACGACGAGCGTGAAATTTTGTGCCCCAATGATTCGTCGTTTTACAGACATGACGAGCAACTGATGCTGAAACACAAGAAAAACATATCGGCGAATCCTCCGCAGAGTTCGATAGCTGCACCGGCGCCAACGACACAGTTCGGTGCCAGTCTTCAATTCATCAAGGAAAATAACAGAGGAGACCCGATACCGCCTATTGTCAGGCAATGCGTGGAATTTCTCGATACACCTGACGGTAAGTACTTATCATCGTCGTCGTCGTCGTCGTCGTCGTCATGCTGTGTGTTGTCCTCGCGCGTCTCTATATAATAGGTACACAGCAGGCGTACATCGTGTGTATTATACGAGGCGCGCACACGAGCGAGGCAAATGCGCGCCGCCGACTTGTTATTTCGCTACGAGCCTCGCACGCCGCGTGAAAACGACCTATTCAACGTAACGTGTCATTTACTTAACGTCGCGAGTTTATTATTAGCTCATAGCGAGATGTCATATAGTCGCGAAACTTGCTTGTCTCCGATCACGAAGGTGTGCAAAAAAAAAAAAAAAGAAAAAAACCTACGATTATGCACGAGAAATTTCAATCGCATCGATGTGTGGGACGAAAATTCTAATTACTTTTTTTTATTTATAAACAGCGCTGGAAACCGAGGGTATATTCCGAAGATCCGCCAACGTGGCCGTGATAAAGGAGCTGCAGAGCAAGTGCAATCAGGGACTGCCGATCGATTTCCAAAACGATCCACACATAGCCGCCGTGCTGCTGAAGACGTTCCTGCGCGAGCTCGAGGAGCCGCTGATGACGTACGAGCTCTACGATGAAATCACGCAGTTCCAAAGTCAGTACACACATTATTTATTATTATTATAATTATAATTTGCATAATGTTGAATGATGCGCATTCTTCGACCGCGCCGTCATTACAGTATGTGCCTACATTGTTAACGAGTTTATCTTTTCATTTAGCTCTACCAAAGGACGAGCGTCCGAAGCGGGTGAAGATTCTGATTCTCGAAAAACTGCCAGAGGACAATTATCATCTCCTAAAATACATCGTTCAATTTTTATCGAGGGTAAGAGACGATCTCCAGCAATTTCGTAAAATTGTTACTTCCACTTTTGTCATTGCAAACGTTTCTCTTGTCCCTTCGCAGGTGATGGACAGATGCGATCTGAACAAAATGACGTCCAGCAATCTCGCTGTAGTATTCGGACCAAATCTCGTGAGGTCGCCGCCCTCGCGCGGCATGTCCCTGTCCGCGATCGGACCGATCAATCAGTTCATCGACTACGTGTTCACTGACCAAGATAAAATTTTTATTATTTAAATAAACGAATGTATAGCGCAAAGAATTAACTAAACAAAAAAACAACGGGCCTAACTGAAAGCTCAAATTCAAGCCTTGTGTACAGTCTTCGAAGTGGCTCTTTGGGGATCTAGAAATCATCTGTATTCTTAAATATTATTCCTCTAACGACGAATCGAACGCTCAAGAACTCTCCATGTTTTTATCATTCATTTAACGAATACGAATATTACGATTTACGAATGAAATATATCGGTGGCAAAATCTTCGAATGCCATCTTTTTTGTCGAGAATTGTTGTGTAACATTTTGTTGACATCGAATTATTATACTTACGGAGGATAAATGATACGAATCATTCAGAGTTGATACGACTTTAATAGCAAAGTATGAAAATCTTCAGAGAGTTGTTTGAAGTAATTACCCTCGGTTGTATGAAACAATGATGGTAATAATATTGCATCATGTTATAAATAACGAAATATTATTGGTACGATTGTTACATTTATAAATATCTTATACCAGTGGATATTAATGAAAATGATAATTATCTATGAAATGTTTATATTTTGTAATAACACTTGTTAATTCTGAAATCTGTTTAATTGATGCATAGAAATTTACTTTCCAAAAGTGATTTTTAATACTGATTTTTTCTGAGAGTCTAATAATTAATGCAAAAGAGTTTACGACAGTGATATTTGAAAGTCAGAACGATTTGACTGATTTGAAAAAATACGAGTCTCGAAGGTGTGTATATTTAAATGGAAAAATTATTTTCAACCAAGCATACCAAAGATGATGAAAATGTCACAATGATTATTCATAACAATAGTATTATTCGAATTATGTAATTAATTTTTTTTGTAAAATATTTATAAAACTGGAAGATTTCTCTAAAATTCTGTTTTATTTAAGTACTGAATCAGTTTATGCGTATTTGATTGTTTATATATTTTTAATATTTTCTTTTAATGATCTTAGATTGAACATTCCAAGTGATTTTTAATAAATAAATAAGTTGACTAATTTATTAATACCATTTAGATTAAAATGAATAATTCAAATTAATTTATTTATTTTGGTTTTTATGAATAAGTTTATACAAAAATCCTATGATACTTAAAATTATTTGTACATATGTCAGCGTTGTGAAAATATAAAATTTTAAGCGCTTAGATTTGATTTTTAATTATATTCAACACATGAAAAAAAAAGAACTTAACAACAACAACAAAATCTAGGCAACTGCATAACGATCGCGTACCATGCAGAGATATCTATATAAATCAAGAAAATAAGTTTTTATGAGAATTTATTTATTATAATACCATTAAAAATTTTAACGAATAGATTATAGATGAAAATTCTATCAAAGTTTCGTCAAATTGGGTGCGAACAATTCATGTCACATTTTATTTTGTTACTCACTCAATGTGCAAAGTGATTGTCACCAGATCGACTCAATGATGGAAAATTTATAATTTCTTGCGCATGTTAAAGTTGCTATACTGTTATGCTAAGACAAACGAGCTGTCTCTTAAACACTAGCCATTCCTGATACATAATAATATTTGTATAAAAAAATTGATACTTGCGATCAATCATTCTGAAGGTGCATAAAATGTATGAAATACCATGTAAGAAAAAAACTATAATTTTTGAAACGATTTAGTTTCAACTGTCCCACAAATGTACGTAATAGAATTATGAGCAACTGATACTATGATTACTATGATGTCTGATACGTTTAACAAAATGCATAACTTGTAGATTACATATGGTCAATAAATTTAACAGATAAGCCTACTTCTGAAGAGGCTACCTTATTAATGTAAAAACAAGTGGAAATTATAAAATAAACAAGATAATAAATTGATATAAAACCGAAGAATCAACAATAAGTATGTTGATCTTAAATTGAAATTATTAAAAGATTAAAATAAATGTTATACTTACTTTTTATTCAACCCTCCAAATAGTAGTTAGTTAATGGAAATTTAATCAACCATAATCTAATAAATATGAAATTTTACACTGCTAACGATTCAATTTGCGAACAACTCAAAGTTATTCGGAGTGAGTTACTTTTCATGAAAGGTTAAAACTTTTTTTTATCCCCACAACAAGATTTTGGGGATCGTCCTGGTCATGTTGGGAAGGAAATCGTTATTTATATTTTTCTCCGATTAGTAAAAATGGGAATAAACTCAAACACTCCGTGGTTTTCCAAATTCTTATTTATTCGATGGTCTGAAAGATTTGATTAAAAGTCATTAAATATGAAAGTATCATTAATTGAAATCTGTTAAATAATTAAAGAAGGCACATTACATTGCTTTTTGTTATTAAATTGTATTTAAAGTTTAATCTTTTCCAGCGTTAACTTACATTTATGAGTATTACATTTATATAGAGTAAATTTTAGTAAACAATAAGATGTACTCTAATTGTTTTCAATCGAACAGGAATTGTAACGCGAAATTCCACATTCCTTGTACTAGAATTAAAATGTTGTATCTAGTGTACAACTTTTAAATACATTATGAGCGCGGGAAACTTACAGCGAAAATCGGCGCGAGAGGGGCAGACGATGAATTTTGGGATTCAAACATCACCGCGGTCCGTTGTTGTTCAGTCGATTTTTGCCATCGATACGTCAAAGAGGTCATCGTCCGTCATGTCGAAATTGTTGCGAATCGTTGCTCTATTGCTGCTGCTCGCGATGAGCTCGTCGATCGTCAGCGCCAGGCTGTTCTACGACAACAAGGGAGTCCCGTACTTTTTCGAAGTGCCCGACCAAGAAAAGGCGAGACTGTGCTGTGCTCGCTGCGACGAGAACGAGGTGTGCAGCTTCGTGACCCAGAACATGCAGGACGTCTGCCACGGCTACATCGACCCCGAATCGATCGGATTGATGTGAGTCTGAACGGAAGAGAAAAATAAAATACACAAACAAAGGTCAACGTCGATAAACACGAGTCGATAATTAACGCTTTTATTCCTCTCGCAGCGATTTTCCAGGCGGCCGAATGATCACGACTTCTCAGCGCTTGAATGACGAGTGGTCGCTGCTCTGGATCGATGACCCGGCCGATCCCGTGCTCAAGAGTCGCCACTTCAGCTACACCAATTGCTCCTGGACGTCGGACGTGCGCTACGAGGAGGATCTCGATAGCGAGGCTACGGAGGCTCTCGCCGAGACGATGTTCAACCCGAGGCACCACTACGATGTGCTGGTCTCTTTAGAGCCGGCCAACTGTCGCCGATTCATTTGCGACGTCACGGTGTACAAGAGGAGCACGAGGTTCAATCCCGACACGCTGGAGGCGGAACTAGAGAGACTCCCGAGGGATGATCTGTGAGGGGATACTTTTGTCCGCGCCACGGGGAAGCAAGAAAAAAGTATTATATTTTATAGATTTTATTTTAATATTGTATATAAAAACGATTTATTTTGTAAATATTGATTAAGAAGTAGAGACTGTACATTTAATTGTTCCCTCATAAAATGTAAACTCATAAAATTGATAAATTATATCCAACTAACTGAAAATCGATACTCTTTGTTAAAATTACTTTCATGCTTTAAATGGGAAATTTTCATCCGGTGCTTTCATATGTTATGTCCTGTATGTGTAAGTACTGCCGAGAGTTGAGAAAATAGTCACTGTGTACAGTCGATGATGAACCGCTGTCATCCACAGAAATGAGAACAGATCGATTTTAAATCATCGCACGGGGTCTAACGAGAAACATGTCTGCAGTTCTACACGTGCATCTATGTCGTTGGCTTCTCTTTTGACTTTGGTCTGATCGTAATTCTGATGTGCTTCTGAGTGCCCGAAATGTTTACAAATTGTACAGAATCATTGCCAGCAGATGAACTCAAGGTGGTAGAAATTTTATCAGAAGACTTGATAGATATGACACGTTAGCATAATAGCTATAAAGAGTTGTAGGAGTTAGAGGAGTATGGTCGAGTAATCTCGTAATCTCTAAAATGATTATATTACATAATAATTCAACATGTTGAATAAAATTCATGTCAATGTATACACTCTGAAAATAAGGTAAATATGCCAGTTGCCGATCATCCCCCTACTTTCGACCACCCAAAGATATTATTTTAATAAATAGAAATAAATATATAATTTTATTATCAGCTTTTTGGTCAAGTGTATTGGCTCATTCAGCACAAAAAATCTCATTGTTGTGAAAAAGTGAGCTTTTGTAGGATTTGTCCACCAAAAAAAATGCTTATATTCAATTGATATTGCAATAATAAAAAACTTGCGAACTCATAATATCATAAAGCAAAGGCTGATATTTTATCCTTTAAATTTTTTACGTCGCTTGGCGTGGAATGTGTTTTCAGCTCACTCGCGAGTCTTGTGCTACGATTGGAAACCACCGAATGTTACTATCCGTATTCCGTAATTATCTGCGCTCCAATAGTTGTGTAGTAATTAACGATATAATGCGGTGAAATTGTTCTTAAAGACGCCGATTTACTATTGGTTTTTTCACTCTCCATTTTTTCTTCATTCATGGATTGGAGTCGTGAGCTGTCGAGAATTCAAGAGAAGCTTGCATTGCATTGATGGGTTGGTGAATTTTTGTAAATTCATTTAGATACCAAATCTTTCTTAAGTTGTCCCGATAACAACAAGACCCAGATTAGATTTGAATTTTTTTTGTATTTTTTTTTTTTTTTTTTTTTTTTTTTTTTTTTTTTTTTTGTTGAAAAAAATCCCCTAATTTTTTTTAACCCTCCGCGTTTTGAAGCACATTATCAAATTGATTTTCTTTTTTATCAAAATTTTTTATCTCGAAAGGAGAAAACTTTAGAAAAAAATAATAAGATTAGAAAAGTATTAGAATTTTTAATACTTATGCATGCGGATTACTTTAAATTTAATTAATTCGTGACTCTATCTATATAAAATTATATGGATTTTATGCATTTAAATTCATATAAATGAATTTTTCGTAAGTCGTTTTGCACATTTTATTGTTGACAATACACTCGTTCGAAACAATTGTTTAGCCATATGACTCTATTTTCAAGACACTAAAGCCTAGTTTTAAAATTTAGTTAGAATAAACATTTTTTTCAAAATCTGGAAGGTACATATGTTTGATATTTGCATTATTTCAGAAAAACTGAGGGAACCATAATTTGCACTTGAATTGCACATATTCGCTTTAGCTGTCACTTCTCCATATGATACGTTAGGATGTGAGTAAATCTTGCTGGAGACATCGGTTATATCACTACCGAATTTTTCAAGCCCTCAAGAGTTCGTGAAAACGTGACTTTATACTGCGTTTATTGCCATTCGTTAATTCTCTAGATTATCCACTTAAAAATATCTTGTGAATTAGCTAAATCACAAGATAAAAAATTATCTTGTGATTTAGCGAAGAAATATTCTTTATAACTGGAGAAAAATTTGTAGAACTGTACTTGACAACTTTAGTCAAATCTTGCACACTCTGCAGAAAAGATGTTAATGGCAGTTACCCAATCAGAAAACATTTTTCGAAAGTTAATTTTTCGTTCAGAGTTTCACTGCCAGATGACTGAATCCTACTCACAATTCGAACATAAAGTCAGGCTAGTTTTGGGCCTCATCGTAAATGAGAGGACTATTACCGCTTCATTTTTTGGATTTTTTTTTATTGCATTTTCAGATTGTTTATATTTTTGAGAAAAGCCTTCTATTTGTGAACTAAATTAGAACAATCCCAAGGGTCAGTAGAAATAGCTAATCAGAACATGGAACATATAATTGTCATTTGGATGTCCGATAATAATATCAACAGATGGATAGACGCACTTCGATTCGTACAGTTTATGAAAAACAGATCATTCCATTTCGGAAATAAAGCAATCGCCTTATAAAGCTATGTTTGGAACTAGGCCGCGATGTGACCCCTATATAAGTGCAAAGCTTTGCTTTTTCGCTTGTGGGTGAGACTACGCCACCTAGCTATGTCTGAAGTAAATAAAATATCTTCGTATTCTTCAAAGATATAAATCTGTTATAAAATTGAATTTTCATTTCAATATTAAAAAAAAAAGAATGATTCAATCAATTGTGATTGTTGATTTAATCACGGTATTTTCTTTCGGACATATAAGATATTGCAAATTTTTAATTGTTAGTACAGTATCGTATTTAGTAGTGTACTGCATTATCTAAAAAAAATTCTTCACAAATTAAACTGAATGGAATACGGATAAAATGAAGAATTGAGGCAACTTTTGAAATTGTACATAAAGATGATTTTTATTTTTTAATTTTTTTTATTTTCGTATATAAGTAATATACTTCATTGGACACCGATACTTTGCTGCGTGTTTGTCAAATACTTATGCTTTATTCTTATTTTTCTCTCGCGCGTTATTTCCCGCACACTCTCTATTACATGGCCTTTATTATTTATTATCTTTTCGTCGTCGATGGTCAATCAACTCGTTCGCTTAAATAATAATACTCACTTTTTTATAATTTTAATACTCGTTCGTTTTATTTTCTAAATTACGTGTGCGTCACGGTAAATACAATAATAATGCGTCGCAAAACATCGGCATACGCGTACATACTATACAATACAATCCATAGCACATACGCTCGTCGTGACAAAATGTTCCTTTTGCTGTTTGAGAAAAAACGTCAATAATCTGGCGCTCGTTGCGAGGAACGCGTATACACAATTGAGTTGCAACGAAATTCGGCAGCGAATTTGCCTCGTCATCCCATTGTATGTAGAATTTCGAGCATTTTCAATGGGTTTCAGCGCCATTTACTATATATTTTTTTCAACTCTTGTTATTTATGTACAGATGTGTTCGTGCATGCACGCACTCGTGCGTGTACGCGCGATGCAATTTTTGTGTATTCGTGTTCGTGTATAGAATCGTTATAATCGTCCAGTTATTTCGATGCACGTCATAGCATTACAGACAAATAAGCGAGCTTCACTTCCATTCACATGATCTTTTATTTTTATCACATGTTTTTTTTTACCTTTATGCACGAAGCACGTATTTTAGCCACATTTAAAATAGCTCGGTCGTAAAAAATGTTTCGTTTATAGTACATGTAAATTATGATTATTATATGCATGTTTCTGGGTAAAGGTATAATTGTTGTATTGTTTCTCAGCTCATAATCGCACGCACATTTTATACAATGAAACTTTTGACTGTTGTGTGCTTATTGACACTTTTAGGCGACTCGGAAACTTTATTTATTATATACAATAAGTGGTATGTATATTGCATACGTATGAGTGTATATTATACTTGTTTTTTTTTTTATATAATTAATTATCGTCTCGTTTAGTTTTTGTTTTCGTTTTTTTTTAATATCTATAGGACGAGTTGGATTTTTTTCGATACGAATGAATATATAATGTATGTTTTTAATCGTTTTAGAGTGGTTCAAACATTACATAATCATTTATATATCTTATACATTTTTATGTAAAACAGTTTCATCGCGTTTATGGTTTATGGCCGATTTTTACCGTGAATATGGTGTGTAAAAAACTTTTACGGTAAAAAAGTGCGAAAAACACATGTACACGATCCTACCAAAGAAAATACCCATGTGGCTAACTGCAAATATGACAGTGTAAATGTGTCATTTTGAGCCATCGATGAGCTTGGAATACAAATTTTTTGGCGCACTCGTACTTAATCGGTACTATGTTCATCATTTTAGATTATCCTTAATCACTGGAAACACGTCGATTTCAATCTTGATTAACGTCAAGCTAAACGTAATTTAAACATATTTTTTTCTGTAATTTATTTTTTCGGCAATCATGCGGACAAATCATTTTTTTCCGCACGTAAGTAGTTTTGAAAAATTAAAACCCAATTTTTTTTCTCTCAAAATGTTAGCTACTTCTCGATGATAACGATCACGGGGTTCTATCAAATCACTGGCGATACGATGCAAGACTACTATCATGAACGACTCGATTTATTAATCATTTTTAACGACCATAAATATTATTTTTATCAAAATCGATGAGCTGAAAAAACTGTTACGTTGTATTTTATATACATCCTAGTCTTTGTTTATTTAAATACTTTTTTTTAATAATACGAAGACGAGAAAAAGTGCGTTTATCTCACGTAAATGTAAAAGCGGTTTCATTTTTTTTTTATTTTAACTAGTAGAATGATTAAAAATTAGTCGCCTAAAAAGTCACCGCTCGAATCAACTTTATCAAGAAAATGTGGCTTCGAACTTGTGCGCAGTCTTTTATGAGCTTTGGTTATGATTTTTGATTCGATGATGCGCTAGGTGGTGTTTATTTTACATTCAAACTTCAATTTTCAATTGCTTTTCAATCACACATTTTGAATTTTTTTATTAAATTTTAAGCATTTTCATTTCTTATTCATTAATACTAGATAAATTTGTGCGATTGGTACATTAAGGTATCATTAAAATACGACTGTTGGCAACGTCAGATTCATATTTTCAAAAGTTGAGTATATGCATGTAAAATTGCTCGAAAATTGTATAGTTTGTATAAATTTTTGCACAAAAAAAATTATCGAATTTTTCTGTTTAATCTTTAGTAGCCGTTTCATGTAATATATAGAATAATGAAAATTCTTAACTTTTTAGGCCCACGCAATTACGTACGCTTTATGAAATGCGTCGGGTAAATCTCAACAAGAATTATCCTTCATATTCATCATCATTCCATTATGCCTCTGACAAGTAATAACAATGAGTTTTAAACAGACGAATGTAACGTACTTTTAACACATCATATTTCATTTCCCAAAACTTTTCATTAGTAAAAGATACTTCGTTTTTAGTCTGTCAGCGTCAGGTGTTGTCAAATTAAAATTGAAAGTGAAAATAATAAAATCAAAAGCGTATAAGCTGCGACGAAGTGAAACGTCAGCAAAATTTATTTTAAATGCTCGACCAGCAATTATTATTTTGTACAATTCATTTTAAAATATATATAATTCATTATTTTGTAAATAATTACATAAACTTAAAAAAATTAAAAAATTGATTCAATAAATTGAAGAAATTTACAGAACGAACTGTATTCGTTCGTAACTATAAAATGTACAATATCAAACATTCTAAAATTCATTTTTATAATATTATCGTTCGGTTGTTTCGTTTCTACAAATAAATAAAATAAAATAAAAAACAATTAGCTAACTATGTGCGATGTTTTAAAACTAAAACAAAAGTTAATATCAAAATTATACTAAAAAGACGGATTCGAATAATGTTAACGAAAAATAAAGAAAATAAAAAACCCTATTCTCTTATATTCTTTGATCTAGATAAAAACCATTCGGTAAAAACAAATGATAAAATAATATATTTATCAGTTCAGTAAATCTATCTCACTCTTTTCCTAAATTTCGTTCTTTCTTTTTATCTTTTTCAATTATCAAGTTATGTATACACGTTACAATCATTTTATTCTTATAAGACATATAAATATACGTGGTATACAGCATATAAGAAAACTATTGATATCGTTCTTTTTTCGTGTAACTTATTATTTTCACCATATTTCAATATAGTTTACAGAAAAGTATGCGATGTTTTTATAGTCTTTTTTGCTTTTTTAGAAGCTGAATTATTTTTCAGGATACCACAATATCTCGTTATTAAGGTCAGCTCTAGTTTGTAGATTTATCACGATCAATATTCGTGATTTTTACGGATTTTATGAATCTTTTTTGTGCATTGCTTCTCGCTTTGTGTACTAATTATAATCTTTTGCTTTATTAAAACACACGTGCCCTCAAATTGCTCCTACTTATTCTTATACGACGCTCAAACATATTTTTGCTTTTTTATAAAGTTACGAATGATATTTCGGCAAAGTGGAGTATATATTATTGACGACGAATAAAGTCATCTCTACTGGTACACTTTGGAATAATTAAGAACGCGAGAAGCCTATCTCCACCAAAAGCACAAAATATTTATAAATTCGATTTAAATAATTTAAATTTTCATTTTTACAAATATATCTAACTTTGAATTTCTAAGTAATGATTCGTCATTAAATTCAATATCTTTGCGCGATTTGATGATACGAGTCAATTCATCATTCAATGAATAAAAAAAAAATGTTCACACAAAAGTTCATTTAAAAACAGCTAGCACAGCATTGGAAAACTTTTTAAAATCGTATAATATTTCTAGGTACAACTTGCTTTTTCGCAACACACAATGTGATGAAAAGTGCATATAATATTTATAATTAGGAATGCTCAGTTCAATCATCATTGATACAATTACCGTTCGAAAAATGGCACTAACTAACTATTACTGCTCCGTGGAATGATTATGGCGTAAGATCTATGCTTCCTTTTTGAAAATAACAATACATTTGAAACTTTTTATTCGCACCTTCTGATAAATCTCACTATTTTCTTTTTTTTCAAATATCTTTTTCATGCGATAGAGCTAAGTAACAAGATAAAAACGAAGCATTTTAGCTCCAAAAAGGTTTTTTATAGTTCTCATTTGTATAATATTTGCTTAATATCTGTTATTGAAATGCTACCTAAAAAGTCTCGTTTGTTATCTTTCTATCTCGGCGAGATGCACACAACCATTATTGTAAGTTTCGCACCGAAAAAAATATAAGGAATGTACTCTGTTTCTTATATTTATATATTCCTTACTTTATCTACCTTATTCTTACGATGTGTAAAAAACCAGTAGAGAGATAGGTATGTACTTCACAGAATCTTCAACGACGTTTATTCAGTTCAGACCATAACGATGGCCTCTTTACCGCAGAAAAGGAATGGGTACTGATCGATCATGGTCTGTACAACATCTTCGAGGTATGGCCTCATCGCTTCGAATCTACCGAGATCATTGAATTCGATAGGCAATAGAGTTGGCCACCAGCATATCGCTAAATTCTTACTGTCCATACTATTCAATTTGCAATTCTCAGCAACTCTGCAATGAGTAGAAAAATAATAGATACTTCATAGATCATTGATTTTAATCGTAAAGAAGATTTAAACTTACTTGACAAAGTGTTGGAATATGAATTTTAGTACGTCGAAATTCGTCGAGTTCAGTTTGTTTAACATCATGCGAAGAGCCAATAGCCTACCGCTTCGATCTAAAGGAATTAATATGAATAAAAATGACTGTTTATTATACGTGCTAAACAACAATACATTACACGTAGATTTGAATGAAAATAAAAATCCAAAAAATAAAAGATCCAGTTTCTGCACCTGCAGAATATAAAAATCGTCTAACAGCTTGAATAAACGAATTAATTATAGTAAAATCTTACCTCGAGATGTTTATTTGAATTAATTATGTACTCTATTAGTGCACTAATTACTATAAATATGTCTATCAATATGATACATGAGTATGATGATGAAATGACATATAAGCAGTGCCAAAATAAAATTTTCAAAAATATTCGTTATTCGAGCGAGCTATTGTAACAATGTAACAAAATAATACTACTTTTTACTTTATGACAACGATGAATATCAAAAAACCTATTACTGCAGCTCCTGAACCATCTCTTTCGTTTCTTGGATTTTCCTTTTTTAATGTGATAAAAATAAAAAACATTGCAAGAAATAAACCAACCTTCCATATTCATGCATGTCGCGGACATCGGTTTGCTGATACCACGTGCACCTTTAGATATAATAATAAAAATTAAATAATAAAATCATGAACTTAAATATTCTATTAACTGTATGAATATGAGTGAATGTAATGATCATGAAGTGTATAACTATGATTTATCGTTTTACTGCAATGATTTACAACATAGCATGAAGTAATGTATTTACTCTAGTTTATAAAAGATCAAAAGATAAATGTACGCGAACATTTTGGTATTTTTTTCTCACCAGATATGTCTTCTAGTTGACTCATGCTGTCTTTGTCAATGAGAGGTGGCAATCTTTTGGAAAAGAAATCTTTCAACGCAGTTGCTACTGCATTGACTGGTATGTCCAAGGAATGAATGTCTACATTACCATCTACAACGAATGCTTAACGTTAATATTTTAATAATACTGTACTGAAATCTTTAGCTTTCATCGCGCATACACACCTTCTTCGAACTTTTGGAATAACAATTCAACATGGGCTCGGTTACCAGGTACCCTGTAGATACCCTCAGAATCCAAGCCTTCATCTTCGATAAATCTCACGCACTTTTCGAGAAACAGTGGAATTGGGTTTGTATCACTCTGGGCAAAATCTTCGATCAGGGGCTGAGACATCGATTGCATAGTCATATTTAAATTGCCACCAATGTTATTTCCCATCTGACCACTTAATTTATTCTGCTTCGTTTTTTCCTGCTTTTTCTTTTCACGTTCACGTTCTTTTTCTGCTGCATTGCGCTTTATTTTCTCTTCCTATTAAATTTATTTCGTTACAGTCGATTGAACAAGCATGACAACAAATTTAACAATAAAACAATGTACCTTTAATCGTCTTTTCTCCAACTTTTCATCCTCTTTGGCTTTTTGTTTGTCTCTTTTTCTTGTTAATTTATCCTGACTGTCTTTTGCGTTAGTTTTTCCACCTAGTATACCGAAACTTGGCGAATTCATTTCACGCGGCGATGAGACAACTAAACTCGACTCATCGTCGGGCATGCATCCTATGTTATTTTCTCCAACGAGCAGTGCCCGTTGCTGTTTTGACGACATGGTGCTGAACATCTCTTGCGTCACATGCTTGAAATTGAATGGATGCTGAAGCGTCTGTGCGAGATGTTGCTGCGCCACGTTGTTGCCGAATGACTTTTTGCCGCGAATATTGGGAGTCGATTGTTTACCACCACCACCGAGAAGTTTGTTGCGAGAAAGGGGATTCTCGAGATCGCTTGATTCCGAGCTGTCACCACTTTCACTGGAACCTGTGCAAATCGAAAACAATGAGCAAACAATTCGCTACATGGTTGGAAAAAGTGCAAAGGTTTACTTACCTCGATCGTTGCCATCGAGACGCCAGCTTTTATCGTCTTTGACCGTATAGTTTAATCCCACTATGCCGTCGGCCAACATTCCAGGCGTGCCTAATCCAGGTAACGACGGGACTTTAGGGGTTGCCACCGGTATCGCCGTACGCTTCTTGCGTTGACGCTTGTGAGACGATAACTTTTTGTTGTTTGGCAATTTGCCCAGAGCCTCGGCTATAACCTTCTGCCGCTCTAACGAGCTCCACTCCGAATCTGAATCGGTATAAGCCGTCGACGGCGAGTCTACGGTTTGTCGAAAAGTTCGATTTGTAAAAACTCTGCCTTGCGCTTATAAAAAATAAAAAAAAAATAAAACTTCCAAATTAATAAAACGTTCAAGCACTAAATTAAATAAAAAGATAATAACGCAGAGAGAGAAAGAATGAAATTTAAATGAAATCACTTACAAGGCTGCCCCTTATCTCGCCGCTGTCGTTGCTTGGATTTGTTGTTCAACGAATCATGGACTAGTGTGTAGACGTATTCGGCATCGTAATGGGGGTACATATTGGCCACGTGGTCCTTGACCTGAACAAGCGAACGATAACATTTATATTGATAAAAATACTTTTTTTTATCAAGTGATTGAGTAACCCACCTGTGAGTATTCAGAGCCAAGATCGACCATTTCTGGTGTGGCGAGCGGCGCATGACCCAAACTAATTTTTCCATGCTCGTCTTTCTCGCCAATCGCCATTCGAGATATGACATCCGTAACGTTGGAGTAATCCTTAAGATTAATTTTTCCAGGTTGTTTAAGTGTTTGGCTGTTGCCTTTTGGTCTCGTCTTTGATGATTGCATATTACGTTGTCTACCAGTGGTGAATGCTCGGTGTGAATAACTGTTGTTATCTTGGTGTTGTTGTTGCTGCTGTTGCTGTTGTTGCTGACCCATGAAAGTGTCTTTGACCCAACCTGGAAGTGTGCGAAAATGCCTCATTGCTTTTTTTTTAATTATGAAAAAAAGACAATGAATGCAAAAATGTGTTGTTTAGATATTGTGTTTTTCTTTTTGAAATGTAAAGGTAAAGTATAGCTGTAGATTGAAATTAGTGGTTTTGTTGAACTCGATTCCATGTCAAGAGTATTAAACCCAGAGTGGCTTATTTTTTGTTTTAAAAATTGTTTGTTTAGTTTTAAATCGATATTTAAAAAAAATAAATAAATCATAACGATTTCCAATTGGATATTATTACTTATTAAAACTCATCTGGGTATACTAAGAATTTAATAAACATCAATCAAAACCAGGAAAAAATAAATTTAAAAAAATATAAAATAAAAAAAAACATACAGAACAAAGAATTTTTCACATTCATACCAGACAATTTACTGGTAATGTCTCCACCTCGTCCATATTCTCGTTCGCGCTCCTCTCGATGATAATCAACTTGGCTATAAATATCACTGTCGTCACTGGGTGTGGCACGATTGTTGAAGTGCTCGTTGAGTACGCCGTCGCCGAGCTCACCGTCAGGCGTGAGTTGCTCGTAAGATTCGGAGCCGCTCCTGAAAGTTACCGACATACTGCTACACATTAGATGAGACGGAAATTACAGTCAAGGGAATGATAAAAGGTGAGAGAGAGAGAGAGGCTATAAAGTTGTATGGAAATGAGAAGCCATTTGAGAAGGTCTTTTAGATTAACTTACCCATCGTCTGGTGTTTGTAAATGGTAACTTTCGTGTCTTGGCGGAGGCATCGGATGCATCGCCGAGTATTCCAGTGTCCCCTCGCCGCTGTCGTTAAGATTGTTTGGCTCTTCCATGTGGAAAGCTTGCTCGATTTCGGGCTTTTTGTCCCATACCTCTTTGAAGAAAGGCGTGTAGAAAGCCGCTACAAATTATTCAAATAATGAGTAACTATTTTCTTTTAGATTTTGTTATAAAATAATGTAAATAATCTCGATTACTTTTTTGCTGCATCGCTGATGAGGTTGTCATAAAATGTGCCTGCAATTTATCGGCAGTGGCATTACCCTCAGTAATAAGATGATGACACAAATCATTTGTGAAGAATGCATTGGCGCCGCCAATGTCCGTCACAGCCATTATTTGAATCGGCAGATTTGGAATATTGTGCGAGAAAGCGCTGTAAAAATAACCGTTTCAATGATTAATTGAGTAAATGAAATTAAAATTTCATGATGTGATCGTGATAAATTATTTACTTGAGTGTCGCCAGCGAAGCTTTTCGTTTGGTCGAATAAACCAGGATGAAACCGTGCACGAGCTCATCCCTGAATGCGTTGGCTCCGTGAAAACTCGAGACTGTTACTTCGACACGACGCTTTGACTCGCCCAAAAATGTTTCGAGCACAATAGAACGCTCGCTGCTTAGAAAACAGCATTGATGACTTAAAAGAGGGCCCAAAACATTTTCTACTGAGAACGGATCGCCACAAAACATGCACATTATTATCCTGTTAAAAATGGAATATCATTTAAATTTTTGTTGACAATTATGTACTTTTTTTTTTAATGGAATGGTAACATTTTTACCTAATATCTGGTTCCAAGCACTCGATAACACTTTGGTATATATTGAGAAATCCTGCTCTGTGATTGATGGCTTGGACAAGTTGCTGTAAAGATTCTTTGGCGAGTGTAGACGGAAATCGTCTGTCCGACTCCAAGTCTTCAACGGCTACATCGATGAAGGGACATTGAAGGCTGTCCGCGAGATTCTGACCCTCCTCGCGCAGCCTCACAAATTCAACTTCGTCCATCAAACCGTCCGGTACGAATATAATGACTATAGGCAAACCTTGAAATGGCAGTCTGTCTTCGTGCTCCAAGCTGTTCAAAATTGTCTTTTCCAACGAGGCGCGCACGTAATCGAAAGTATCGTCGCTCGAGTAAACGCAAAATGAACCATGAGGCATGAAGTCCGAGGTTGTGAAGGAATTGTGCGGCAGACCAACGTCACCGTCTATCACGCGATAGCCGAGCGTGTAAAGTTGACAATCGATCTCGACCTCGTCGTCATCGGTTTGCGAGCGTATTTCGCGAGCAAAATCTTCGCTGAGACCGCCGCTACCGAGTATAACGAGATTCAATTGATTATTATCCAGGTTCAACTGCCATTGATTACTGTGATTCCAGGACGATGGTCGATGAGCTTTGGTGCTCAAAACTCTTTCGATGAGAGCATCCATGCAGTTTGGAAAAGCAGGGCAGTGTTCTCGGATAGGGCAGTGTACGAAGCCTAGATGCTGAAACAGCATCAATTTTCTGTCTTGATCTAATCTATCTAGAGCCTTATACCTGAAAAAAAGAATGGTTCAAGTCTCTGTCATACAATTGCACTTTTGAGTCGATCAATTTAAAAAAACATTTTTTTACCGGAAGTCGTCGATAAGAGCATCAGTTATTTCTTTGATATCCTCTTGCGTGATAGTTCCCGTAGGAGCCATACTTTTGTAATGATAAAACAAATCTGCATGCTCCAGTAGTAACTCTTGAAAATTGTGCTTGGCTTTTTCGATGATTTCTTTTTGGTGTTGATCGTAAACGTCTTGGCAGTCATGGTGCGAAAGAGCTTCAAAGCATTCGCGACCCATGAAAAGCACGCGTACTTCGGATAATTGCTTGCCAGGAGTAACGTAGCCTGTCTCCTCCAGAAGTTGTTTAAATTGCTTTTTCCACCTAAATTGATTCGAAGTGGTTAAGAGGATGTAAAAGTAATTATTCATCACACACAACAGTATTATCGCACACTTGAAAAATCACAATTTCTTGGTTTTTACTTTTAGATTACGGGAAAATTTAAGTAATATTGAGATTGTTTGAACATTTTCAATGAAATTTTTAAAGTTCATTTCATATCAATAGCTACGAGAGTATCAAATAAACTAGTTCAACAGCTTAATTCTAAGATCTAAAGTGATAAAAATGAGCCCAAATCTCTACTTTTTTATTATGCATGTCAACGTGAATTTTACAAAGGAAATGTAGTGTTAATATAATTTCATGAAACTACACTTCTTTTGGTCATTTTCAACGAGCATATGAAAAAAACCATTCCACAACCAAATATAAGTTGACTATTAAAGCCCCCAGAGTGCATAAAAGAAAATTAAGAACGAACTAATTAAAGGTAGCTATTTGCGTGTAATTACCTTTTCGGAAGTCTGCAAAAAGAAAGACGCCACCCAGAATAAAGCATAAGCATTAGTATACTGCCACATATATATTTCCCTTGCTTGGCAATTTAGAACATGTATAATGAAAAAAACCTTCAGTGCCAGCAGTAAAATTCATCATCTAGCGCATATTTTTAATGAAACGTAATTGTCAAGTTATTAAAATCAGAGTACTCGTGAATGTTAGAACGCGTAAAAATTCTACTGCTCGACATTTTTCAGGCATATATAATAGAAACTTAACAAAATAATGGTTAGTGAATCGTACCACTATGTCACCTAAGGTCTATGTATGATAATGATGATAAATAAAATGCAAAAATTATTGTTGCAGCTAAAAATATAAGATGATTCGCTTCTATCGAGATGCATCTATGTGTGCGCCGTTGTCTAATATCATTGCCAGACCGCATGGACCAGATCTATAAAAAAATGTAGACAAAGAACCAGTAAAGGAATAACTATAAACGTACTCGAGTCGTCGTTGTTCTTGCTGTAGTGCGTTGATATGATTTTTGAAAACCGTCTCGGCTTCTGGTGTTTCCAAAACATCATACGGTATTTTAGACGTAGTATTTTCTCCAAAATCGTAGTCTACCCATGGAATGTCTTCTGGACATTCATAAAAATATCGTTCGAAGTCTGGATGCGTTTTTATGAAATGTTGCACGTTGGTCCATTCCCTAAGCAACAAAAAAATCATTAGACGGCGTTCGAGTATTTGATTGATTTACCGTGCCTTTAATTTGATTGACTTACTCATTGATGAGACTCGCAACATCCGGACAAATGTCGTGCAGAATATCCGGAAGCATCTCGAGATATCCTTGAATCTTTTTGGCGATCTGTTCGTCCTTCAGCTGCTTGATGTGGCGACGAAACAGACGCTGCGTCGCGTCGATGCCGAAGAGCTCGACGAACATCTGGTACTCGCGATGGTGGGCCAACTTTTTCGAGGCTTGCGACCATATCGCGCGGTAATCGAGCACGTGCAGCCGTATGAGCCTCTGCAGCGACTCCGTAGACGCGTCCATGAGCTCCTTGCGCTGACGGGCCGCCTCGTTGAAGCCTAAGACCTTGTTGCGCAGCTTGGACTTGTCGACGAGCTGGGCGAGGGTCATGAAGGCCAGATCGACGTTGATGTTCTCGTGGGCCGACGTCTCGACCATGAGTATCGCGCCCTTGTACTCCTTGCGCATGAGCAACTTCTCGGCCTCCTTCACGTACTGCTCGTTCGCGTCGTCGTTCTTCGTCGTCACCAGTATAATGGGCTTCTTCGTCTTGACGAGATTGTTCAGTATGTTGGCCACTATCTCTATCTGCTTGTCGAGCGAGCGATTCGGCACCACGCTCACGTCGAAGACGCAGAGGAAGCCGTCGATGTTGAGCTTGCCGTCCGGCAGGACCTTCTGCTCGTACTCCTTCTCGATGCCGAGCTGGTTTTTGCATATGTACATGAGCTTCTCGGCGCTGGTGATTTTCGTGGCCGAGCAGCGCTTGGCGTACGGCTCCATTTTGCCGCCCTTGAAGGGCTGAAACGACGAGTCGTCGATGAACTCCGTGTGCTCGATCACTTGGAACGCGTAGTCCGAGGAGTTGTCCTCGGTCGGTTTGATCACCTCGCCCCAATAGAGAAAGTGATCGTTGTTAACGACTCGGCCGCTGAAGTCCGACTGTAAACAATTCATTTTTTTTGTTATTTTTTTTCAGCTAATTGAGTAAGAAAAAAATGTCTCTTTTTATTTTTATTTTTCTAAGAGAATTCGCGGTTTGTTTCATAGGCGAATGATGTCATCGATCGCGATGCATTGTATAATAAAACCCGAGTGGTATGAGTCAAGTCACACGCGGTTCGATTGCATTACACAACAAACCAGACTGTGCTTTTAAGCTATTTCATGCGATAAAAAAACGTTTTGTGCACTTTACCTGTGACAGCACGGAGATGTGATCGACATTGTAATCGTCGCTGAGCGATCGCATGAAACGATTGCAAAGGCAGGATTTGCCGACTCCGATGGAGCCCTTGTCCTTCTCCGTACCCGACAGTCCAACGACTGCCACATTTATGTACTTGATGTTATCACCTTTTCGTGCCATTTTCGTCGATTTTTTTCTCGGTCTCTTTATCCACTTTGTTTATTAAATATTTAATAAACTTATAAAATCGAACTGGCTAGTTAGACTGATAATTGTTGAAGTTTTTCAAGGTTTAATAACTTTTGATACCATGGTTTTTGAAATCTTTATCGTTGTATCAAGTAAAAACTGAAAATTTTTTGCATCAAATATTAATTTCATTTTAAATTCATTTGAAACAATGTAGTTGTTAAGAAACTAGAAAAACAGCATACCCTTGAATGATATATTTTTCTTTTCATTGCTAGAAGCACCGATTCGATAAGAGCAACGCCACATTCAAATAAATTATTACGGTACAGTTCAATCAAAATTTATATCCTCAATGTTGTCTGATGAAGTTTCTAAATAATTTATCACATATAGTAGCACTTATAGTAGCACTGTTGTAATGTTTCCTTGCAATGGCACTATGTATCTACAAACAAAAAACAAATTTTTGTTAGTACTAGAAGTCATAACACAAGTTGCACTAAATTTATGACTTGAAAAACCTATCTATGCATAACTGATTTTTGCTACTGCAATGTATATTTTCAAACTACCCATTGTTTTCTCAACTTGCATACAGTAAACAATTAAAAAATATAAGCAAAAGTAATATTGTCATTCATTGGTAAAGCACTTGTACTTTTTAAATTATCAATTGACAAAACAATCCTTGATATACTTTGAACAGCCTTAAATCATTGGAGCATGACAAGACATTTGAACTAGCAAGTGATTTCTAAACTATAATCAATTAACAACGGTATCTTATACCATTTACCTTCACGTCTGCTAATGCACAAGAAAAATTTCACACTTCCCATGTGGCATACGCCTATACACTTGCACCCAGACAACTCATTCACACAATGGAGCAACCTTCACAGAAACCTCTTAGCAGTGAACTTGAAAAATTGATAAAGATCTTTAATTAAACAAAAGGTGAGTGGCTAATGTTTTGAATGAATAATTCTCTCATATCATTAGACAGACTAAGTGAAGCCCCGCAGAATAATTGAGTCTCCAATTGACTCTCATTATTGTCCATTTATTCGATTAAAGAACAGATTAAGCGATTCTACAGGCTTCTCAGAAGAAATGATTTTCCCTTGATTATTGCACAAACACTAATGATGCATGGTGAATGTATTTGCAGTCTGCACACAAACCGCTCTTTGCGTCGCATACACTCGTGCACACTGCACACACACAAACGCTAGTAACGCATAATAATACACGACCGTCCGCACTGATCCGCACGAGTAACACACGGCGGTGGAATCTTCATTCACAAACATCTTCATACATATTCATGTCGTTGCCTGTGCCGCAGCGAGACACAGGAATGCTCGAGTAAGAGAGCTCTAAATTCCAAAAAGGCCAATCTGCTCCGAAATCCGAAAGAACCAGTTAAGCTGCTGTGCCGCTGCTCATGGAGATCGCGCGAATCGCCGCGGACATTAAACAGTACGAAAAACATTGCCCATATATACGTGTGTATAATGATATATCTATAGCTTTTCACCGCGTTCGGAATCGATACACAAAGTCGGGGATTTTACGATACTTTCACTCGATCGCGAGCGCGCGCGCTCCGAAGAGAAAGAACATTGCTCTTTCTCTCGAGCCTCGCCGCGGCACTTATATCTGTGTAGGTATATAAGGCAATAACAAAAAGAAAATCACCTTTCGACGGCGGCACTCGTCGATGTCCGCGACTCACTACTAAGACCAGCTATAACTGGTACATAGGATCACATATATAACTCAACACAGATGCACGCTCACGATACACACATGCAGTGGCAGCGGCAGCAGCTCCTGCACAAATAATGTGCAGAGTTACGCTTAAGCATGTATATAATATGAAAAGAAAGCATGGAAAATTCGAGGCAGTAGCAGCAGCAGCAGCAGCACGCCATATACATGTATATGTATGTACGAAGCCAAAAAGGAGTCCTCGGCACAGCAGGGGGGAGCCGCCGCGCGAACCCCTGGACGACCGCGTATACTGTACGAACGAGCTGAAGCGAGAAGAGACGAGACGACAGCACGCAGCAGCAGCACAACACACGCAACCGTTCCTTTTTTTTCGTCGCTCGTGTTTTTCTTTTCTTTTCTTTTGTTTGTCGTTGTTTTCTCTCTCTTTTTACACGGAACTGCGAGAGGACGACGTATAAGCCGCGATATTATAATAAGTATATAAAAGTATATGTTTGCCGCGACCAAACTATATCGCAGCTATTATTATATACGAAACGAAGGAAAGCGCAAATATGAGGAAGAAAACACGCGAGGAATTCGGAGCAATTGTATATTTAGTACTTGTCGTTGTGCATGCTGTTATACATGATTATATACAGAGAGCGCGCGCCGATGACACGACGAGCACACAATTCGGCACTATGTTGACAGAAGAATAAAAAGGAAGATAATGGCGAAATTCCGATTAGACTCGTTGATGCGCGCGCGTGTACATTATTACGATGCGTACTACTACACAATAGCGAGAGAGAACCGAAAGATCGTAAGGTTTCCACAGCTCGTCGAGTATTATGCGGTTCATTTCCAGCGGGCGCGCGCCCGGGATATTTCAGAGAGCAGCAGAGCAGCTCCTTCCGCCGCTGTATATATTATATACTATACACACGTAAGAATGCGTGAGTGTGTGTACTCAATACAGTACCTCGAGTACACGCACACGATCACGCACGCATATATAGGTACATAAAACGATGCACACACAACAGGCACGGACGGCATATGTATCGTATGTATACGCACACATTAACAGTAGCAGGAGCTTAGCCGCAAGTCAAACGTGTACTCCCTTGTACGCAGGATGTTTTCTCTGTATATTAATAGGACTCGTCAGACTATGACAGATCACGCAGGCTGACAAGATGCTGCTGCCAAAAGGAAAAGCGGCGACAGCGGTAGCGGCGGCGGCGGCTGCGGCTGCCGTCTACGTCGTCGGCTAGCTGCCTGTGTACTATATGCAGTCGGTACGCACACAAAGAAACGAACGAGCGCACACACACACACCCTCGGCTATACTATACTACTCTCCGGCCTCCTGGCTCTCAAGTCACACCCGAAAATGCATCGTCGTAGTCGATATAGTCCGCGACGATCGAGACGTCGTCCTTCTTTTTTGCTCCTTGCTTTCGACTCGAGACAACTCCTCTATCCTATCCCTATTATACGCTATATGGATTAAATGCACTCTACACACACCCGGGTACTTGCGTCTGTATGTATATGTATATATATATATATATATATGTCGGAGAGCGCACGCACAGCCCTCGAGATTCCGTATAGTATACCCACAGGAGCAGCAGCAGCAGTAGCGCCGAATACACGATACTAAAGAAAGAAAGAGATAGAGAGAGATGGATGCTATACGCGCACACCCACAATTCCGCACCCTTTCGAGTACAGCAACATATATAAACACACAACGTAGTACGTCGTCGTCGTTGTCGTACACGAACTTTGAGACATTGTGTGAATCATATGTGAATGCGCGCGCGCGTGTGTGTGTGTGTGTGTGTGTCTGTCTATGCGTGTATGCGTGCGTACATAGGTACTACCTATATGTATGCGCGGCGATTATATTCCCGGAGAGTCGAGTGAGAGAGAGAGAGCACTGAACTGACACTGTACGCGATATATATATGCGCGAAAACGATCACTGTGTACACCTATGCTGTATGTGTTTGTATACTACAACAACTCGTCACACTCGTGCGATATATGTAGCAAAAATCAGCATCGTATTGCTATATGCTTTACCTATGAGCAATTGTGTGCAGAGGCGACGCTGCATCCTCGACGTTGTCGCAACAACGATAACGAGCAGAGTCGATGCTAGGTACGACGACGGAGCTGCTGCTGCAGCAGCATCCTGCAGCCGCGAGCCATCTTTGCACGCGCGACAGCGACGACTTGACTGGTGATGACGGACTCGAGTCTCGACCGTCCGCATGCATATATTGAAAACACTTCAAAAAAAAAAATGTGTACACCACGCACGCACTCACTCCGCAACGCACCAATGTTGTCACAGAGTTGTAACGCGCACAACACTCACACTCGCACGCACACACACAAAGAGAAACACTGTGCGCACTGACTATATAGTCGCGAATAGAATAGGTGCGATATATATATATACGGTGTGCGCTCTCGACGTGCACTGCACTGTGCTAGCCGTGTGTGTCGCGGCCGAGGCGCGCGAAATATCTGCTAGTATGCGCTATTATAATGATGCTGCTCCGATCCGACCGACCGCCGTGTGCCTGTTGTGCTGCTTCTGCTGCTGCTGCTGCTGCTCCGTAATACGTAAGCGCGCCGCTCGCGTCGGTGTAGTAGAGAGTCTGCACGCAGCTTATAGTAGAATAGGCTTTTTCAACTTATCATCTCTCTCTCTTTCTTGCTCTCGCACTCTATGATATATATTTGTGTGCTGTTGCTATATATATACGTGAGTCTGTCAGTGAGTAAACCCATATGTATATACATACAGCGTGTGACAGGCGCAACGTATCGAGTGGAAAGAGAGTAGTAGTAGGGACCGTCGACCGTCTGAGCCGCTGGCGGCTACGATATATATAGTTATAGCTTATACTACAGGGACAGTGTGTATAGGTGAAAAGTCCTAGGGAGATCTGTGCGACGCGGAGGCGGCTCACGGAGTGGCGGTGGCAGCGGGGCGGGTGGAGGCGACGTACGTACGTACACACGACTGCTCCGAAATATCCTATTCCCACAATATTAGAGCCGGAGCGCGGAGTCTGCGAGCTATAAGCTCGCACTTACACAAGCACGTATATGGCTAGTTGTCGTCGTCGTCGTTGTTGTTTTACTCGAGGATATCCAGGCCGGAACAGCAGTAGCTCGGCAGTCGGTGGCGACGATCTCTGCTATTTCGCAAATTCTGTACAGTACGTACTCGCAGTGTTCAGCTTTCGCCTGCGGCCGTCCTCGTCCCGCATGTCGCTGCACTCGCAGCAGCTCTGAATGAAACAACAAAGAACGTGTGTATACCTACTAATACACCGATATCCAAGAGTAGAGTGTTGTAGCTCGTGTAAGCGTGTTGTTGTATGTTGACCATGCTACACATACACATTACACACAGAGGCGAGAGGAGCGATGCCTGTTCACTGACCCCCGGCGGCGCTATATGCTATATATATAATAATATACTCCAATGTCTCGAGCTGATGCGCCTTTACGCGTGGGTGTACACCAATTTTCTTTTTTGAATACACATCCATTGTACCATATAGACCGTATATAAACGACGATGACGTATACTTATAAACTACATATATACGAGCCACGGCGCGCACTAAATAACTAATTGTTTTTTTTCTTTCACTTTTTTTTCTCTTTTTTGCTGATGCACAGAGAGCAGCGCATCGAGTGTGTACTCGAGCGCGCGCGTTTTATGCAGTGTGCTCTACATAAAGTTTAAAGTTCGTCGGCTGCAAAAGCGCGCGCGCGCGCGCGGCCGTTATTAATTGCTATATGTATTATTACCCAACTCAGCAGGTCACCGGGCGCGCGATGCGCGTCCGATGTATTACGTAGGTGTAACATGTGCTTACTCGGACAAATTATAGATTAAAAAAAAAAAAAAAAAGAGAAGAGAACATTTTCGTTCTACTTTCGCTTGCTACACACGCGCGCGCGCTAGAATACTTGTAAAATTAATGAATCATCCGCGCGCCCGCACGTAGAACCACTACACTCGATGACAGCTATCATTTGACTCAATAACACGAGCTTTTTGTTTACATAATATAAGCCGCGTGCACGTATACGTATGCGCGCGTTCCACTACAATGATAATGCGTATAAATTCATAAATACACAGTGGCGCTAAAAATAGACCGCGTTGCTTCCAACACAATGTGTATGTATCAATTTATCATATTTAGTCCAACTGCCAGATGATCGTATACATACGGGAGCGCCCATTCGCGCTCCGAGTAAGGATCGAAATAGGTGCATGTACCGTTTTATACATTTACGATAGTCCTTCAACGGTACACGGAGAGACAGGAAGCGAGAGAAGGAGCCACGCGCGAAATAGAATAGAGAGCACCTTCCCCCCTTTTTTGGTATACACATCAGAAGAGCGATAGTTGTGTAATAAAAAAGGGGGTGGCGGAAACTAGGAGCGGCTGCAGCAGCTCCACTTATAACGTAGTATCCTTACTTTTCCTTCCCCCTAAAATAATGAATGATATGAACTTTTTTCAAAAAAGTGAGACCGGTCGTTCGATCGGAACTTCCTCGAGAAAGCTGCGCACGGAAAAAATATAATTAAAAGTGTTTCTCGAGTGTCCGAAAACTATAGCTATTTTACTGCTGTAAGGACATAAGTTGTCAGAAGAATAAAATAAATTCGTTATGAGATATTTTCATTTCGAGATCCGCTTGGATGCCTGGTTGGCGTGGCATACATTTATTTCCGAGATATTAGAAATCTCGATAATAGTTACATCGCGCTAATTAAGCGAATCATCTATGCTTAAGGTCATTTTATACTTGCCTGAATTAATTCAATAGCGTTGTTTTTTTTTGTACCTTTTCTGTAATTTGACGGTCGTGTAATAATTCTTCCGTCAGTCGATCGAATATTGAAAAGACACAAAACAAAATCGTATGTTGGCATCGGCGCAAGAGTCCGTGAGCCCAGAAGGAAGGCTTACAAATCTTCTTTATGTATACTCGAAAACGCAGATATATTTTAATACTTTTGACGTACATAAATTTTTCCGTACAAACTAACGTAACAAGTTCCAACAGTGAGGTAAATGTCATTTATTTAAATTCAACCATCACCTTTCGAAAGTTTACAACAGCATGCGTCCAAGAATGCACAAATATAAACATTATCCATCCAGTCAACCATATTTTTATAAAATTCCCTCGAAAGTTGTTCCAGTCCGGTCGTTCCTGTCAAATCTTCGGTCTTCGATTCAAAAACCTTTATCCCAATCTCCGTAAAGAAATTTCTCATCAAGCTTCTTGTTATGTCACCTCTGGTAGTGTTGCATGAACTTTGGCATCTTTGAAGAGTAAAACCATAAAGAGACGAATAGTAATCGTCATTATCTAACAAATCGTATGTTTTTTCGAGACTAGATGCACAAATGTCGGGAAATTTTACTGTAGGCTTGGATTGATACTCTTCTGTTCCTTCAATGATTCCCCTTACATCTAGCTCATCCAGCCAAGACGAATCAATAATATGACGTTTATTCATCGCGTCTAAAAAATTTCTCTTATCTTCTTCGATATTCATGTTAGCTCGCTTGACGGCAAGGAAATATTTACGAAGTCTCTCAAGAGGACTATTACAGCCATCGCCGACTTTTTCGAAGTACTTGTATGGTTTCTTCTGAATGTCAAACCACAATAGTCCCAGTTGAATTATGGAAGCTGTAAAAGTATAATCAATCCCTTTAAATACACGCGCTCCATCGTAATTTACTAATCGCAACAAAACCGCTTACCAAACTCCAAATAATTTCCGCACGTGTCAAAGCTATATTTATGAAATGGATGGATGAAAAAATAAGCCACCTGCAACTCCTCGGCCTTGCTCATCTTGTATCCCCGGCTCTTCAGTAGATGGAGGATGCGCAACAGAGCGAGAGTCGCGTCCGGCCAAGCGGCTCGATGCTTCTCGTTCCACCACTTGACGGACAAGTCGACGCCTCGCGGGTCGGCTCCGTGCTCCAGCAGTAGCTTGGTCGCGTCGTAGCTGTAGCTGCTCGTGATGGCCAAGCTCAGGGGTGTATTGCCGTTTTTGTCCTTGACGTTGGGGTTGGCGCCGGACTCGAGCAGACGCTCGACCAAATCGATCATTCCTTTGTAAACGTCCCTGTAGTAACTTATCCGGTGTGTCGCGTAACCGCTTCCGCAGTATTTCGAGGAAAGAATGAAGTGCAGTACAGTTTGGCCACTCTTGAAGACCTCGTCCTCGGTACCGGCATTTTGTCTTTGGTCCTGGCATTGATCAAGCTTTTGCTGCTGCGAGTTGTTACCGAGCTTTGGAAGACGTCCATTAAGTTTTTTGGCCAGCTTGGCGAATCGAGATTCCTTGTTTACACTGAATATCTCGACGAAAGAGCCGATCTTGTCTTCGAACAAATCGAGCTGAAATTCTCTTGAAATAGCTTTCGCGAAGGCGAGTTGCTCGGTTGTTGCCTCATCGCGCTTCCATATGCTGCCTGGTTGGTCGACGCTCATATCGTCAACAATTCCAAAACTGTTCACTGATTAACTTTAAACTGGCGCTGTTTTAATTAGTAACTGCGTATTGGATGTGCACTTTTTAAAATTATTCTCGTGACATCGGATCAAACGCGCACAAGACTCGACAGTGACTGATAGGCTCGCCCACGCGGTTGTTACCCGAATCGTTGGTTCGGGCCGACTGACTCGGATCTGTCCCCTCGTGGCTTTCGATTTTGAGAACACGAGATATCAGAAAACAAAATTGCGCAACTTTAGTACTCCAGTGGGTTTTTTTTCTCGATTCGGCCTAGGAAGTATTTTTTGGTTCTCGCGCTTGCGCAATCGGTTTAAATAGTATGAATTCTCGTATCAAAAATAGTATATGGTGTTAAAGAGTGACGTCAGTATTCTAGAACCAAAATATGATAATTTACTAAAATATGCTTTTTAGTACCCACTGAGTTACAATTTATTTTTCAATAGTGTCGATCGTAATCATTAACAAACTGAATTAAAATTAAAATAGATCAATTTATAATATAAAAATGTAAATAGTTTTGATATGAACTGTTATATAATAAATATCATGAATATTGTTACTTAACGTTAAAGTATTTGGGTCTTGCTTCGTAATAACGCTAAATTGTGTTATTTTTCACAGTTAAATTATGGGTACAGAGGGATATTAAAACTTCGCTTTTATGAGAATTAACAAATTTGCTTTATCGCTCACTTGACGTATACAAATAAGTAACATAATCTATATAATACATGGAAAGAAAAGGTTACAATTTTTCCTCACGATTCAAATGATAATTATATAATGCTCGTCGTTGATCGCATATTTGCATTATCGTGTCGTACACCGTACACAGTTATACAAGAGATGAAAATCGAATTTATAAAAGCAAACGACTTTTGGCCAGCCTTCGATCCTCTCGACGAATAAAAGAAAAAAAAATACAGCAGTACAGTGTAAAAATCCTAGCACGAGTGTGTGTATAATATAATGAGAAGTGACGGGAGGGGAAAAAAGAGAAGGAGAAGGCTTCTCAATACTCGTCGGCACCCTCGCCCTCGGCGTCGATGGAGTCGAGACCGACCTCCTCGTAGTCCTTCTCGAGAGCCGCGAGATCCTCGCGGGCCTCGGAAAACTCGCCCTCCTCCATGCCCTCGCCGACGTACCAGTGGACGAAGGCGCGCTTCGCGTACATGAGATCGAACTTGTGATCGAGCCTGGCCCAGGCCTCGGCGATGGCCGTCGTGTTGGACAGCATGCAGACGGCTCGCTGCACCTTGGCCAGATCGCCGCCCGGCACCACAGTGGGCGGCTGATAATTGATGCCAACCTTGAAACCGGTCGGGCACCAGTCGACGAACTGGATGGTGCGCTTGGTCTTGATCGTGGCGATGGCGGCGTTGACGTCCTTGGGCACGACGTCGCCACGATACAACATGCAGCAGGCCATGTACTTGCCGTGGCGCGGATCGCACTTGACCATCTGATTGGCCGGCTCGAAGCAGGCGTTCGTGATCTCGGCCACGGACAGCTGCTCGTGGTAGGCCTTCTCGGCGGAGATGACCGGGGCGTAGGTGACCAGCGGGAAGTGGATCCTCGGGTAGGGCACCAAGTTGGTCTGGAACTCGGTGAGATCGACGTTGAGGGCGCCGTCGAAACGCAGCGAGGCCGTGATCGACGAGACGATCTGTCCGATCAGCCTAGTGGCATACAAAAAAAGTTCGAGTTAGCACAATTACATTTTTGTATAATATAGAAAATAGTCGTGTATCTCAAGTACCTATTCAAATTGGTGTAAGTAGGTCGCTCGATATCGAGATTCCTTCGGCAGATGTCGTAGATGGCCTCGTTGTCGACCATGAACGCGCAGTCCGAGTGCTCCAGGGTCGTGTGAGTCGTCAGGATGGAGTTGTAGGGCTCGACCACGGCGGTCGACACCTGGGGCGCCGGATAGATGGCGAACTCGAGCTTGGACTTTTTGCCGTAGTCGACGGACAGGCGCTCCATGAGGAGGGAGGTGAAGCCCGAGCCGGTGCCGCCGCCGAACGAGTGAAAGATGAGGAAGCCCTGGAGACCGGTGCACTGATCGGCGAGCTTGCGAATGCGGTCGAGCACCAGGTCGACGATCTCCTTGCCGATGGTGTAGTGGCCGCGGGCGTAATTGTTCGCCGCGTCCTCCTTGCCGGTGATGAGCTGCTCCGGGTGGAAGAGCTGGCGATAGGTGCCGGTGCGCACCTCGTCTGTTGCGATAAATGATATAAAGATCGGCGATTATAATGTATACCGATTTTTTTAGAAACTGCAATGTAAGTGCGAATACGTACCAACGACGGTGGGCTCGAGATCGACAAAGACGGCGCGGGGCACATGCTTGCCGGCTCCGGTCTCGCTGAAGAAGGTGTTGAAGCTGTCGTCGCCACCGCCGATCATCTTGTCGGACGGCATCTGGCCGTCGGGCTGGATGCCATGCTCGAGGCAGTAGAGCTCCCAGCAGGCGTTACCGATCTGGACTCCGGCTTGGCCCACGTGTACCGATATGCACTCGCGCTGCAGAAAAACGAGGCGAATGGAAAGAAGGAAAAAAAAAACAAAATTATGTGGCAATTCTCAAGAGTGAAATCATTGACACGAATATGTATACGTGTATGAGAAATTTGAGGGTACGCCAAATGATGTGCGATATGTATATAATGTGCACTCCAAGCTCTAAATACAATTATACAAAACGAATGATGAAGTGTATACCTATAGGTGCACACGAACATGACGATGCGTCACGATTTATCGCTGATACTTGGTTTAAGCAATCGATGAACCAAATGTCTTGGAATAGCTAGGCGATCGTTATTCAAGAGCGAAGATGAATGAAAATTCGGAGGCGCGATGCCATGAAGAATGGAGGTATAATGAATTATATGCAAAATGTCACGAACGAATTTCTTCGTGCGTAGGTATATCAAACTCACGTGTATGCTAAAATTAAACATCGAGTTGCCTCGTCTGTTCATTTTCTTATATATCTATTTTATCGACGCTCGTCGAGCACCGAAATCAATAACTATAATATAATACGATTATAATTATAATACTGTGTAACGGTTGCACTGCCACTGCGTTTATTATGCACGTTACTACTTATTAATCGCTGCGTAGCGAGCGCGTGCCTATTTGCTAGTAGTAGTAGTAGCGCGGAGCAACGCGGACGGACGATCAAAGCTCGCGAAGAAATCTTTTTCGCGTCGTGTAATAAAGCGAAAACGCGACATCTGCACGCAAGTGCATACACAAAAATCTATCGTGTATGCGTGCACACGCTTATGCACGGACACATTCGTTGCTTAAGCTTTGTGCACTAGTGTGTGTGTGTGCGCCGCGAAGAATCTATTTTGAAACTTCTCTCGCTCTTAAAACTTAGAGGCACTGAGCGAGCACAATGTGTATAACTATATAAGTCTGTGCATACGTATATGAGACGTATATAGGTGCAGCTTCGTCGAGTTATATAGATACACACACGCGAGCTTGCCACGGAGGCATACGTATATATACTGCGATATATAATACACGTTTTTGTAAACGAGATTCTGTGCAGCCGTGAGCACGCGGATCGACGCGGGATATTTTGCGCAGTGAATGCGATACATCTACCGTTCGAAACTCGACGTACGATACACGAACTAGTACTAGGCGATGTACATGAAATAATGCGGCATTTTGAAAACTGCTCGATGTGTTGATTCGCGCGCTCGCACGCGAGAAGCGCAAAATAGAAATGGATAAAAAAGAATGAGAAAGTTTAGGAAGTCGATAGAGACAACGAAACTTATGTGAAGGTGTACAGAGCGCCGAGCTTCCATCGCATAGTTTTTTTTTCATTGACACGCGATGATGATCGTTATCGTACGTGTACTACTTGTCAATGTGTATATCGTATATAAACGTCAATTTGTATATACACGGGTAAATATATCGTGAGCCTCGCGCAGACGAGTGGGTCGAATATATACGAATATTGTAATATTATATTATTGCCTTGTTTGGTCGTTGTTGCGCGTTAAATGCAATAAACATACACAGGGAGAGAGCTGCATTACGTACACACGTGCGGAGGCGGCAGTTGATATCATTATGGAGTGCCACCGCTGCAGCTATTATGTATATAGAAGCTGAATGCGTAGGCGTTTGTTAAATGCGATTTACGATATGCAGTGACTTTATATTATATATGAGCAATGTGCGTCTATGTAGGTGCTATAGATAATCAACGCCCATTAAACTAGTTTATTTTATTTTCATTTTTTTTTATACTTTTTCCTGTATGATTATAATGAGAAATTATACAGTTACAAATTTATCGTCATAAATAGGAGCAAGCTTTTCAACAATTATACTACATTGGTTTTCGCGAAATTGTGTGCGCGATGTTTCTCAATATACAAATAGAAGAAAGTAATTCAATCGTGTGGCACTTACCATTATGACAGAGTAATTCGTTTACTTTCTTGTTTTCACGAGCAAAAGCTGGAGGAAAAATAATAATTTTCCAGACAAGAAGAGATGTATATTTGTAAAATCCAATGGACTGAAGCCGGCAATGAAACTTGTTTGCGATTGGATTTGTACAGTATACACCGTGTACGAGATCCCGACCTTTTCTAAGCCGCATCCGGCCGGTCGCCCGGTCTTTTATAGTCTCTCTCTCTCTCCTCCAAACGAATTCCCTCCACTCTCGGCCCCATCTCGGCCGTCGTTCTTATGTGCCGCGCTTGTTTTTCATTGCCCGGTGCACATGCGAGGCGCGGCGCGCCCATTACCACCCATGTGTGTATGAATATTTTTGCAGTCAAGTAGGGTATATTTATAAATTATTATATCAGAAGGAGCAAAAAAAATCGTAGACGTTTTATTGCGACTGCATATAGTCAAAGCCGTGAAGCGGATCTCGCGTGTGTACAGGTATTAACGAGTGAAAATCATAAATCGAGAAGAGGGAGAGAGAGAGATGGAAACGAGTAGCCAAGCATGACTTTTTATATTAATTAGCCGCGATACGCTTAGCGTCGCGTTATAGTGCACCATTATTAATTGTATACGGCAGATGCTACGTGGGCGATCGTATGGATCGAGCTGGATCTGTTGTTTTTTTGCTATTCAGCTTCTGTACAAGCTACGTTGTGCAAGTCGAGTTTACCATATAGATTCGACGAGGTCGTTGACATCTCTGCTCGTACTTTAAACATATATATGTTTAAAATATATGAAAAGCTATCGATGCTGCAACGAATACTTCACAATAGATCGAAAGCTCGGACTCTCGTTATTTGGATTTATGTATAGACGCGATCGAGGAGCGCAGACGAAGAAGGAAAAGAATAAAAAAACAATTTCGACGTAGCTATATAAGTATACGTGAGTATACGTAAAAGTACACGAGTACGCGTTCTCCAGTCGAGTTCAAGAATAGAGACTCGACTCTCGAGTTCCTACGTGCGTACCTCGAATTTGAGTTCTCGACGCGTCTCTGTCTCTCTCTCTCTTCGTATACCTCTTTTTTCACCCTCTCTATATATAGATTAAACCGCAGTTTTATCGCTATTTTCGGGTGAATACCTCTCCTTAATTGTACTCGACTCATACGCTCGGACAGATTTCACGCTCTGTAATGGTACTTAGCTTAAGAGTAATTTATGTATTTTTCCTCCTTATAATTTTCGCGACAGTGATATGCGCGTGAACCTACGTGCGAGAACGGAACACTCGGAAGAAATTCGAAGTCTGCTTAAGATTGAGCTTGCAAATCTTGTTTACGCTTTTGCGTTGCGATATAATGTCAGCACTCATCAATACATGTTAATGTGTATTGAAAGATACATTTTTCAAAAAGTGATGTGCTGATTATAGATTTTCGTAGAAGTTTCCCTTCGAGTAGCTGTTCTTACACCGCTGCTTGATAATCTTGAAAATGAGTAACGTATTGTAAGAGTACTATATTGTAAATATATTGTAAAAAGATATATCGTAATCGAAGGTGTCATGTTTGATTATGAACTTTTTGATTCCAACAACAGATGGCGTGCTGAGAACTCGCAAGTGGCAATGAACTTTTTGTAGCATATAAGTATGCTCTACATGCAAAGAATTACATTATTGCACACCTCGAAAGAACTGTATTGCAGTACTACCCTCTTTATTTCTCGGCTGACACGTTCCCTGAGGATTTCCAGTTTTCTCCTCCCTTTTATAGGCACGTTATCTACTATTTTGATCGTGTTTTGTTTGATAGAATGTGATAATTTATTCGGTATTCTTCACAAATGTCTTTTTAAAGTTGAATTTCCACAAAAAAGTAAACTTCGAAAATTCATCGATTATTTTATACATGATGTCTGTCAGTATGCAATCCGCTGCACATCTCGCGTTTCTAAGCTAGGGTACTATGATTCAGGATTAATTTTTATTTTAAGAATCATTATAGTAAACGTTGAAAACATCTTAGATAACCATTTTACATCATTAGGACGAATAATACAAAAATTGTCATGTAATAACTGACAAGTTTATTTTGAAAAATTTGAATCACGCGCGTTCGGTTCTGCTGACGGTCATGACAGATGCGCGCGCAAGTACCTATTTTATCCCTTATCCGAATCCATCGTGTCGTCAGCAGTCAGTCGTTAGTCGTCCGACCGCACTAGCATACGACGTGAATCGAGTATCGTCGCCTCCTACTGTATTTATCAACAGAAAGTTCAGGAAATTTGAAGCTCGTCTCACAACGCTTTTGTACACTTACAGAGCAAGTCATCGAGCAAAAAACCTTTGCTTTTTAATAAACAAACAGACAAAGGGCTTGATCAAGATGCCTAAGGTACGAAGAAGCCGTAAACCACAGCCTGATGGATGGGAACTTATTGAACCCACACTCGAAGAGCTTGAACAGAAAATGCGTGAAGGTTAGTTTCTTGAACCAATAAAATTCCATATTTTTAAGTTTTTATTTACAATGTGAGATATATTTTTGAATAATATTATTGTTTTCTCGTAAATAACCACCAGCAGATAGTTAACCTTTCTCTGAGATGTAAAATGAAAACATTCATTATTTGACTTGGTTCAGGACTTAAAGGGAGCTTTTAGTGAAAAAAAGTATTTTGAAGAAATAGCATAACTCATCATGATTACATAATATTCTTTTCTAATATTTTATTTGACATTACTCCATACAAATAGTTAGATACAATGTTATAATACAATAGAATTGTATTTACAAGTTGTAAAAGTAATCTTTAAACTTAAAGTTGCCTCTATTGTAAATAGTATATCAAACAAAATAACACCTCATAGAACTAAATTTACTCATCTGAAATCTCAGTATCTTACAACAATTAGCATAATTGAATTTAATGTTAAGGTCTATAGTGAGATAATAATGCCTTAAACTATTTTGACATATTTAACTAATAAAGTACTTTTAAATAAATTACTTGAAAAAAAACTATTATATCTATTTATTGAAAAAAAATTTTTAACTTTGAAGCCTTGTGCTGTGTTTATAAAAGTCAAAAAATGTAAAACCTTTTGGAGCCCTTAAAAATACGGACTTAATGTTTGACAAACCATGTAATTCTGAAAAAATCTATATTTTAGACTTCTATGATTTTAAATTTTTAATCATCATTTGAATTGTTATAGCTGAAACCGAATCACATGAAGGAAAACGGAAGCAAGAGTCACTGTGGCCAATATTCAAGATTCACCATCAGAAATCTCGATACATTTACGACTTATACTATAGACGCAAAGCTATCAGCAAAGAGCTTTATGAGTTCTGTTGCAATGAGAAGATTGCAGACAGAAATCTCATAGCTAAGTGGAAAAAGACAGGCTATGAAAATCTGTGTTGTTTGAGGTGTATCCAGACTAGAGACACAAATTTTGGGACCAACTGCATTTGTCGTGTGCCAAAGGCAAAATTGGAAGAAGGACGCATTGTTGAATGCATCCATTGTGGATGTCGTGGATGTTCTGGATAAATTATGATGTTTCATATTGAACTATGAATAGTGATAAACATATCTGTAAATATTTTTCTACATTATTAATTGATTTGCTTAGAATTATGATTATATAACAAAGTATTTTTGTTTTTAATTCTCGAAATATTTCATTTCATTTTACAATGTCAACACTTGTAATGTAATTTGAACATTCCCTGTAAAAAGAATTTTTCTCAAATTACTTGAATTACTTATGTACTGAAAATAATTCATCCAAATATGTTCAATTTTATGAAAAAAAAAAATTAAATTTTTAAATATAGTTAGTTATTCAATTATATTTTACACTTTTAAGCTTGATTCAACAATAAATGATGCAATTCACAAGAAAGCATGAAATTGAATTTTTAAATATAGTCAGTAACTTATATTTTGCACTTTCTACTTTATTTGTCAATAAATTATGAATTTTACAAGAAAATTTAGAAACTTTAATAAACATACCCATCCAAAGAAATAATATCCAAAATTTTCAAAAAAAAGGAAAAGACTGGAGAAATCTTCAGTTTATCAGACGATTATTTGAGAGTAATGTTAAAAATAGCGAGGTGCATCATTGTTTGAAAGGCGCAGTCTTCAAAAACGCTGCTTAGTCTCGTTAACTTGTGGCGGCCTTTAGTATTCGTTCCATATATCCGTGTAGCATATACAGCGTAGCTATCCCGTTAACTAGTCGAGGCTTTGTTAAAACTTCCAAGTCCAACCGTAGCATATCTCTCGCGATACTATAACCTCACAGTCGATATTTTCATTCGCTGCTGCCAAGTTGCGATTATTATTCGTGCAACAGTTAATCGAAGAGCATCTTCGATTTTTCACGTTAAGAGAAACTCTTGCCTTTGTCGGTGTAAATTCGATCCTTTTAATTTTTTATTTTAAGCACTAATCATGCCGAGAGGTAAGTTATAACTTTGGTACACAAAGAGTATTTGCGTCGTAAGATGTTTTCTCGAATTCAACTGTGCAGACATTGTTGACAAGACTTTTCGTGTATGAAAATCTTCCGGGATATCATCCAAATTTCGCAATATTAAAACTTCAAGTATTAAATATAATATTTTTCATGTTCAAACAATTACACAATTTAATTGTGTAGGTGGTTGAATTTTTTTTTTTTTACTTACAGCTGTTATTTGAGCAAAAAATTTTATCACTCACTCACCATTTATTATTATATGAATGATATGATTTGTTAACATTTTTTGGTCTAATCAAGTGATTCTTTGTTGTGGCATTTTGAAATCATATAATCATTTTTTTTTTAATAGGTAAATATGTCAATCACAAAGGACGCAATCGTCACTTCACCAGCCCTGAAGAATTAGAAGAACAAAGACGTCAAGAAGAAGAAAAGAGAAAGTGGAGAAAGAATAAAGATGAATCTTCTAGCGAAGAAGAAGAAGAAGATGCCAAAGCTTCGGGAAGTAAAAAAAGAGACTCAGATTCTGATGATAGCGAAAACAGTGATAGTGATTCTGATTCAGATGAGGTAAGCTATTCTTAAATGTTCCTTGAATGATGTAGCATAACATTTTTTTAATTATAATTTATTCCAGGGCAAAGCCAAGGGTGTTGAAAATTTAATAGAAGTAGAAAATCCAAACAGGGTACAAAAAAAGGTTAAAAAATTGTCAACTTTGAATGCTGAGCTTGCTAATGCCAAGCCTGAGCTGTCCAGAAGAGAACGAGAACAAATAGAAAAACAACGAGCTCAGGTACATTACCAGAAACTTCATGCTGCTGGTAAAACAGATGAAGCTCGTGCAGATTTGGCTCGTTTAGCTATTATTAAGCAGCAACGCGAAGAAGCAGCTAAAAAACGAGAATTAGAGAAAAAAGCTAGAGACTTAGCTGCACAAAAACAAAAAGATATGACAAGCAAAGCTCTGGGTAAAAGGTCTTAAAAAGATCCTTATGTTCCTGTGTTATAGGTGTATCCTAACGATAGGAACACCATTTAAATTGATGCACCATAAAAAACTTTTATGATGTTAACTAATTTAGATTACGTAGTCTACATTCAGGTGACATCAAAAAATGTAATCTATGGTATGTCCAAATGAAGAAATTTCTCTGAAATAACGCATGGTCAATTTATTTTTTGTTTAAATTTGGAACAATTATTTATAAATTATTAAGAAGTAAAACTTCGACTGTGCTGAAATTTTTTTGAAATTCATCATTCCATCAAAATTGTATTTTGCACAAAAATTAAATGTACTACGTATAAAAAACTTTTTTGTAAGATTAATCATTTTCTCCGCACGCGATTAAAAACGATGAAATAAAAAAGAACAAGCTTTCAACACTGTGTATATAAAAACTAGCTCATAATGTGGCGATGACACAAAAGCTTTAATTGAAGATATAATCCGTTGACCATTGATCAATCATATGAATTGTTAAGAATAGCTCTTCAAGTAAAATATTATATTTTAATGCGTGATAGGAATTCCTTTTTATTACGTGATTTCTTATAAAATAAAAAAAAGTATGTTAAAATAAAAACATAGTACAAAATCAAATTTCTTACGCTTTTTTTCTTGATTCTACCTTGTTTCAAATGTTTATAAAGGCAATGTTTACTGGACTAACACAATGAAAATCACACAAATTCATTATCACTGATTGATAAAAGAAATTGTCATTAACTAGCATCGAACGATGTTCAATTTCATTTTGCGGCTTTCCGCGCGGCGATGCTGCCCCCGCGGCTGCTAGCGCCGCTGCTGTCTCTCCTCGAAATTCCGCGCAGCGCAGAAGACCAAAATTTGATCTCGCATTGCGCGTATGATACGAGAAATCAACGCTGACGCAGTGGTGCACAGCTATCTGTCATTATAAAAATAAAAAACATTGAGCACTTCTGCGCGGTGACTGCCATCGTGTGCGCCCGATGTAATGCATCGCAGCAGCAGCAGTAGCAGTGCAGTGCAGCGACTGGCCTACTGGACTGCAGTCGCATTGCGAAGCTAACGCGCTCGAGTGCAGGTCGCGGGTTGCGTGTGTATATATTTGCTCGGCCCAGCATAACACCATTGGATATAGGTAATAACAAGAGATAACTGCACTCGCGCAGATGCACAGGTTTTTTTAACCCATACGTAGCATGTTGTACAATATTAACAGAATTCTAAAAAGTTTCGTCGATAATTAGGCGATCGCTTGTAAGTGTGCGTACATGCGTGTAAGATATAAGTGTCTCTTATGTTGATCTGTGAGCGAGACAGTGGCAGCCTAACTTACGCAAAAAAACATCAAAAATATGAGCCAGTGAAAACGTGTGGGTACTTGAAAAAAAAGAACCTTTGATAGAAAAAATATTTTACGGTTTTTTTCATCGTAAAAGCCTTATGAATGTGAAATTGAGTATGAATTACTTTCTTCGCTTCTTCACGGTTTTCACTCTCACGTGAATCTTGCAGTATACAACGATAGTATTGGGGCTTTTTTTGTCAGTTACGGTCGATAGAAGTTTTTTCATTATTGCAGTTTGCTCTGTATACAGCTGAGGCCAAACTTGATTGTCCGGAAATTGGCGTGAGAGAGTGAAGCGTTTAATTTCGAAATTCAAATTATTGAGTGCAAAAAGCACTTGCTCATGTTTGGATGGCTCACACAAATTGTCTGCTTTAGTGAAAGAAAAAAACTTGGCAGGCTCTTTTTACAATACTTGTGTCTTTTTATTACTTTTTAGCTTGTATATGAAGATTTACTTAAATGCTTTCATGATAATACTGGTGCTCAACTGGTCTATATCAACATAACATAACAAAATGAATGCAATTATGTTTCTGACAGTTTGACATAATAATTAAGGAAAGCTTATGTCTTCTGTCAATTATCAACTTCAAAGTGTTTAGTCATGATATTTAAAACATCAAACTAGTTTTAATTATCTTTTATTTAAAAAGCGTATCGAGGTTGAAATTATTTGAAATTCTTGCAATGTAAAAGTAGAAATTTATATCTTATAGTTAAGAGCCAGACATACATTTTTTTCAAGGTAAAGATAATTTTTATCAAGTCCATTCGAATACATACATGAAATTGGCAAAGAAATCTGCATGCCACATTTTAGTTATATTTTTATATAATGACTACTTGTACTGGCAGCAAAAATATATTGCCTTTTCTTTCCAAAAATTGTAAAATAGTAATCTCTTGGTAAAAAGTATGGTAAAATGATTTAAGGCATTGAAATAATCTCCAGACATAATTTTTTATGATTATTATCGTTGCTTCTAAAAATGAAATTGATTGATAAGTACAAGATTCATAACATTGCAGTGACTTAAACAAGTTGAAATATATACAAATATTCAATTGCAGAAATAAAAAGTTCTCTTTTTCATTATATCAAATTTTAACTGTCAAGCATTTATATTGGATCTACTATCAAATCCACTTTTTACTCGAATATCATAGTATCTGTCTCTCATAAAATATCTATCGCAAAAATAAAATCACTGACGTATTCGAGTGTGCGGTGCGTGTCGCGAGCGTATATTCATGTGCAGCGCGTGACAAAGCGCATTATTTACGCGTTTCGCGAAAGAAAGAAAGAAAAAAAGAAGAAAAGTAAATAAACACCTGCCATAAATTTTCATGGCATTTTTCACTCAGTTTTCTCTTTCGTTTCTATTTTATTTTTTATTATTTCGTCCCACAGGTCAACAAGCTGTGTGCTGCCGCTTGCACCGACGCTGCAGCGAACAGCTTTATATGAATTGCGAGGCCTTTCATAAGCTGGCGCACTACATCAATTGAAAAGTCGATAAAAGTCGTGCGTCGTCGAGCGAAAAAAAAGAAAAAGAAAAAAAGAAGAAAAAGGAAACAAAATGTTGCTGGACGACTTGATATACGTGGGTCTGCTGCTGCTGTGCATCGGTTTTGGCAAGTACTATCGGCAAATCGACTCGGTGCAGCTGCGCCAATGGGTCAGCACCGGCCTCGGCCTGGCGCTGGTGCTCTGCGTTTCCGGCAAGCACGCCATCCATCCGATATTCTCCACGGTGGTCAATGCTATAATCGTCACGAGGTTGTCGCCAAAGTAAGCTTTATATATATACCTCGATTATTTGGAATTGGCATAGGTCGTACAAATATCGTTAACTCGTTTTTTTTTCACACGCAGAATCAGCCACTTGGTGAGCTTCTTCTTCGCGTTTTTCTACCTGCTGGTGATACTGCGCCTGTCGCACCTGTTCGGCTGGTCGACGCCGTCGGGCCACACGAATCTCATACAGATGATGCTGACGCTCAAGCTGGCCGGCGTGGCCTTCGAGATGAACGCCGCGGCGACCCACCCGCTGGGTCAGGACGATCCCCAGGGCGCCGCCAGTGCGGCCCTCGCCAGGGTCGGATTCATGGATGTGTTTCACTACTGCTTCACTTACATCGGAGTTCTCACCGGTAAATATATTTCATAGGATGCGCCTCGCTTCCGCTTGAAAAATTCACAGATTTTTTTTCTCTTTTCTTTTTTTGCTCCAACCAAAAGAGTAACGCGAGGTCACACTCGCGTGAATAAGTAATTCGCGTGCACGCGCGTATTTACACGGAGAGAGTTCGTATATGCATATAAGCCCCGGATGATCTCCCGCAAATCCTCCCCATTCATGCATAAAAATCTCCTCTCTCTGCCGCTGCTCGGCGTTTCTCGAGGTTTGAGTCGGTGCGCTTAAAAGCAGCGATTAAGTTTTTTTCTCCGTTTTTTCTTTTTCCATCTTTTATCTCGCTCTCGTTTTGCAGGTCCGTACTACAGATACAGAACGTACTGGGACTCGCTGCACAGGCCGTTCGCGATGAAGGCCGATCACTGGGCTCACACTTATCCGAAACTCATACTAAGTGCCTGCTTCACCGCCATATTCCTGACGACCAATTACGTATTTCCCGCGAGGGTATGTCGTCGCACTTTCGTACTCCGCTTACTCTACACGGATACACAATTATTGAGTATACTGATACATTTTTAATTTCACGAGCAGTACGCGCTGTCGGATGAATTTGCCGAGCGCTCGTTCCTCTACCGAACCTGGTACATCTATCCGACCTTCGTGACCTTCCGCATGCGCATGTATGTCGGCATGATGCTGTCCGAGTGCGTCTGCCAGATGGCCGGGCTCGGCGCCTACCCGACCAAGTGCGAGACCACCTCGGGCCTCGGGCCCAAGGATTACAAGGCCGCCACCGCTCTGTAAGTCGCACGAACGAAAAAAGAACAAAAAAACACGAACTATTTTAATCTTATATTTGCCGCAACTTCCCGTCTGGTGCGCAGATCCAACGACGAGCGCTCGATCGTCCCCGAGGAGCTGGACTTCGAGACGGTGCACAACATGAACGTGTGGGGCGTCGAGAAGACCATACTGGTGCGCGACGCCATGAAGAAGTGGAACACCTGCGTGCAGTACTGGATGGCCATCTACGTGTACAAGCGCTTCCCGCATCGGGGCCTGCGCACGGTGGCCACCCTGGCCCTGTCGTCGCTCTGGCACGGCTACGCGGCCGGCTACTATCTCACCATCTGCCAGATCAATTTCTATCTGCCCATGGAGGACACCTACGTCAAGTTTTACAAGCACTATCCGGACGGCAGTTTGGTGAGTACTGACTATAAATCTCTCTCTCTCTCTCTCTCTCTCTGCCAAATGCCAATTGAGAGGAAAGATAAAATAAAAAAAAAGGAGTACAAAATAAAGTTGCGCGCTTATGTACACGCGAAAGCCCGAAAGCAGGTCAATAATCCCCGTGTATATCGATTTCGTGTGCGGGCAGTTGTACAGCGTATATCCTCTACATTGTATATATACACGCCTCGAAACGCGCGGACGTGTGCTTTTTTCTTATTGAAAAGATGAAACGATTACTCGATAGGTTTTCGTACTTGAAAAGGTAACAGCCAATTGGCATCTTGAACACATACACCCATCCACGCGCGCGGTCAACGATATGCAATATTGATGAATCGCGTACAAAGAAAAAAAAATAAAAAGAACGGACGAAAATCGAAGCGTACACGACTCAAGGGTCAAGACGTGTGTATCCACGAAAGAGGCTTATTCAAGGCTCGCGTCGTCGTCTACTTGTGGCTACCACCGACACGATGCATATATAATACATTATGCAACGAACGACATCGATTACCTCCTTTATCGAGCTCACGTGCGCGCACGTCCTTTATGCATGTATGTGCATATGCAAGCGTACAGAGGAGAAAAGAAAGATTAACGGCGGCGGCCGTCGGCACGTGCAATCCTCGCACACGGGCGCCGATCGATTCGACTCTATCTTCTACACTATAATATATACTCCACTTTTTCAAGTATTCAAACTATTTTATCCCTTATGCTCTCGACACTTTCACAATTTCAGCCTAAGAAATTTCTGCACGCCTTCATGTGGTTCTGCCGCGTCTCCTGCATGTCGTATCTCGGGCTGTCCTTCCAATTGCTCGAGTTCCACGAGAGCTGGACGTTCTACAAGCGGGTCTACTTCATCGGCCATGTGTCGATAGCCGTTGTAACAGTGATAGGATTTCTGATCCGACCTTATATTCTCGGCAGCGAGAGGAAGAAGAGAGAAGACAAAAAGAAGGAATAAATCTTCTGTGGATTCAACGACGAGTCGTTCATATCGATTACGCACTTTTTGCGTATATATCAGCGGTATAACGAAAATTGTCCATTTCTCTTTTGTTTTCATTTTTTGTTATTTTGTTTTATGGCGTAACGAGGAAAATTGTAGAAAAAAGTGTGTGAGAGATCTGCATTTATAAAAAGTTTTTTTTCTTTTCATGTCAATGCAACTGCGCGAGCGTAGTTGACTTCTTCTTTTTTGTAAATATTATGAAAGAAAAGTGGAAAATGTAAAAAAAAAGAGCATGACGATCAGAGCTCTGCACCCGCGCAGTTGAACTGAAATTTATTTGTTACATTCGTGACTAATCGAAAGGGATTCCAAGCTTATATAACTTCATTATTTAATGATCTTTATGTGTGTGTTCTTTTTTATAAATACATTTGTTACTTGCGTGCGACTCCGAAACTATCCGAGTTCAAACTTGTTATTTCTTTCAGAGTATTTATTTTTTTTTGTCGAAACTTCGTATGCACATTAAGTTTTTATATTTCATGTAAATAGTTAAAGTGAGTAGTTTTTCTCTCATTTCTTTGTCATTTTTTTTATTGACTTATACTTTAATTTAATTTTGAACTCGGACGGTTATTTTTATTAATGGAAATTTGAATTGTGTTATTCACATGGTGATTTCAATCGTGCACGAACGATTGCTTTTGTTCTTCCAATATATAATCGATACTTACGTTACCTTTTTGTTTGCCTCTCTCATCAAATTGTAATAAAACAAAAAAAAAATGAAGAAGTAAACATTCTACCAGCACGCTCCTCGTAGAGACAAATTGAACGTCAAAAACTGGTTGTGTCTTCGAACATTTTTCATCTCTATGCACAATGTTAAACATTTGAATAAGCAATAGTCCACAAGTTGGTTGTATATTTTAGATTTAGCTCGTTTAACGAGTAGTGCATAGATATATGAAACCTTCCGCTTCCATGAGAGGATAATAAATCTTCCATGTTTATTAGGCATTCAATTTTTAATAAAAATATTATATGAAAGATGAAAATTCATCGATCTGAAATCTTGTTAAAAAAAAATGAAAATAAATACCGAGCCTTATATACAATGTAGATTAATAGAGAAACTAATGTGATTGATTATAAGAAAATACTATTTCAATTAAACATAAATTCTTCACAGCCTGCGTGGCACAAATGTATAGGTACAAATTGCTTTAAAACAATCATCATATAACTAAAAATAAATTATTTATTTGCATTATAGACTGGGAGACGGTAACAAAAATTTGTAATTTTCAATCATTGCCATTGAGAGTTCTCAATCGTCAAAATTATTTCAGTAGATCATGAACTATTGTCTCCATCTTCCGGTTTATTACGTTTTATTACAAGTAAACAAGCGACAATTAATATTAAGAACGTCGTGCGTTCGCAATAACTGTTTTTTCATAAAAAGCAATATAATGAAATTATAAAAATTTATTCCATGAGTACAAATTGTCACTTTTACATCTGACGTATCGGAGATGAGAAGAATGCAAAAAAACAATTCGTTCGAAATTTAAAATGACGATCATTTATCTCTTTGCATCAAAGAAAACGATAACAAGCAGCCATTGAAATAACACATGCTGCTTACGACACCATCTTACAAAGTTGTTACCATGTATAAAAAATGTTTAACTTATACCGTGCCATCTTATAAGTATAATGATATAATTCAAAATTTCAAAATAAAAACTCAGATTTTTATCTTCCACGAATTCACACTCTTTATTTTTTGATATATAGAATAGATTTATCTTCCATATTGTAGTGATGTATGAAAAAAATACATTTTTAGAGTTAATAAAAGAAAAAGAAAAGAAGAAAAATAATATCACCGATGGAGTCGGGCCCAAAAGCATAGAAAGTCAAGAGATGATTCTTCGTATCCTCTCATTCTGGTGTTCTGCATCGAACATTCCGTCTTCACATGTATATCGTTGCGGCGATAACCACTACGTACGTTAATGTACGCATAGTTATGTAATACTTACTCGGAGTTTTTTCGTGCAGGAACAAAAAATAATAAACATCTCGTGCCTATACTCGATGATATCTGTAAAGTATCTGTTACGGCAAATTTGATGACCTACAGACTACATTATGCTCAACTATTTTTTACTCGACGCATCAGATTATGTATTTAAAACATAAAGGTAAACTACATATGAAATTCGTAAACAAAAATAGATGCTTTGTAATCGCAAAAAATGAGGCGCGCGGTTAGCAAGTTCAAACGTTTGTTGGCATATTTATTTTTTCTTTTTGTTCGTTTATTTTTGCTCGCATTATCAGGCTCACAGAATATAAACACATTGTCGATTAGAAGCCTATTTGCCGCATTTGTTATGTCCACTTTTAAAAGTAAACCGTTTGTAAGATTTTCGTAACAAAGACTAACAATGATGTACTTGATTAGACATTTTGTTTGTGAAATTCAACGTGTATTGATGAGTAAAAAAATTAATAAACTGAACATTTATCAAATGCCAATTCATTTTGAGTTACTAGTAAAATAGTTCCTTCCATGCCAATTTTGTTAATAAATATAAAAAAAAACTACTGGAATCATAAAAATTTATGTACAAGCATGCAAACTTATAAAAAGTACCATTACATATCATTAGTATTAATGCTCTAGAATAACATCTGGTCAAAGGCTATGCATAGTTGAAGTGGTTGTTCAAAGGAAATTCGTTCACGAAAATTCCCCCAAACAGCCAGGCTGATGCATATTACTCAAATATGAATAATTTAGAAGATCTATATAACGCCCCTGCCAGTTAATAATAATATTACATAGAACGTAAAAATAGCAAACTACATAATTCATAAAATTACGAGGAAAATCGATTAATACGGTAATAAACAAAAATGCCATTTTGATTCTAGTTGTCTACTTGAATGTATGCCAAGCCATATATGTTTAATTGTTAATTCATGAGTAAATAATCGATTGTTGTATAGTTTTCAGCTAGACTAAAACAAAGAGCTCTTAGCACAGACAGATTTGTCAAGTGCAGTAATTGTATTGTGTTAGGACTGGATGAGTATTATGTACAGCCAGAGATAATTAACGTGTTTTACATGAAATGAATTATAAAGACGAGAAACAAACTCACATGTGTCAAAGCAGACTCGTACAACAGCGGCCATCGATCGATAAGCGCCTGTTTCTCTATCACCGCACCGCTAATAATCGTACATAATCAAACTATGGCATATGAATAAATGACCAAATTGATTAATACGTGCCCAGAGCTGTTCATTCTGTTCTCGTGCAATCCGCAGCTACGCTCGTTCGGTACTGCGTTTTTTTCTATCTTTCTAAGCTCAGCGATCTTATGCGCCACTCGGGAAACAGCAACTGGCCTTTTTTTTTCTCTGGCGCATCCCTATCTCGCATCTCCTACGTTTACGAAAATGTCTAAGTGCTCAGCATATCAGTCTCGCGTTCAGATAAGCTCTCGTACACCCCATGGGTCAGCAAACGCAGAAATGCTCAGAACTAGGCGGCAACAACAGTGTGATGGCGGTGGGCGCATTGAGTACATTTTTCTAATTTTTTTTCTCTCTCTCTCGAAGCGGCTTGCTCTCTCGTTCTCGTGAGAAAAGAATCGTGTCTGTTTAGTTTCGTTTTTTTTTGTTTGCTGAATAATCAGCTCACTTTTCTGCAGGCTGAAATCAGCAGCAGCCGTAGCACACAGCAATATCTGCAGATCAGACAGGCATAATAAAATGTGTAATAAAAGAGATATCTCATTATTGAGACAAAATTTAAAATAAAATCAAAAAGGGAGAGAGAGAGCAAGATGTGAAGACAGCACACACAAGCTCGAAGGGCGGGGAAGATATAAAAAAAAATTTGATTTTCACTGTGCAAGCACTCTCGACCGGCAATCAACAGCAACAAAGCCACACCATAATTCAACAGCTCCGTGTGAGAGAGACTGCAAGCTCGGATCTCGCCAACACCAACCGCGTGCGCCAAACGCCGCCGCATTCGGGGTATCTCGCTCTTTTTCGCCTATTATCTCGTCACTCTCCGCATCTCTCGCAACGCCATCATCTTTCGCAGCGACCGCGAACAACACCGCCTGTGGCACCACAGAAACAATACAAGACTAATATTAGGATGGATTTATTTAACAATGTTACAATTTTTTTTAAGAGATGGTTATTGAGGAAAATGGTTTCTTTCGAACCAATGACAGGCCAAGGATGTTGGTAGAGAGTGAGAGAGAGAGGAACGTAAGGAAGATGAAAATACACTCTGGACAATGTTGCATCACAGACAATTTTATAATTGTCTATACTCAGAAGTATCAAAGCAATGCCTAGAGTGATCAACAGTAAGAGGATCATGAAAATGATTGGTTATATAAATGATTTTGATTATGGCATGCCTTAAAAATGATTGTTATACCTTATTATTTTTATGTTCCGAAAGAGATACAAGTTAATTTTTCTTCATTAAAAATTCTTTAAAAATCATGTAATATTCAATAGTAAATCTCTTTTAGAACATAATAAAAAAAATAATTAAACTGAAATGATAAATTGAATTATATGCAGTTAATTTTATGTGTTAATGAACTATTTTGAAGAAAAATTAAGACCTTCATATGTATTCGTTTTTTATACCTCATTGTACTTTATTACCAGTTAATGACAAACTTACATGAAGTCTGTTGATTTTAGGTACAAAGACCATAATTAAATATATGCGTTAGATATCGTAAAAATGTATCGGCATACTTAAGTTTAGGAACACTAATTTCGATAAATAATTGTCAGTAATGAAGAGTTAAGTGTTTCAGTGTAAAATATTTTTGATAATAAAGTATTTTATAAAAATTATTTGATATAATACATTTATTAAATCACTAATTTTTTGCATAATTATATGAAAGTTACTTTCATAATATGTTAATAATAGATCCTATTTTTTAATGTTTCTTTTGTCAATGTAAATAAATGATCACAAGATAGTTCTTATTTATAATGTTCTACAAATCGGTTAATATTTAGAAAATTTATAGGAATCAAAATGTAGCTTGAGCAATCAAGTATAAAAATATTTATCAATCAATTGTCATAAAAACCGTGTTTACGTTCATAAATACGTAATTCGTCTAGAGAATCGAAATTCTTTGACAAGCGATATTGGATTTAGTGATTTGTAGACACTGAAGTTTGTGATTAAATGTTTCAAAAATGCGCGAGCTATAATTTATACTCAATCACGATTTACGGTGCATTACTATGTGACAATACAGTTTTTTAAAGTCAAGTAGTTCAAATGATAACCTTTTAGCATAAAATCGTAAAATAAACAGTGAAATTAAGATTGAAACAATACATCAAATGACAGGATAGAAAAAGAATACCTTTCATAACACTCAAGTCTGTATTCTGGTACGTGACAATGGTAAGCCTGTCAACTCAGCATTGTCATGAAGATGATTGAGATGAACATTTAATCTCTGTAACAGATGTATTTCGGAATTTTTACTTTTCAGTACTATTTAAAGTTTGCATATAGATGGCGACTTTAACAAATGCTTGAAAAACTCACCTAGACTTGGATCTTGTATCTTTACCATGATCTGCAGATTTGCTGCGAGTGCGAGATCTACCGCGAGAACTCTTACTGTCGGAACGTGATCTTGATCTAGAATAGCTGCGCTTGCGATCGCGATCGCGGCTGCGGGATCGTGAACGACTGCGAGAACGGGATCGGGACCTGGAGCGCCTACGATCACGGCTGCGGCTGTTATATAAAATTTTAAGAATTAAAAACTGTACATTGTATACATAATTATAATATTTTTAGATAAAATTGTTTACCTTCGGTAGCGTCTCCCTCCGCGGCTACGGTGAGGAGATGTGGGCCTTCCGTATCGAGCCATTTGAACTCTCAATTCCCTACCATCAAGAACTCTTCCGTCCATAGCATCTAGCGCATCTTCAGCATCGCGTTTGTCATAAAATCTGTATAAATGAATAAAAATATATTCAGAATATATTCAGGAAGAAAAGCTTTTATAATTCTTACAAATATCAAAAAAGTGTAAAATGATTTCTGCAACTGATAAATCCCAAGCATTGTATTCATTTGTGTTAATCATACAGACGACTAACATATAATTCAACAGTGACGAGTGCCTACTACACTCTACTTTTGATATTGATTATTGATTAACAATTCACTGAGTAAATAATTTAATGACTTGCTCGAATAGAAAAGAACATGTTTTGAAAACTCACCTGACAAATGCAAAGCCTCTGCTTTCCCGGGTAAATCTGTCCCGGGGTATGTAAATATCACCAACTTCACCACATCTCTCAAAAACTCGTCTAAGGTCTTCGGGGGTCGTGCGGTAGGTCAAATTGTCGACTTTGAGCGAGACCATCCCGTCAATGCGGGGCGGGGGCCTTCCGTAACTCATATTTGTCTAAATGTATCCCTGCAAGAGAAAAAACGAAAGTCAAGTTAGAATCGTTGGAATCATCATGTGCTCATCAAGCAGATTCAAAGACGCGTCGGTCACGAGTTCCGTAATCTGTTCGCCGCTTCGAACCGTCGCAGCACACTCGAGTATTCTAACCCTATTTTTCACTTGTAATTATGTATCGATTAAACTTTTAAATGGTCGAAACGAGATGCGCTCGACCCGGAAGAAACAATTGCAACTATGAGCAACGAAATCGAAGCTTCCAGAATAAACATTAGTTGCACTCCGAAAGGAAAACGTATACGGACAAATACGACACTTCCGCGAAGAAGACGACAGTCCAGATGTTGCAATAAGTTATGATCTAAAATGCACCAACACTACACGTATGCGCCGAGCGTCAGGGCAATTACAGCAAGACAACACTTTGAAAATTTCAACACATTCGTTTGCAGACACGATCAATTTCTCTGAATACTCACTCTATGTGGTTGTCGGAAATGTATTCTGTCGAGTCTACTAAAAAACTTTCGAAGGATGCGATAGACTCCGATCAAGTGATGACGAGGCTATGCGAGGCGTTGTCGAGAGATAGCCGACTCACACACACAGACACACGCGACAACGGCAGTCACGCACACACAGGCAGAACACCAGTCGCTGGCAACGACAGTCGAGTGTAAAATGGAGCTGCTTACTTCCGGTTGGTGATTCGGTGCGCAGCTTTTGGCGCGCAGCTTAGCCGGGAAATTAAAATTTAGAAATAATGTAAGACAATGTGATTTCAATGAGAAAAATGTACTTCTAGTTCGTTGATATATGGAACATTTCTCATACAAAAAGCGCTCTTTTAGTTAATAGAATGGAATTCCTTTTTTTTTCGGGACACTGCTTCATCTTTATGGAATGATTCAAATTCTGTCATACTTGCTCTTACATATGTATTTTTGAAAAAATAATTAAAACGATTTTTGATTATTTTATGAGTAACATGTCAAGTATGCTTATGATACATGTAGGAAATTTAATACGAGTCTCGAAATTGTCCAACCTGGTGCTCCACGCAAGCTATCCAAGATTATATTCTCACGGAAAAACCGCGGCTTCCTCTAGGGTGATATTTTCGCGTAAAAACTGTGACTTTGTAGAGAAGGCCAATCGTCAAGTCTCGAATTGGACCTGGAAAAAACAGGCCGCGGTGCTCGAAAACAATCGACCGCACGCTCTTTCCCTCTTCACCGCTCGAGAAAATCGAAAAAGTCCCTTTATTTGAAAGTCATTTCTTATGTAAAATCGCGAGATCTTTCGATCTAACTAGTCAGAAAATCGATCGGAGTTGAACTCTGGAAGTAACAACGTGTTTTATCTTCAAGTCCATTTTTTGAGGTTATGGAGGCGTATTTTTGCATTTTCGACCTCATCTGTAGAAAGCTGAGTTAAAAAACTATCGAAAACCTATGTTGGTTTATTTTTCTGAATTTTATTTAACCCTTTGAGTGTGAGTTGAAAACTGAGCAATCCGGCCGTTTTCCTTGCCCGCTCGTGGCGCTGGGGCATTATTGGCGTTTTTACCCATATGCGCTTGAGACATCTTTGCTAAATAACGTCGAGAGGATTTTTTAAACGGTTAGAGCACTCGATGCTTTTCAGAAGTTGGTACACTACCGACTGCCAATTCTTTGCTGCGATATGGTCATCGAGAATGTGAAAAACGAGGATTTATTAAGAATATATGAAAAGGTGAAATAGTTGCCAAAGGTATTTTTCTTTTCATCTTTTGCTCTCTAAGTTATAATTTGTATTAATTTTTCTAAATTTTCCATCTTTTTTTCAGGCAACGAAGTTGAGAAATTATAAATTAATAACTTTCATTTTAATTTTGAAATATATTTTTTAGTGTGCAAAATTTACATTATGTAACAATGTACAATTTCAAATTATAAAATAAAATAATAAAATGAGTTGTGTGTACTCAGTACACAGCAATCAAGTCATAGATGGAATTTGAGTTATTATTGAAAAAAACTTTTTCTAGCTCATTGGTGCGTTTGACAAATTTGCAAAAACCTCAGGTCCATCTTTTAGAAAAGATTATAAACAAAGAGTGTAAACACTAAACGAATAAACGCTTAAAATTTGACGATACGCGAATTTATAATTGATCGTACAGCATATTATTTTGAAGATTTGAAACGCATAAAGTTGATATGAGTACTTCACTTTTCTATAAAGGTAGAACCAATAAAAAAGCTTCAAGTAAAAGATATAAGAGGGTGCAAATTGAAAAAATGTTTGCGGGTAAGATCGTGCCATTTTACTTTGCATTATTTAAAGACCTGGTGATATAAAAAGTTGGCTGTCTCGATAACTTGAAATTAAAACTGTTATGAAAATTAAACTCTTAAATTATCTTAAATAAAAAATTGTAATTTACTTAATTGAAATAAAAAATTTTTGTTAATTTCAAATTAAAAATAGAATTAATCGTTAAAATTTTTTTCAATATGAAATTGAACGGTATTTAAATTACATAATTAACTTTTCGTAACTCGGTGTTTGTCTATATAATATTTAAACATTTTTTAAAAGATATTTGGTTTTGCCTTGGGCGAACAACCACGTGAAGACAGAAAATCTAATTCTGTCCTTTGTGACGTAGTACACTATTTTATCTAGATAGTAGTGTACAATGATCTGAAACCTGCTACAAATGATAATGAACTTTTTATAATCTGCAAAGTAAATATTATTTACTAAGTGGATTTTGAGATATGTTCATAAACAAATAAATTAATATGCTTACTGTGCTGCAGGTTTCAAAGTTTAATCCGGTTATAGACCCAGCTGTGAGTACCATAGGTTTCATTGTTCTTACTAAAATCATTACTAACATGAGTCGAGCCTTTGGTGGATACTCGTCCCAACTAAGACTATAACTACAGAAAGAAATTAATATTAACGTGATTTAATCTAAATTTATGGTGCATTGAGCTTACCTTTTCATAAACAAGCTATCATTAGAATTACTCAGCAATTGACTAGGCACACATACCATAACGAGTGCAACTATACTACCACTGTAGGCCACAGACAGTTTTAAAGCCATTCCTATGTCTGAATTCATCAAAACTACTACCTAATTTTTTTTAAAAGAGTAATAGTTATTTATGCAGTAGAATAGTAAAAAATATATTTTTTGTATGCACGGTATTACATGTCCGATCATCATATCACACGGAAAAACTATAAACTTTTTATTTGAGAAGTGATCATTTACCAATCGTAAAAGATCAATCACAGGTCCAAGTACCTCATATAGCATTACACCCAAAACATTTATTTGATTTAAAGTTTCAACCATCAGTCAACCTTTGAGGCTGTTATCGTTATGACTTTTACGCTAGAATCAGCTTTTAAATAATACTAGCGGCGTTCCTCGCTCGCTAACGCTCGCTCGGTCTCAGATTGTTTCAAAGAAATTGTAAGAAATATTGGAGGAGTAAGAATATTATAAGACATATTTATGAAATATTTAAATTTTGAACAAGTTTAGATGTTGAAACATAATAGAATATAATAGAATCATGTTTATCGATATATTATGTAATTGGTCATGATTCATTGAATACAAAATAACCCAAGAACTTGATAGATTTAACTTAACGAAACATCATCTCTCCTTCTCGTCTTAAATATAGTACAGTGACTTTCTAAAAGGGCATTAATTTGTACGTCGAAAT